TTTCCATGAGACAGCTCTGAGGAGGTGCCCTAGCTGTGTGTGTGTGTGTGGTCACTGCCACCAAAAGAAAAAAAAGAATAGACAAGTACCAGCAACGGTGGCCAGAAGCACAGCCCCCAGCAAGCATGCTGGGCCACAGTCATGAGCACGCCAACGCCCGCAAATGACCACACTCACGGTATGAGTGTGACCCCGCAAGCACCATAAACAATATCCAAAAGGGAAGGAAGGAGCAAAGGGGACGGGCTGCGGAAACCCCCACCCCACCCCACCTCCCACAGGAAACATGACTGTGGGCGGCAGTGGTGGAGCCTATGGCTCCAACACCATTGACCTGAACACACTGCTGTTCCCTCAGGGACAGAGCAAGAGTATGGCCATGCTGGAGCCCATGGGGAGGCCAGGCTCCAGATCTGACAGTGCTCAGGAGTAACTCCTGGTTGGGCTCAGGGACCATACATAGTGTCTTGCTCACTATGCTATCTCTCTGCCCCCAAACCAGCTTTCTGGCATCTCTTTGTCCCCATAGGGGAACGTTCAATAAAACGTGTCCTTGTATGGCCCCGGCTCCCAGCCTGTCATCTTCCTTTGTCCTTCCTGGAGTCTGCTCACGGGCACTGTCAGCCTAGGACTGGCTGTGGGGACACATCTTCTGCCCTCATGGAGTCTGTGTCCTCTGGCTGCCCTCCCGTGAGTAATAGGCACCCAGCAAGAGAGCCCCCCTCAGGCTCCTGTGTCCCAGAGGCCCTGCCCTTTAGAATGCCCCAGGAAGACCAGCCTTTGTTTCCCCCAACCAGGCCCCATGTGTGAGCTTGCAGCAGTATGTTCTAGAAGTATGGGAGCTGACTCACTGACTCAGCCCTCAGAGGTGAGGGCTCGATGGCTTACTGCCCTGCAGGGCTTTGCCTTTCAGACTGTGTGTGTGTGTGTGTGTGTGTGTGTGTGTGTGTGTGTGTGTGTTAGGGGTGGGGATGGTTCTCCCTCAGGCATGGGTGGAAAGATGGGAACCAGATCCTTCTGGTAAGGAGCCCACGAGTGCTCGCACTCCCAGCCTCTGAGCTCCCCGCAACTTTGAGCTTTTACCCTCTATTTTCACAAGTTCCCTTGCTGGCTTTGTGGCTGGATCCCTTTCCACGTAGTCATGGTAAGTCCCACTGTGAAGCAGGAAAGGAGGATACTCCTGCTCTAAGCCCCTCAACCTTGCCTCGAAACCATTTTCAGGACAGAAATAGGCATCCTGAGATAGAGCAACCTCACTGTGGCCAGGCCGGCTGGCCCTGCTACCCGCTCTCCTCACACCCCTTCCTGCCTGCACCCCAGCAAGAGTCTAAAAATACTCTCTTTCCACAGAAGGTTTTTTTTTTCCACTGGAGAATGTGAGCTGTTTGGGGAGGGTGGGCGAAAGGGCAGGAGAGCTGCGGTATTGTGTTCTCAGAAGGTGTCGGAACCAGTGGCCAGGCCTTCGGCCAGATTCTGTGTGGCAGGGCAGAGCCCCAGGGATCCTGTCACTGGGAATCGGAAGTCTGGTTCTGGGTCACCCGTGGAATGGGACAGAAGCTTCCTTTTGTTTGAAAAAGAAGAATGGAACCTATCCCTCAAATCAGCATTCCCTTATTGACCTAAGATTTGATGATTTGAAACACTGTAGAAACTTGAAGAGTACAGAAACAAACAGAATATGGTTCATGTTTGTACAAGCTTCTAGTGTGGGGGTTGGTAGACTCCAAAGGAATAAAAGAGATAAAAGCCTGGATTTTTCTCAGCTTTTTCCCCCTCATTAGATTTCCTCTGGGCCTCTCAACCCCCTAGCACTGTCAGCACAGACAGGAAAGGGGAGAATTATGTAAGGAGCAGTGAAGTCAGCGCTCTGTCATTAACCCTCCAGCCTGGGGACCCAGACCCTCAGAGCAGCTGCCACGCACTGCGCTCTGGTCGGATGCCTGCAGCACCTCCAGGGACCCAGCATGAGCGGGCCTTGCCATGTCTCCCTTGAATGATTTTTTTTCCCTTGGGCGGGGGGCGGGGGGGTATAAGAAATGGGCCACTGCCAGCAATATTCAGGACTTACTCCTGATTCTGTGCTCAGTGGTCATACCTGGCAGTGCTCCGGGGACCATATGTGGTGGTGGGCTAGGGCAAATGCTTTAACCCCTGTACTATCTGTCTCGCCTTTGAGTGAATTCTTGATTAACAGCTGAATCAAGCTCTTACGAGGGACGCCTGCTTTAGTTAGCCCTGTCACTTACTGTGTTGCTAGTCTAAATGGCCATCTTCCTCTGTTCTCCAAAATAAGACAAAAGGGACAGTTAGTAACTGAGAACTGAATTGAGTCTGTCTAACTGTAGGTTTAGTCTGTCCGTTTTACGTGTGAGAGAGTGGGGGCCCATGCACCAGGTGTGTCTGACCTTGCTGGAAGAAGAGAGAAGCGCAAGTGTCAAAGCAGAGACACGCCATGCTCTGGGTTTCCCCACTCCTGCTTTTCCACATATGGCCGTGCCTTTAGTGTGCTCTTCCCATCCCTCTGGTGGCGTAAGAGTCGTGCTCAGTAGAGAATGCTGCTGTGGGCATCTGCTCTGTTAGCAGCTGCCTCACCCAAACCATGGGGCTCCTGTGCCGGGGTTGAAATAGTGTCAGGCAGGAAGGGAGATTAGCCAACACTGCCTGATTGCAAGTAACAGATGCCCATTCCAGCTTGTCTGGACAGAGGAGAGCCTGTTGTGACAAGGTGCAACTCCCAGAACTCTAGGGGAATCGCTGGACCTGGGAAAGGACAGAAGGGACGAGGCAAGCTCTCCAGATTCTTTTCCCTGGGACTGGAGTGATAGCACAATGGGTAGGGCGTTTGCCTTGCATGCGGCCGGCCCGGGTTCGATTCCCAGCATCCCATATGGTCCCCTGAGCACCGCCAGGGATAATTCCTGAGTGCAGAGCCAGGAGTGACCCCTGTGCGCTGCCGGGTGTGACCCAAAAAGCAAAAAACAAAACAAAACAGATTCTTTTCCCAGTGTCTGCACCTCTTCACACAACCACCCACTGTAGCTATCTGGGCACACAGGCCACGTCTCTCCATCGCTGCCTCCCAGGACCTGTACTGATAGAGGACAGTTCCACCTGCCCAGAGAGGTGTGGGGATGTCCTGGGGGAAGAGCTCAATTAGTCCTGGGACTAGAGAGACAGTATGTCAGAGAAGAAGCTTATCTTTTGTGCAGGCGACTCAGGTTCTATCCCTGGCACTACTATGGTGCCCTAAGCCCCATGAGGAGTGATCCCTGAACTCACAACCAGGAATAAGCCCTGAGCACAGTGCCAGGAGTAAGTCCTGAGCACAGCCGAGGCTGGCCCCAAAACAAGCCAAACGAAGAATCTGACTGTCCCAATTTAGGATGTGTTTCCCCCACCCACTTCCCCCGCTGTTGTAGATGTTGGGGTCATGGTGTTGACTTACTGTTTGGGAAGATGCCCAAAGATGCGCCCACCAACTGGAGAACAGTGATAGCTCTTTAATCCTCATTCTCTGCATCTCAGATTTAGCTGGGCTGTTTGTCCTCCACAGAAATGCTGGCAGGAAGTGGTACCAGAAAGAACCATCCGTTCTCCACTCCCCATGCTGCCTGTGACATTGGCTCAGACCCTAAAGTTTGGGCCCTCGTGTGAATGCTAGAGCATTTTGAAGCAGGAGTCACAGGACTGTGGTGACTGCCAAGGCAGCTGCTGGACAGGGCTCAGGGGCCTGGGGCGGGGGAGGGGATGGGCCTTGCTGAGCTGCTCTCAGCTGGCATGTTCCCCACAGGCCACTACAGCCACCTTCTGCTCCACACAGACTCCAAAGGGAAATGTTGGCCAAAAGGGGCTGTTCCCCGCCTCGGGCCTCAAATCCCCACATATGCAAATCTAGTAGGTGGACCAGGGAAAGCTAGGCAGACAGTAGTGTTTGTAGTAAGTGAGATGCATCAGTTGTAATGAGCAAGGCTTTTTGGAAACTGACCTTTTTAACTTCAAGTGGGTCTGTTGGTGAGAGATAGAATTTCTGTGACTGCGTCAGGATTGGCTGGAACGCACTGCTGAAGCCTGGGAGGCAGTTAAACTCGTGACAACAACAGAATTGGCAATGGAGCTGCAGGCACCAGATACTGTGCCTCCTCGCCTGGGTACGTATGAGGATGGGGTGGCTTTGAGTAGCCAGACCTTGTTTCTAGGAAGTCCTTTGAATATAATTCTTAGATTTATAAATATATTTACATTCTATAGCCCCTAAACAGCAGAGTATTTTTAAAAACTCTTTGAAGAGCTCCGTGAGTCAGTGATGAATGACAGGCTAGGGAAACAATTGTTGTTTCCTCTCTGTGTCACGTTTTCATTCTAGGGAATCCGGTGGTTTTGCTGTCCAGTGGCTTTTTTGATGTGAGCGGTAACAGGGCACTCCCAACTCCCCCCCCCCCCCCCCCCCAGCCATAGATGACCGGCTGTGCAGGGCATTCTCAGCTTTAGTATTCTCTGATCCGCTGAAGACACCCGCGTTAGCCTGCAGTCCCTGTCACCCGCCCATTTTTCCTTCCCTTCTGCTCTGTTTGCCTACGGTTCGTGCCTGCACTGTTGAGAGCCATGCGAGCTCTGTGCTGAGTGCCTGAAGCCCAGCCTGACAGCCAGCACAGTGAGGCGGCCCTTCACACCCATCGGGGGATTGATTTCCTTGCCATTAGGGAAATGCCTGCATTTTCGGATGCATCACACTGCTTAGGCGTTATTTCTCTGTCTCTTCTCCAAGGAAATACACCATGCCAGATCCAGTTTTCTGTTTCTGTTCACGCTCACGCACCGTTGAAAACCAAGATTTGGCCAGCTGCATGGTGGCGGCATGGCAGGAAGCAGGGAGGACCGGGTGGGCAGCCAGTTTACATGCCAGTGGAGCAGAGCCTGCCCCCTGCCAGAGGCCTGGCCACCTCAGCACTCCAGGCACCCATCCTGAAATGCTTCCTAACCAGCCCCCTTTATCCCCGCAGGCATGGGCCGACGCCTTCCGGAGCAGCCCTGACCTCACTGGCGTTGTCCATATATATGAGGAACTGAAGAGGAAAGGGGTCGAGTTTCCCATGGCCGACCTGGATGCTCTGTCTCCCATCCACACACCGCAGCGGGTGAGCGTCCAGCTGGCATTTTCTAGAAAAGACCTATTGCAGAACGGGCAAGCCACCTCCACCACCCTTCTGCTACTCCGCGTAAATTATTCAGCTTGTCATCAGGCTTTCTTCAAGCTCTGGGGCATTTCTTGTTAATAACAAGGGGGATGCAGGAGGCAGACAGCTGGTTGACTGGTGATTAAGTGGCAGCAGCGTCCCCCCACCCCCACCTTTTCATACTGACTGGGGAACAGCAGAGTGATCTGGGATCGATTTCAGTGTTTTCAGGGAAATGGCTGTGTGGGTGGGGCCATGAGAGAAGGGTCATTAACACCCAGGGATTCTGGAGGGGGAAGGGAATGCTGCCACCTTTGAGGCACTAGCAAGTACCTCAGCGTTGGCTAGGTGGCAGAGAGGGCTGGTGACATCATCTATTCTGGGGCAAGAAGTGACTGTCACTTTTTTCTTTTTTTCTTTTTCTTTCTTTCTTTCTTTTTTTTTTTTTGAATCACACCCAGCGATGCACAGGGGTTATTCCTAGCTCTGCACTCAGGAATTGCTCCTGGCAGTGCTTGGAGGACCATATGGGATGCTGGGGATTGAACTCTAGCTGGTCGCGTGCAGGGCAATTGTACCCACTGTACTATCATTCCAGCCCCAACTGTCACTTTTTTCATCTGTGCAAGTCAAACGAATGAAAAGTGGACTTTGGGCTGGAGGAATCGGCCTCCATGCAGACCCCCTTGAATTTTGTCCGCCTTGGGTATCAAAGCCAGGCAGAACCTCATTGCATTTTACAGCAAGACAGCTCTGTGCATTACAAGTCGGAGGCCATCTCTTTCATCCCCTCACCCAGAAATGAGTCTCTACAGTGTGGGAATTAGCCCCTTCCCCAGGAGAGGGCTGGGAAGCCATCAGGGACTTGGAGAGGCCCCTCATCCCAGCACACTTCCTGCGGGTGCACCTGTGCAGGTTTCTGTGTGAACAGTTAGCATTCAAGAGGGGATCTGAGATACCCAGAGGGAAAGCACAGGAATTGGACTTCCCAAAGCATTCTTTTTATTACCGTCCCTTCCAATCACTTACTCTGCTTTGTGGAATAAACATAACCTGTTTCGTTCTTCTAGAGTTACAGAACAGTGGTGTTATTCCTATCATTGCAAAGAAGGGTCCGCCGTATATTATGTAATTATTATTGATATTAGTCTACTCGTAAAGCCCAGAATATAGTCTTTTGATACCAAGGAAAGAATTGTGATTAACCAAATTTAAGAGCAGCGCCCTCCTTTAGGATCCGAGGCGATGCTGATAATGGGAACCACAGCCAGTCTTACAGGCTGCCTTTCCAGGTCACTCTGGTTGTCTGGGAGGGACAGGCAGGCCACAAGCCACCCCCTTGCCTCTCTGTAGGCTGCCATGGTAGGAGGTGCTGCCTGGGTGGGTAGATGCTAGGCCCCGCCTCACCAGGAGCCCAAATGAACCGAGACTTTGTCGTTGCCATGCTAGAGCGTGCCTGAAGTGGATCCCGCCACGACCATGCCCAGGTCCCAGTCGCAGCAGAGGACAAGCACCGGCTCCTATTCCTCACCTTCTCCCGCTCCCTACTCTACTCTGCAGGCCCCAGCCCTGAGTGTCACTGGGCCCATCACAGCCAATTCAGAACAGGTACTTGCATACTTCCGGGTCACAGCCAGCTGTCCTCCTTCCTCTTCCAGGGGACTCTAGCTCTGGGCTAGTCCCCGACTCCTCAGCCGAGGGCTCACAGTGCAGTGAGGACAGAAAAAGACAGCAGAGCAGTGTAGCCATGCTGCATGGGGAGCAGGGCCCAAGCACGCTGTGAGCCCAGGCGGTTTAGGAACGGACGCTGTGGCAGGCTTGAAGCCACACCTAGTGGTGCTTGGGGATGGAGTGATGCCCGGGATTGAACCCAGACTTTCCATATGCAAAGCCTGTGTTCTAGCCCTTTGAGCTCTTTCCCTGGTCCACATCCAGTCAGATGGAATGTGTGCTTTACATACAGGAGATTTTGGCCCAGTCCCTGATACTGCACATTCCCCTGAGCACCAGTGGGAGCAAGCATTGAGCCAGGAGTAGCCTCGGATATGGCCAAAATAAACAAAAAAGGTCAAAATAAAAAGAGAGTCTTCAGGGAAAAATATCTATCCAATTTTTATATTTTAAAACTGTATCTGGGGCTAGAGAGGCAGTACAGTGGGCAAGGCACTTGCCATGCATGTGAGTGACTCAGGTTCGATCCCTAGCACTTCATATGGTTCCCAAGCCTGCCAGGAGGGATTCCTGAGCTCAGAGCCAAGAGTAAGCCCGAGCACTGCCAGTTATGGCCTCCAAACCAATAAGTAAATAGTAAAACTCAGTATCTGTCTTGATAGCAAAGTCATTATTGGGCCAGAGAGAGTACTGAGGTTAAGGTGCTTACCTTGAGTGTGGCCAACCCTTATTCAATCTCCAGCATCAGATACGGTGCCCTGGCACTGCCAGGAGTGATCTCTGAGCACAGAGTAAGCACTAAGCACCAATAAAATTGGCCCCAAGCCCCAAAACAAACAGAAACAATGTCATTATTCTCACCATTCCGAAACTCTATTTAAACAATGGTCTATGAGTGGTTCTGTGAATCAGGCTGCTGTGGCAGACCCGGCACATTTCTGTTCTTTGCCTGCCCCAGGATGGGCTGATGGGGTCCACATGGCCTGTCTCTGGGTTCCGGCTCTGAGTCTCCCATCACTGGATGGGACAGCGATCCTTCCTCTCACACAGGGCAGTTAGAGCTTGGTGACAGCTGGAGAGAACCCAGGATAATCCCCCAGTGCCAGGGATGCTGCTAAGGGAAGAGGCTGAAGCCCGTTGCTGAAGTGTGAGATTCACAGAGCTTTCTGCCTCAGTTCACTGGATATTGCCTTCCCTTCTTTTTTGTTTCTTGTTTTGTTTGTGGGAGGAGTGTTTGGGGGCCACACCCAAAAATGCTCAGGGCTTTTTCCTGGCTCTATGCCCAGGAATCACTCTAGTGGGTTCAAGGGACCATATGGGATGCCGGGGATCCAGGCCAGGTTCGCCACATGGGAGGCAAGTCTGGTACTTGCCTTGTACTGCCCCTCAGGTCTCTGCCTTCACTTCTCACCCACAATGATGGGTATTAACTTCCAGTGAGGAGCTGGGAAGAAGGTCCCCGTGGCCAGAGAGTGATGCTCCCTGCAGTGGAGAGGGAGGCGGACGGGATGGAAGCTGGGTGGCCGGTGCCATAGGAGATGATCAGGACACCATCCAGCAGCCATGATCAAAGGGGTTCTGGAGAGGTACAAGTCTTGCTCCTGGTGGCGGGAGTAGGAGCAATGTAGAAACCAAGATTAGCAGGCTCTCAGCCTTGCCCCAAGGATACTCTTGGTCTCGAATTATCCTGCCTGGGGCTCCCCTGGCCAGAAAACTCAGCTCAGATGGGGCACAAGCATCCACCAGGAAGAGGCAGAGGCCTCTCAGGCCTGGCCTGCTGCCTTGGTTGGCCATTGGTCATCTATCTCCCCAGTAAGCACTTACGAAACCTCCTGTCTCAGGCCTGGTGCCCAGGATGCATCCAGACAGGGGCCCGCAGGGGAGGCAGGAAGGCTGGGTTCAGGGAAGCAGGGGAAACCGAGAAGGTATCACAGGGAACTCTGTCGGAATGCACTTAGGAGCAGTTGCCCAAGAGAGCCCTTTGGGATATTCTAGCCTGCAGGGGACCAGCTCCGTAATGAGCTCTGTGTTTGTCAGCCAGAAAGACTTGTTCATGAGTTACTCACAGCACTCTGGGAGGTGGCATTATTACCCCTTTGGTATAGGACGGAGCTGCTCTGCCACGAGGCCATGCTCTTGGGCATCTTCCTCTCCCCGCCGTGTCTGCCGTATTTGGCCTGTCTAGCAGGGATTCCGCCATCACTGAGTCATCCTTTTGTGTGTTTGGTGGGGTGAAGGGGGAGCAGTTTCAATGAGATTCCTTTGTAGTGCCACTCAGTAGGTAAGTTAAGGGCCTGCGGGCACAAGATGCCTTAAAGGGGCGTGGAGAGTAAAGGAGCCAAGCCCAGGCTGTACACAGTGGCCAGCACGTGGGAGAGGCCACGTCTGGGCCCAGCGCAGGCCCTGGGGAGTTCTGGTGGGTGGGAGGGCGTTTGTGGAGTGTTCAAGGGTCATGTTATACTTTGGCAGGTAGTGGGTGGGGGACTATGGGTATGGATTATAAACTCCTAAGCCAGTGCTTTTCACAATGAGGAGCTGGCTCTGAAGGGAACAGTGGGGTCTAGTGTTGCTGCCCCTTGAAAGAGCAGAAGCAGGCCTGGGACGGCAGTTCCCCACTAGGGCCAGGGCTAAAACCAATTGCACCTGAACTGCCTCAGTGTCCCAGGCAGAGTTGACAGGCAGGGCCTTCTGGGAGGGCCTCCCCCCCTTCCCCCCACCCCCCCACCCCCCGGTTCCTCTCAGAGCTGCAATCACCCTCACACACTGGGGAACGTGCTTCTGTCCCACACCTAAAGGTCACGAGGATTGGGACCCTTGGCCAGAGATTGGTTGGCTGACCTCCCTGCTCCTTCCCCGGCCCCCACAGATTGCTCGGCTGCGAAGTGAACTGGACGTTGTTCGAGGAAACACAAAAGTCATGTCTGAGATGTTAACAGAAATGGTTCCTGGGCAGGAGGACTCGTCCGACCTGGAATTGCTGCAGGTGAGGCCCGGATTGTAGAACCGTCTCCAGCAGAGAGGTAGGAGGGGACTGGGAGCGCTGCTTGTTGAAAGGGCGTGTCAGGCCCCCTCAGCCTCCCGCTTCCCCAGAGCACGCGGAGGTCATTATCCAGGCTCCCAGGTTGGCCTGGATAACTTTTCTTCATGATTGTAGAATGCCAGTTGCAGAATACATGCCCATTGAAAGAATAAAAATGAAAATGATAATTCTCCTGATCCCAGCATCCACAAATAGCCACTGTCAGTATTTGAATGTGTTCCTTTAGACTTTTTCCTATGCTTCTTTTAAATGTAATTGAGATTATATTATGTGTATGATTTTATGTGTAACTTTGCTCTCAATATTATGTGAAAAATAGTTCTAGCAGGATGCCAGAGAGATAGGGAAGGGGTTAAGGGACTTGCCTTATATGTGGCTAACCAGAGTTCTGTCCCTAGTACCGCACCTTAGCACCACCAGGAGTGATCCCTGAGCATAGTCAGGTGTAAGCACTGAGCCCTGTCAGGTGTGACCCAAAATGCCCAAATTAAAAAAAAAAAATGGGATCGGAGTGATAATACAGCGGGTAGGGTGTTTGTCTTGCATGCAGCCGACCAGGGTTTGATCTCAGGGTTTAATCCTATATGGTTCCCTGAGCACCACCAGGAGTAATTCCTGAGTGCAGAGCCAGGAGTAACTTCTGAGCATCATCATTGTGACTCAAAAAGAAAAAAAAAAATAAAATAAAATAACAATGATTTGTGGTAGCACCTCTCTGCCTTTCCTGTGGGTTAGGAGCCCTTCTAGGCACAGCTGACCACGCTTCCCTCCCTGCCCTCCCCAGACATCCCTAAGGCTGAGACAAAAACCAGAGGTTCCTTTTCTTTCTTTTGTGTTTGTATGTTGCACCACACCCAGCTTTGCTCAAGCCTGGGAGCAGCTTAGTGCTTGGGGGTCACTCCCGGTGATGCTGGGGGGAGGATGCAGTTCAGGGGAGTCGAACCTGAGACTCCTACATGTAGAGCACGTGTCCTAGCCCTGTGAGCTCCCTCTGGGTCCTTGAAGCTCCCTCCGCCTCTCAAAGCTAGAAGCATGGCTGTGACGGGGAGGGTTCGGGAGAAGGAGGGACTCCCTCTGGAGGACCGTTCCCAGACTGTTGGCGGTCCTGCCTCAGCTTGTCTCCAGAGCAAGCCCTCTCACAGGTGGCATCTGTGGAAATGACCGTTCCCTTCCTTCAAGGCTGTGACCTTCTGGAGGGGTGGAGGAAGGATGCTGGAAACTCAGCTGCCAGGTCTTTCAGCAGGAGGCGAGATGCTTGAATAAACAGAGCAGCAGCCAGGCGGGCTTGGCGAGCCGGTGTGAGCGCATCAGACACGCCGCTGCTGCTATTTTTGTCTGGCACTTGGAGCCATCAGTCAGTGCCTCACCTCCACCCTGTGCTGGGCACAGATTCGCTGCCCACGAAGGCTCAGCCCTGACTAACACTTCTTTTTCAAAACATCTGTGTGCTGTAGCTGGTCGTATTGAGGGTCTACTCCTGGCAGTGCTTGGAGGACCAGGCAGTGCTGGGTGTTGAGCCTGGGGCCTCCCACATGCCAAAAAAACACATACTCCAAGGGCGAGAGTGAGAGTACAGCAAGTAGGGCGCCTGCTTTGCACTGGCTGACCTGGGTTGGATCCCTGGCATCGCATACGGTCCCCTGAGCACTGCTGGGAGTGATTTCTGAGTACAGAGCAGGAGTAAGCCCTGAGCATCATCAGGTGTGGCCCAAAAGAGCATGTACTCCAGCGCTTCCAAGCCGAGAGCACTGCCTTGAGACAGCTCATGCAGAACCCTGAGTGGGCTCTCCTGGCTTCCGGCCGCCCACCCTGACGTCTACAGTAGAATGGGCCCGCCTCAATTTCACAGGCCCAGCTGCCTCTCTTCAGGGGATGTCATGGCCTCCCTTCCACACTTGTGGGGGTTTTTCCTTGCAGCCCCCCAAAGCACAGTGTCTGAGATTTCCCCAGAAGCTGAGTTGGCCTCCCAGTGGCTTTGTGCTGTGTCAGCCTCAGAATTCCTGCTGGCAGGGGGTGGCAGTGGACAGGACTGAGCTGGTGGGGGACGGGGGACGGGGGTGAGGGGTGAGGGGGCTGAACGAAGCCAGCATGCTGTCAGGCAGCGAGAATACCCTCAGCGTGCAGAAGTGCATATGTGTGCACGTGCACACCTGTCCCAGTGCGTGCCTGTGTGTTTTAAACAAGCCCATCATCCAAGACAAACAGAGCCTAATCTCCTGGCGTCAGCTCGGTTTTCAAAAATAGGTTTGCTTCCCATGACGTTTTCCTTCCCTCTGTTTTGTTCCAAGCCTCCCAACCCTCACTGCTATCTTATCAATCAAGCCCAGAAAGAGCGGCTCCGGGTGTCGGCGGGAGGCTGCTCTCTCAGCGCCGACTGCAGGGAGTCAGGCTGCCCTCTGAGAGCAGGCCAGTGCTGACGGCTGCAGGCCCCTCCTCCGTCATCCCTGACACTGTCCCTCCTCCTCTTCTCCTGATGTTGGAGGCCTGCCAGGCGAGGTCTCCCGAGGGTTGGGGCTGACCAAATGGTGATCCTTCCACAGAGGAAAATGCCAGTCAGCTTGGAAAGTGAAGCGGCCAGAATGTACCCAGGACCCTCTGCTAAGCTGGAGGGTAGCCAGCTGCTCAGGGTAGAAGCGTGTGTCCTCTGCCCACAGTGCTGGCCAAGGCCATGGAAATAAGCACATTTGTCACTCACCCAAGTGTTCACACCCACAGAAGCTGCTTCCATCTGGAGGCTCCATTTCTGGGTAGAAGGTGGAGGAAATGGAAAGAGAGGAAATTGGAGATGTCTGCCCAGAGCACCAGTGTGGCCACCCATAATTATGGTCCGGATTGCTTCCTGCACCTGGCAAAGCACTTTCATATGTAGCTCCCTGTCTCCCCAGAGAGCAGCCAGGAAGCCATTTGCCCGAGAACTCACGGGTGGGGGAGGGGAGGCTGAGACCACCCCACCCCCATCAGCTTAGCTGAAGCAAGGAGCAAGATGCTGGAGGGAAAAGCACCTCCAACTCCACACGCCAACTCCAACCCCACTCCCTCCCTCCGGGGGAAGTAAGACCTTTGCTGCACGGCCAGCCCATGTCTGGACTCAGATGCCCTCTCCAGCAGCTGGCCTGGAGCCTGCCTCATTTTCCTTAACACCTTCGGTGACAGACAGTCTGTCAGCCCATGAAAGCACTTCCGCTCCCAAGCTCACTGTGCAAACAGACTTTGGGAAGCAAGAGAGCCAGGCAGAAAGAGCAAGAGTTTAGGAGCCTCTGTGTCAATTTCAAGCTGACAGCTGACAAACTGGGTGATGCTCAGCAAGTCCCCTGCCCACCCCACCCCCACACCCCCAAAGATCCGGAGTGCTCAGTCTCAGCATGGAAGGATGGAGGATCATCTATTTGAAGTGCTGTCGTGGGTCAAGAATGTAGCTCAAGTCGTGGCCATTTGCTTTAATTTTGCCTGGCACAGTCAAGTCCCTCACGCCGCAGCTGGAGCTTCTGTGATTCCCTCCCTCCCCACACACACACCCCAGACCCCCACCCCCCGCCCGACATGGCCTGCCACACGTCGAGCTAAAGGCAATCTCCTATTTTCCTGCCTGTGCTGCCCCAGTCTAGCCCCTTCAACACCAGAATGAAAACCAAGTCCTGGTTCACGTCGTATGTGCAGCTTGCCATTGGATGTCCGTGTGGTACACTGGTGGCAGCTCTCCCTGTAGGTGACCAGGCAGTTTTCCACAGGTAGTTTCCCGCTCTCTGCTGACACCATGAGTCGTGTCTTCCCCACCCTGCATTGGGCCCCTGAGTTCAGGCATGAGCTGGATGGCCTGCCTTGGTCAGCTCAAGTTCTCATCCCGGGAAACAGCCATGCAGCCGACATCTTAGAATCCTTAAAGATCGTGATCCTGCCCTTTAGCACCCCCACGCTGTCCTCAAATTAGCCTCCTGAGCTCTGTCTCCTTTTGATAATAACTTTCAAAGACCCAGCAATGTCCCCAAACTGGGCCCCCCTACATGGCCAGCCATCAGATCACAAAGCAGTCTTTCTCCATGTGCTTCTTCCAGCAGCAGACGGTGAGTCCCCTCGCTTCTTGCATCTCATTTCAGCAAAGAACAGGGAGGGTGGCCAGGACCCTTTCTCGGGAGAAAGTTGGCTTATTCTACATGTTTGGTTTCCTGATTTCCCCTTCCTCTCCCACAAAGAGAATTTCTCCCCCCTCCCCTACGCTCGGCAGCTGTAGAAAGTAGATCTTCAGGACCTCATCCCGTATTCCATAGAACTTGGAGAGGGTTCAGAGGAAACCCATAAAGATGATTAAAAGATTGTTTGGTAAGGTGGGGATGAGATTGTCCCTTGAAGAGAAGATGAAGGAATTGGAATTAATTAGGAGAGAGGGGCTATTTTCATCTGATATCCTGATGGATGATGGGCTTTTGCACAAAGAACCGTCACCAGCTGTTCTCTCTGTGGAGAACCGGAGAAACAAGGAGGCCAACTCTGAAATCTTCAGCGATCAGGAAATTCCTAGCCCAGCTGGTGCACAGTAGGAAGGAGCAGCTGGGCCAGCTGCCGGCTGGAGGTGTCCTCAGACAGGGAGAGTCGCTGTCTGGAGGCGGGGGTGGAGGAGGCCTCGCCGCAGGGCCTGCTGCCGCTCAGGTGTGGGGCCGGGGAGGCCGCGCAGGGGCCTGGCTGGGGGATGTGATGGTGAGACTTTCATCTCCAGTTCTTCCTCTCCCTTTCAATTTCTTTTGCCCTCTTCTTTTTGCCTTCCGATTTAATTTTTACAATGTTCAGGGTCACACCTGAGGGTACTTAGGGGCCACTCCACACTCTGGGCTTCAGGAATCACCCGCAGCAAAGCTCAGGGGATCATGTGGTTTCAGTGATGGAACCTGGGTCTCCAAGATGCAGAGCTTGTTCGCCGCCCTCTGAGTTCTCTCTCGCCAGCTCCTTATTTAATATTTCTGAAAAGACAACAACTTCAAAAGGGGCAGCACAGGGGCTGGAGAGATAGCACAGCGGGTAGGGCGTTTGCCTTGCACACGGCCGACCCGGGTTCAATTCCCAGCATCCCATATGGTCCCCTGAGCACCGCCAGGAGTAACTCCTGAGTGCAGAGCCAGGAGTAACCCCTGTGCATGGCCAGGTGTGACCCAAAAAGCAAAAGAATAAATAAATAAACTTTTAAAAAAGCGGGGGCAGCACAAAGATGGTAAAACTTCTCCTTCAGGCTCCAGAGAGCCCTGGAGACCCCTGCTTTGGAAGCCCCAGCCTACCTATAGAACCTTCTGGTCTGTGGAGACTCCCTATGAGGTGTGAGGCTGCCTCACCTTGCACCCCAGCTGCAGTCGGTGGGGAGAGAGGAGGTGAAGGCTCCAAGGGGGATGTTTCTGACCTACCCTCCTTGGGCTCTCTATATCCTGTGCCCTTGGCTCTCATTCTTCCTCTGACCCAAGGTCATGATGCTTCTAGAGCTGTAGGAACGATCGAGAACTTTCCGAGTATCTTCGTAAAGTGCTCAAATCCTTTCCTCTCCCAGTGGATCCCCACGGAAGTGCAGTATCTGGAGAGGAGGGAAGCAGAGGCAGCCCGGCCACCCTGGGTGCTGTACGGGCGCCTCACTGGGGTCCAGTGGTGCTTCCCCGCTTCCTCAGGCCCTGAGGCTGGGCAGCCACTCCTCCACTGACAGTGCCCTGGGCGTTTGGTAGGTCCTCCGCAGTCCTCCAAGGCAGTGTTTCTCACCTGTTTCTGACCGTGGCCCTCTCCCATTCTGTTTCTGTCGTGTTCCCTGCTCTCCCCAACCTACCAACTGGAATGTGCTGTGGCCCCAATTTACATGATTTTTGCCTGTGGTCCCCTTGAAATAGTCTGAGACCCACAGGGGCCACACAGTGCCTGCTTAAGAAATGCTGCTCTAGGGATTGGTCCACTTCTCGTTTGACATCACTTTTCCCCCTGTTTGTTTGTTTTGTTCTCTTTGGGGGCCACATCCATCAGTGCTCAGGGCTTACTCCTGGCTCTGGCCCAGGGCTCACTCCTGGCGGGCTCAGGGGACCATATGGGATGCCAGGAATGAACTTTGATTGGCCACACACAAGGCAAATTCCCTATCCTATATATTATTGCTCCAGGCCTGGCCTTCAGTTCTTGGCAGGAAGTCCCAGCCAGATGCACTGTAGAAGACTGAGAACATGATGTGGCAGCACTGGGGAGGGGGTGGAGAGGGGTGCATCCAGAGAGCCGCGAGAGCTTGAGGAAGGAGGCTGATAGCAGGGTCCCAGAAAACATTCTGAGTGGATAGGGAGATGGCAGCTGGGTCAGTGCGGGGAGAGCTGGCCCCTTAACATGTTAATGTGTTGTGCCTGTGGGTCCATTCTAACATGCCCTATGTGGGAAGTGAGGTGTTGGCCATGAGGTGTTGGCTGGGGAAGCATCCAGGGCCTTGAAGGATGAGGAGGGATTTCTAAGATGGGACAGGATATTGCAATCGGAGGTTCAGGGGTGCCTGGGCAGTGGGGGCCAGTGCCTGAGGTCGTGTGCTCTCCAGCTAGTCTGAAGTGCTTGGAGAAGGCTCACAGGCTCTAGGAAGTGACGTCACAGGCTTCTGCAGAAGCAGCGTCTGGGCCTGGGGTCTGCAGACTCTGAGCTGCTCCCAAGGGCGGGGTCTGACTCAGCTTCGCAGCTGCAGCCTGGGACTCTCATCGCCCCTTGGCAGCGGGGATGGAGTGCAGAGCATTGGGTAACGTGCACTGAGTGTGGCTGCAAAGAGCACAACCTGCCTGCATTGGTTAATTCTCCCCCAAACACTTAGGAGTGACTCCCGTGTGTCAGTCCTGGGGAAAGAGGAGAAGAGGCATGTCTGTCTAGATGAGAGACACTCCACCCCCACTCCACAAGGACCTCATGTGATGAGCACATTCCTGATGGCAGTAGGGAGGGGCCGCTTAGGTGGGCCTGCATCCCTGCTTTGTGTGTCTGACCACATTGGCTGCCAGTTGGCAGATGATTACTGGGCCAATGCCCTGTGCGTGGCTTAGCCCAGGGCTTGGGGGCATTCCCCCACAAATAATGATGGCACCTCCCTCACATTTATGATCTGGTAGGAGGGGAACCTTCAAGCCAAGGAAACCAGATGGTGAATCAACATGGAGAGCAAAACAGAGAGTGTGTATGTCTGCTCAGGCTCCAGCGGTTGCTTCTACCAGAATCCTCTTCCCTGTGCTTCCTCCCTGCCCCTGTTGCACCAAGTCATCTGCTTTTTTCAGTGTCCAGGCAGGTGGCGACAGCCAGGTCTCCCTCGTCCGAAGCCCTGTGTGTCTCAGACCATTCCCTCAGGCAGGCCCGGAGTCAGGGAAGCAGCTGCGGGACCAGCCTACAGCATTGCCAGCTCTTCCCTGTCTTGGGGCCCGTGTGGCAGACAGGTTGGCTTCTGGGGAGTTCCACCTGCATGTCTCTGTGAGTTTCTATCAAGCCCCTCCTATGTCAGGGGAAGTCTGCTGAAGCCCAGCCATATAGCAGTGAAGTCGGTGGGCCCCTACAGGTGGCTTCTGAGAGATGTCCCTTTCTCCCGAGCTGCCTCTGCCATCCCGGGACCGGCTGGGAAAGCTAGGACTGGTAAAGTCTGCAGTGAGCCCCTGCATGGCAAGGGTTAGAGCCGCCCAGCTCCACCAGGTGATCATCAAGCCACACCTGTTGTCCGCTTGGTTTTCTCAGCGCGGGAGTTGATCCCCCACCCAATTTCTCCCTGTGGACTCAGGCTGGAGTGAGGAGCTGCTCTTTGCAGGAAAGGAAAGCCAGTCCTAGCCTTACCCAGGTATCCAGGTCTTTGTCCTATTTCACAGAAAAGATTTTCAGGCGTTAACAGCAGTGAAGTAAAAACAGATTTTGTTTGGAGGTTTTTTTGAGGAAGGGAAGGAGGGAGAGCAAAGGGAGAGTGAGTAACACACTCAGAAGAGAACACGGGCTTCTCCAGAGATGGAGAGAGCCCCACTACACATCTCAAGAGGGGAGATGTGGGCAACACATGTGCTCAGCCATGGGGGCACAAGCAGCACATGGGCTCAGGGAGCATATGCACACCTTCCTTTAGTTCAAGGTGAGTTTTATCGGGTTTTTCCCAAGTTACCTCATGTAGGGCTTCTAGCTAGGTAAGAGTCTGTTGCTAGTGTGATTGCCAAGGATATCGAGTTGGGAATGGTCGATGGTCTTCTTTGAAATTCCTTTCCTTGGCCTTTGTTCCTGCTAAGCTTCTCTGGGAGGGGGTCCCAGCCTTCTCTGGGTCTGTTGGCACCAGGTGAGGGTTTTATCAGGCCTCTGAGCTCACAAGGTGGGCTTTTTGTAGTTTGGGGCTTATTGGTTTTATTGATTCCCAAGAATTCCATTGCCATGGGAGGGTGGGCCCTCTCCTATCTACCTCCTACATTAGCATCAGGGGCTGAATTTGAGGGTGGGGAAGCTTCCAAGGGTGGAGAGTGTTCCAGTAGCTTCTGAGGGTAGACAGTGTTCCAGTAGCTTCTGAGGGTGGACAGTGTTCCAGTGGTGCCTGGCAGTTCCTGCAGGTCTTTAGCCAGCCAGGGAACCTTGTGGCTGGGCCTCTGAGCCCTCAGCAGGTGACAGGCTTGCCAACAGAGTGCACCAAACGCAGACATGAAACACGCTTGTGCGGTGGCCGGGGTGTCCATGCACCACAACCATCATTTTTGGTGATTGATGGGGGGGTGGTAACTACCAGAAATCAAATCCAGTCACAGCATACACCCACCCCTGAGCTGCATTCTGGCCCCAAACTGATCCCATCCTTTTGGACACTCTTTTACTATCACCATTTCAGTGTGCGCTGTTTTGGGGTCACACCCAGCAGGGCTCAGGAGCTGCTCCCCATTCAGTGCTGAGGGGCTCCTCCTGGTGATGCTCATAGGTCTATGTGGTGCTGAGGCTCAGTTTTGACCCCGGAGCTCCTACAAGCGCTTCAGCCCTTAGAGCTGTCTACCCAGGCACACCAACTCATACTCTAAAGGACCACACCCTTTCCACCCAGAAATCCCACACCTGGGGATGCATCCTGTGGAAGTGCTGGCAGGAATGCACAAGCATTTATATGTACAAAGGGCTTCACTGTCCTATTTGCACAAGTCAGAAAAGCACAGCCACCACCTCAACACCAGTGACAGAAGATTGGCCATCTACATCGTGATACACAAAGGGCAATCTGGGAGGGCCAGTGGCAAAGGTGTCTCAAATGTCAGGTCGGGGAGAAAAAGCAAGTTTGGGTGGGGATGGAGAGAGAGTCCAGTAGGTAGGATGCTTGCCTTGCATGCAGCTGATGCTGGTTTTAGCTGGACACTAATATAGGGTCCCTGGACCCCCCCACAACCACCACCAAAGTGATCCCTGAGTACAGAGCCAGGAGTATGCCCTGAGAATGCCAGTTGTTACCTGGCAACCAAAATGTAAATGTTACAAAAATCATGTTCTTGTATTTTTAAAACAATTTGTATAAATGTACAGGGGGAAACATCCAGCACACATGAGCCTGGATGTCTGTCTTAGGGAGGGAGAGGCCATCTGCACAGTGGCAGGGAGGAGAGAGGGAGGGCCTGGAGCTCTGCCGCCCTGCACACAGGGCCCGCCGCGCGGACAAGCCTGCGTTCCTTTCCGTGTACATCCTGGCAGAGAAGGTGGAGCGCGGCACAGCGCCCAAGCCGGCTGCCCCAGTGCATCTGTTCTAGGAGCTGAACCGGACCTGCCGGGCCATGCAGCAGCGCATCGTGGAGCTCATCTCCCGGGTGTCTAACGAGGAGGTCACTGAGGAGCTGCTGCATGTCAATGACGACCTCAACAACGTTTTCCTCCGCTATGAGAGGTGGGGCCACCTTCTGGGCTCTTCCTTCCCTCTCCCCTTGAAAAGATTGTTGCCATAACAGAGGGATTTCTTTCATAAACAAAGGGGGGAGAGAGAGAGAGATTAGAGTTGGAAAATACTCATCAGAGATGCTAATTTGTTCCCAGATGACAGGAGAAAATGCCTCTTGCTCTCCTGGGAAGGGCTGCAGGAAGTGGCTGTGCAGATTAGGCTCTGCCCTTTGTATGCCGCCATAGGCTGCTCTTCCTCCCCGCCCCCATCACCACCCTGTCCCTGCAAGGGGGGCATTGAGGGGCCTGTGAGCCTTGGAGCTTTTGCACCTGCTCCTTTGAAGATCCTTTGAATTCGAAAAGGATTAAAGGGGGAAAAAACTCTACTAAGGAAAAAAGATTTCCTCTTTGCCATCTTTAACAAAAAAGAGGGGGAAAAAAGATGCCTGCTTCCTTTGCCAATGTCAATCTGGAGAACTCGGAGGAGCAGGCAGGGGTGAAGAGCTGGCACACTGCTACTCATACATTCACACACACTCACACACACATACTCACACACTTATACACACACACACTCACATACGCACACATACACTCACACACGCATCACACACACACTCACACACACACACACTCACACAGACACATGAGTGCACGCACACACATACACATTTATTTCAGGTCTTTCTGCAGCCAAATTCTTTTTGGATTTGAGGTAGCAAACTTGCAAAGTCTTTTCCTTTCCCAAAGCCTTTGGGGGAGCAGGGTTCTGGGGGTGGGTGCCAAGTCCAAATGTCTCATTCGGCGATCAGACCCACAGGAGGCGTGATGGTGGGCAGGGTCCTCCAGCCCACTCCCTGTGATGTCGGTGGGCCCCACGGGTGACTTATGTGAAGCGGGGAGGAGAAAGACGGTCACTTTCTCCCCAACCGCCCCTGCCACCCGGGACCCAGGGTTACTGGGTTCTTGTCTCGCCTAGCAGGAAGGAATTTCAGGAGTAGACAAGCAGTGAAATAAATAGATTTTATTTGGAGGATTTTTTAGGGTGTGGAGGGGGAGAGAGTGAGAGAGTAACGTACTCAAGAGAGAACACGGGCTTCTCCAAGGGCGGAGAGAGCCCCTACACTCATCCTAGCATTAGACACGAAAGCATGAAAGTACACATCTCAAGAGGGGAGATGCGGGCGACACATGTGCTCGGGTACCACGTGTGCTCGACCACGTGGGCGCAAGCAGCACATGAGCTCAGGCAGCATATGCGCGCCCTTCTTTTGTTCAAGGTGGCCTTTATAGGGTTTCTCCAACCTGCCCCCACGTGGGGCTTCTTCCCAGGTAAAAGTCTGTTGCTAAGGAGGTTACCAGGGAGGATGGGAGTGGTGGTCTTCTTTGGGCTGGATCACATTTTAATCAGATTAAGGGTTTGAGGAACTTCATGGGGAGGGGACCTATATCCTCAGGGTCTGCAGATGTTCTTATCAGGTCTTTATTTTCTGTATCGGCAAGGTGGGTCAGTCCTAGAATTCTTCCATGAAACTTTGTTAATCCAAGTTTCATTGCCAAGGGCCTTTCCCTATCTACCTGCCTACATCATATCCCCCCCTCCCCCAGAGATTTCACCACCTTAAATCTTTAAGGGGAAAATGGTCGGTGGTCCATCTTCTAAAGCTGCTTCATGCTGACAACGGACTTTTACCTGGGAAGAAGCTTCACGTGGGGGTAGGCTGGAGAAACCCTATAAAGGTCACCTCGAACAAAGGAAGGGCGCGCATATGCTGCCTGAGCTCACGTGCTGCTTGCGCCCACGTGGCCGAGCACATGTGGGCTGAGCACATGTGTCGCCCGCCTCTCCCCTCTTGAGATGTGTACTTTCATGCTTTTGTGTCTAATGCTAGGATGTGTGTAGGGGCTCTCCAGCCTTGGAGAAGCCCGTGTTCTCTCTTGAGTACATTACTCTCTCTCACTCTCTCCCCCTCCACACCTTAAAAATCCTCCAAATAAAATTTATTTATTTCACTGTTCGTCTACTCCTGAAACTCCTTTCTGCGAGGCGAGTCAAGAACCCAGTAACCCTGGGTCCCAGGTGGCAGGGGCGGTTGGGGAGAAAGTGACCGTCTTTCTCCTCCCCGCTTCACATAAGTCACCTGTGGGGCCCACCAACATCAGAGGCCCACCGACATCACCTGGAGACTCAGGGGTCAGCCTTTCTGTTGGCTCAGGGTCCTATGATCAGCATGACTTAGGAATTATGTGACACAACTAGCAGCTGGGGTCTCACATCTCTCTGCGTTTGTCAGGGGATGCACTTTACCTGATCTTCAGTCATGGCAGTAGATGTGCAGCCTATATGTCTGATGAAGGAGCACTGCGCTAAGAGCAGGGGCTGCTGCATGCACCTGCCAGGGGGTGGTCGGAGCAGATCTGGTGCCCAGACCTGGGACCAGTCTTCCTCCCTCTCTCTTCCTCTCCCTCTCTCCCTCTATCTCTCCCTCCTCCCTTACTTCCTTCCTCTCTCCCCCTCTCCTCTCTCTTTCTCCTATCTCCCTCTCCTTCCTCTCTTCCTCTGTCTCTTCCTCCCTCCCTCTCTCTTCTCCCTCTCTCCCTCTATCTCTCCCTTACTCCCTCCCTCTCTCTATCTCACCCTCCTCCCTCTTTCTCCTTTTATCTCTCCCTCTTCTCTCTCCTCTCTCTCTGTCTCCTTTGGGGGCCACACCCAGAGGTGCTCAGAGTTTATTCCTGGCTCTGTGCTCAGGGGTCACTCCTGATGGGCTCAGAGGACCTTATGGGGTGCCGGGTATCAATCTCAGGTTAGCTGTAGGCCAGGCAAGTGCCCACACAGTCCGAGCCCTCCAGCACCCATCCCCCCCACTTCCACCCCGTCCCAATCTCAGTCCTATCATTTGGTTCCAGATTTCCCACTTTTTTTTTTTTTTTCAATTTATTTAGTCACCATGAAGTTACAAAGTTTTTCATGATTGGGTTTCAGGCATGCAGTGCTTCAACATCAATCCCTTCACCAGTGCCCACTTCCCTCCACCAACTCCCACCCCCACTCCCACCCCGGACTTTTCACTTGAAGTAAAGCTTGACCTCTGTCCCCCCCTTTCTCTTTGTTGTTGTTGGGGTCGGGGAAAATGGGTGATTTGGAATTTTTAAATATGCAGTTTACACACACACACACACACACACACGCACGCACGCACGTACACACACACACACACCTCACAATTCCTCTTCTACTCCCCACTCAGTATGACATGCCTTAGGTCTGGGAGAGGAGAGTCAAGCCCATCCTCATCCAGTTTGCCCAAATGACCAGGAGAAAGCGGGCCTGGAAACCCTTCCTGCCTGGGCCTAAGTCTTTTGGCGACTGTCCCAGGGCTGTGCCGGCAGACCACGGCCGTGCCTGCCCCTCGCTCATTCTACCCATAGGTGTGGGCACACACAACAGCCGCTTTTCCCAGCAGAGCTTTGAAGAAGGGGGGCTGCTCTGGGTGATGGGGTGCTGGATGTGCCTGACCCTCGGGGATTCCGCTGTGGATGTGTGCACCCCACCTCCGAGCCGCACCCGGAGCCTAGTTGGCCTTTGCCAGCCCTCCCCCAGGAAGTCCTCTCTCCTTACTCTGCCTTTTCCCCCATTAGGTTTGAACGATACAGGTCAGGCCGGTCGGTTCAGAATGCTAGTAACGGAGTGAGTATTCCTGTAGTCTGCTCTTCCTCCACGAGTTGGCCTTACTGGGCTTCACCTGCACCATCCCAACCCACCGGGTCAGAATATCTGGGGGTGTCAGAGGACGGGCTCTGAGGGAGCCTGAGGAAGGAGGGGAGCAGAGAAACCCCCAGTCATAACTCACCCGCCACTGTCCTCCTTCAAGGGGAGAGGGGGTCTGCCGGGCCCAGTGCAGAGCCCTGGGTGGGTTCGGAGAGGCGCCTTGTCATGAACAGTGCATGTGGGCGTCCCCCCTCGTGACCTGCGCAGTGCCCACTGTCTGACTCACCCTCATCTCGCCTCTGACAGGTGCTGAGTGAAGTAAGTGAGGACAACCTAATAGACCTGGGACCTGGCTCTCCCGCCGTGGTGAGCCCGATGGTGGGGAGCACAGCTCCGCCTTCTTCCCTCTCTTCCCAGCTCGCGGGCTTGGGTGAGTACCAACAAGGGGGCCAGGGGCTTTCTTTGAAGGCCACTTCTTGAGTATGAGACTGAGCTGAGGGCCCCTTTCTCCTACCTCTGGTTTTGTTTTGTTTGGGGGCTTGGCAATGCTCATGGGTTACTCCTGGCTCTGTGCTCAGGAATTACCCCTGGCAGTGTGTGGAGGACCATATGGGGTGCCAGAGATTGAACCTGGGTCTACGTGCTGTGCTGTCTGTCCAGCCCCTCTTACTATTCTTATTTTCATTTTCCCCTCCCTGTTTGTTGTTCGATGACCAAGCCAACACCTGTGCACTGGTTGTGGTACTTGTGCACTTTGGTTCTGGTGCTCACGCACACTCCTTACTGTTGGTACAGGAGCAGCGGGTGGGTCTCTGCTCGTCCTGATTCCCAGGTTTTTCAATATTTTCAAGAGTGAAAACATTGAAAAGAAAAGATGCCCAGACTCAGAGTTGGAAAGTAGCAAAGTTTATAAGAAAGCAGAAAGGAAAGGGAGAGGAACTCCCTGCATGGAGGAACTTAGTACAAGACTAGGTTAACTATGGCTCTTTTTTGTGTTTGTTTGTTTTTTTTTTTTAAATAGGAAAAGTGGGTCTTTGTGTTACAGAGAATACAGGAAAGTTAAAGATAAGCGTTTTCCTGTAGACCCTTTTATTTATTTATTATTTAATTTTAAATGGAGAGTGGGCTCTTTGTGTTTCTTATCAATTGCCAAGTGTTACAGAGGGTGCCAGGATCTACCAGATCCTAGTCTGGCCATTTGCTGTAGCTGTTTCCCATTATCTGAGCCTCCGTGGCAGCCTAAGTTCTGGGGCAGAATTTTATGTGGGACAATTGTTTAGCTCCCTGTTAATCAGAAAGAGCCCAGGGACTGCTCAGAGCATCTGGCAAGGGGAAGCTGAGGCTTCCTCTTTCCCTGTGATACCAGGAACCCAAGTGGCAGAGCTTCCTGGGCTGCACTTGGCACATGGGGCAGGTCGTGGTTCCTGCTCCTGTCCTCATGCCCGAAGGACCCAGGCTCGGGGGTCCCCTGCTCCCTTTATCCTGAGCCTGGAGAACCTTTTGAAGAACCATGGGAAAACATATTACTTGAGTCCTGGCCATGTGTACCGCCTTCGCTTCGTAACTTCTTTTCCTAAACTTTAAGTAGTGGGAAATCAGGGGTAGACAAAGCTCCAAGGAACTGGAAGTTGTTTGCTTTTTAAAGGAAGGTAACCACTGTGTCTATCTGGAATATTTCCTTTTCGGTATCAACTCAGCCAAGCATGACTATAGATTTCAGATGGTTAGAATGATTGGAGTACAGTCTGTAAGGAGGCTGAAATCACACCAGCACTTGAGAGATGAGTCTGTGGTTGATTCTTGATGTCTGCCAGGGTTTGGAAACAGAAGGTGGTGGTTAACATACTTGCTTTCCTTGAACCTATATCAACCCGAAGTGTTCCTTTATCGGAAACCTGAACCAAGAACCTCACCACTTTCCTAGTGTGTTGTTCCAAAGGGGAGCCGGAAGTGTAGTACAAGATTTGAGGCACCTGCCTTGTGCGCCACCAAGTACAGTCTGATCCTTGCACTTCTGATGGTCCCCAGAGCGCTGCTAGGAGTGATCCCTGGCACAGAGCCAGAATTGGCCCAAAATAAAATATTCAAATTGATGATTCAAATTCATAACAAAATTATAGGGCTAAAGTCACTAACAAGTCACCTCAATTCATTTTCTGCTTTCCTTTTTTATTTTTTTTCTTAGTATCTGTCTTTATACCTTCATTTCAGTTCTGTTGTATTGATCTTTTATTTAGTGGCTGTCAGTTGCTACAATTCTAGTTTCTTGTTATCTCGGACATCTGTAGTTATTGTTTCTCTTTCAGAACAGATTTCTCTGCCTTCAATCCATGTGGCACATGGCTATCAGATTTAATACCTAAAATCCAAATTGAATTCTGCTATGTCCCGTCTTTTTAAAGCTCTAGTGTTTTCTCTGTCCACTCCTTGACCTGGCCTTGGAGCTGCTGACCAATCGCCTCCAGCAACTTCCCCAGCCTCCCTCCCACTCTCCTTCTCTCTCTCTGTGTGTGTGTCTCTGGCTCTCTCTGTGTCTCTGTTCTCTGTCTCTCTCTCTCTCTATTCCTCTCTCTGTCTCTGTCTCTGTTTCTCTCTTCCTCCTTCTCTCTGTGTCTCTCTCTCTGTCTCTGTCTCTCTTTGTCTCTTCCTCTCTCTGTCTCCATCTCTCTCTTCCTCCCTCCCTCTCTCTCTCTGTGTCTCTGCTCTCTCTGCTCTCTCTGTTTCTTTCTCTTCCTCCCTCTCTTTGTCTCTCTCTCTGTCTCTCTTCATCTCTCTCTTCCTCCCTTTCTCTCTGTCTCCCTCTGTATCTCTCCCTCCCTGTCTCGCTCTCTTTTTTCTCTCTCTTTCCCCTCCACTCCCCTCTCCTTTCTTTTCTCTCTCTTTTTCTCTCATATACATTAGACTTCTAGTTCCATGCCCTTGTGGGGTTTTTTGTTTGTTTTGGGGCCACACCTGACAGTGCTCAGGGCTTACTCCTGTCACTGTGCTGAAGTATCACTCCTGGCAGGGCCAGGGACTATATGGGGTGCCGGGGATCAAAGTCCGGCCCCATGCAAGGCAAAGGCTCTAGCATGTACTCTATACAGCTCTCTCCTGCCCCCCGCCTCTGTCCCTGCCTTTCCTGCCCGCTTCTCCCAGCAGCTCCCACAGAAAACTGGCGCTTGTGCCAGTGTGAGTCTTCCCTAATATCTTGAGCTCAAGCTCAAGCTCCCACCTATTTTATGTACTCCTTGGGGCAAGACTCAAAGTGTTCTGTCCAGGATCTAGCTCTGAACGTGCGACCAGGGGGTGCCTATCAAACTTTTGTCAGAGAAATATGTGGTGGGTCCTTAGATCCTTTATGGGGCACGCTGAGAATCGGCCTCTCGCTGCAGGAATCACCCTCAGTCCTGAGGACTCTCTTTGCCCACCTTGAGTGGCTTGGGGGGTAGTAATACTTCTCTCCCTCAGGGCCCCCCATCTTTTGGAGGGCCATGAGTGTGCAGAAGGGTCCCTCTGTCCTCCGCCTCCCAGCCCCTCCTTAAGAATGAGCCCAGCTATGTGGCACCATAATTTGGGGACCTCCGTTAAGTCCCCAGTCCCCGTTCTAGTCGCATCCTTTGCTCTGTCACCACAGACCTGGGCACCAACAGCGTCAGTGGCACCCTCAGCTCCCTCCAACAGTGCAACAATTCCCGGGACGGCTTTGACATGTTCGCACAGACGAGAGGGAACTCCTTGGCCGAGCAACGAAAGACGTATGTGGGACCCTGGCTGCGACTCAAGGAAGATATGGGGCGGGGGCGGGGGTAGAAACTGATCCCTGCCGGGTGACAGGCCAGCACAGAGACCAGGTCCCAGTCTAATATGACGACCAAGAGCTCTAATATGAGGCAGTGAGGGCCTGCCAGTAGATGCAGGTGCTGGCCTAGGGCCCCCTCACCCCCACCCCCTCGCCCTCCTCGGAGCTGGCTGGAGCTGGGTTTCTCCTGGAGGTCACAGGAGAGACTGTGCTCTGCCCCCACGCTGAGCTGAGCTGCAGCAATCGCCCTATCTAGGGAGGACGTGGGGGGAGGTGGGGAAGCCAGAGTAGCCCTGAAATGACTTCCTGTAGCTAGACTCTCCTGCCCAGGGCAGGCAGAGATTTAGAGATTTTCCTGACGGCAGCCTGGCCAGGATGAGCCATGCGGAACCGAAGGAGTTAATTCCCAGGTTAGGAAACCCCTCGCAGCCAAGGCAGGCTCCAGCCTGTGTCCTGAGCTTGCTCGGCCCAATTCCCTGTCTAAGCAGCACTTGCCTCTCCCTTTCCCAGGGGCTGGCCTCTCTGTGGCTCCCACTTCCTGAGTCCCTCACTTCGGACTCAGTGGGTTGACCTGAAACCCAAGGCTCCCAGCAGGCTTAGCTGGCAAAACTGCTTGCTCTGAAGTCTGCCAGCCAACATAAGATGTCAGGGCACAGGGAAGGCAGCTCCCGGAAGCCACGGCAGCCTCACCCCAGACCCAGAGACGCCTCTCTTCTCAAGTGCCTCCCTGGCTGCTGCTTTCAAATAAAAATGACTATTCCTTTGTCTTGATTTTGCCCCTCCCTCTGACTGTTTAGGGGCACTTTTGACCTTATGTCTCTGAGCATTAGTGAGTCCCAGTATCGTTATTCAAGAAAGGGCCCATAGAGAAACCGCTGTGACCCAGAGCCCAGAGGAAATAGGCGTCTGAGCCAGTGCTGGACCCCAGGGCTCCCGGTGCCCACTCTGGCGGCGGCTTTAATCTCCGCCTGAGCACCAAGGCCCCAAGAAATGTCTTTCCAAGTATGTGTGAGATGCCTGGCGAGAAGGTGAGGACAGGACGCCACCCCACCTCTCACGGCCACTGGAGGAGATGACCGTGCCCGTGCTGTGTCTCCAGGGTGACCTACGAGGACCCCCAGGCTGTCTCAGGATTGGCATCTGCGCTAGACAGTCGGAAGCAGAACTCCGAAGCGGTAGGTCTTGAAGTCTGTTCTTGTGCCTGGAGTCCTCTCCTGGGAAGGGTGGCAGTTTGGGAAGGGCACTTGCCTTGCACGTGGCCGACCCGGGTTCAATCCCCGGCATCCCATCTGATCCCCCAAGCACTGCCAGGAGTAATTCCTGAGTGCAAAGCCAGGAGTAATCCCTGAGCATTGCTGGGTGTGACCCAAAAAGAAAAAAAAAAAAAAAAGACTTGCCGGGTCTGAAATATTGTGGCGCACATGAGACCAAATAGTGATTCTAGGGCTGGAGCAGTAGGACTGTGGGGAGGGCACTTGCCTTGCCTGCGGCAGGCCCAGGCTCAGTTCCCGGTATCCCCTAGGCACCCCTAAGCCTACCAGGAGCGATTCCCTGAGTGTGGAGCCAGGAGTAATCTCTGAGCACTGCTGTATGTGGCCCCAAAAAAGTGACTCTATGAGGAAAATGCTGATCTGAGCCCCTCTACTGATCATCTGTGGCTTGCCTCGTGAAGCAGCTTCGCCCCCTTTAGAAGGTGGTTGATCAGGGTTTGACTGGGGTCTGTCGCTGGACTATGGGAGGCGCCTGGGGGACACCTGGGGGTTTCTGGGAAGCTGTGTTGGAGGAACAGCACAGAGGCAGAGAGGTGTGTGGAAGTAGAGGATAGCACTGAGTGGAGACCCCCAAACCCAGCCGTGGTTTCTGGGAGATTTGAGATCGCCGAGGAGGGAAGGACTGGTATCTGACCCCTTTGGGGACACTGTTCCTCCTGCTCATCTAGGACACACGAGGCAGTGTGAAGGAAAGTGTGTCTGCGCAGGCAGGCAGAGAGGTGCGCTTACAGCAGCCTCTGCACTCCTATTACTCCTTTGGGGGCCCCCACGCTGAGCTGGAAGGAGCAGTGCTCATCTGTCACTAAACCAGGAGGTTGCCTTAGCCACGTGCTAATTGTCAGCCTCCGGCGGCTGTCCAGCTGGGCGAGGGTGAGAGTCAGGACCGCCAACTCGCCGGGACCGTGCCTCTCCGCACTGGCCACCAGGGGGCACAGCAGAGCCAGTCGTGCTGCCTCGGCTTCCTAGCACCCTGCAGCTCCCGGGAGGCGGGGCGGTGCCCACTGAGCCGAGGACTGGGTCTCCCAGATGGATGCAGTGCAGTGGCTCTGTCCTACCTCTTACTCAGGACGCCTTTCCGCCCACACGGGTAGCGGCTAGTGGGGAGAAGAGAGGGTGAGGCAGGAGGCTGCAGCCAGGCCGGCCTTGTTTGCTTCTGAGTCTGCCTCCAGGGCCAGCCCCTCTCCATGCTGGGCTTGTCCTCCCGCACCTCTGCCCTTATCACTGTACCCAGGCCCGGCCCAAGCCCAGGAGATGTGGCTGGCCTCCTGCCCTTTAGCCTTTGGGTGCGTGGCCTGGCCCCGCTCCCTGCATTCAAAGGTCTTGATGACATCAACATGTTTCCCACTTGGTGGTAAATAGATTGCTTTTTGGCAGGGCAGTGGGGTAGGGAATAAGGGTTCCTGTTGTGTGTCTGTGTGTCTGTGTCTCTTTCTGTGTGTGTATGAACGTCTGTGTCTTTGTGGGTATGTGGGGGTGCGTTCATGAGTGGTTGTGTCAGTGTATCTGAGCTTGTGTGTGTCTGTGTGTCTCAGTCTGTCTGTGTGTGTTGGTCTATATGTAGTCTGTGTACACACACACACACACACACACACACACACACACTTAATCACGTGGCCCTTCCAGCTATTCCTTCAGGTAACATTGTTCCATATCCTGACTCAGACTGACCTGGAGTGAAAGCTGGGCCGGGAGAAAATAAGAGAACAATAGAGGGGGAGGGGCGCTGGACTAGCCTACCTTGGTGTGAGCAACCTCGGGAACCAGTCCCTTCAGAATTCACAAAAAGGCAGTATCCTGGGATTTGGCGGTTCATTACGAGTTTAGAGAAACAGCACAGAGGTTAACGGAGGAGAAAAAGAAGCTGGGTGGGGGGAGGAAAACGGACAGGTAGCTTTGTGCGAAACTGGTTCTTTGGAAAGCTGGCCTCAGAGACGCTGCCCTGGCGCCTTGCCCTCACGGGGAGTTCCCGACTATCAGGGAGCCGTGGCAGAGAACATGTTCTCCTGTCAGAATCCTTGTCACTAAACTTCTTTTCTCTTTTGCAGGCAGGTAAGGGGGCCTGTGCCGGAGGGGGTCGGGGGTGTGGGGGGCCGGGCGGGGGATGGGGCGGCAGGCACTGTGGGCAGCGGACGCGTCTTCCCTGCCCGGCCAGCGAGCAGCTCTCAGCCGGGGCTTTTCTGCTTCCACGATATGTACTGTTGCCGTCTTTATCGTGGGTCTCGCTGTGACTTTTCTTTCTGGGACTTTTCTGTCCTCGGCCCAGAAGAGAGGTAAAGGAGGGGACTATGACCTGGAGCCCATAGACAGCTGGCTCATGGCCCAAGGAATGGTGAGAGGTCACCAGCTGAGCCAAGTCCCCTGTCCACCCCAGCGCTTCCCTGTGTCACCTGCTGCGCCTTGTGAGTCAGACAGTACAAGGCATTCTCTCTCCTCTGACCGGGCCAAATTTCCCTCTTGTTTTTGTATAACCTGTAAGCCAAAGGCTTCCCGCCTGAGAAGTACCTTCTCCGACTTCTTGCTGAGGTCCATGGCCCTGGACCTTTCCCACACAAACTCATCTGGGACATTTGCAGAGTGGGGGAGGCCCCGCCCTCCTTTTACTGTCTCTGGAGCTCTGGGCAGTATTCACTTTTCCAGGACGAGCACAAGGGACTGTGGCTGTGGTGCGGGGAGGCGGGGCCGCCTCGGGAGGACGCACGGGAGCATCTGGCAGCAGGAGAGGCCACCTCGGCCCAGGGTCTGTGAGCTTGGCAGCCCTCAGCTCCAGGGGTAGAGGATGTCCTTTACCCGTGACCCCGTTCTCCCAGAAGGGTGTGAGACTTCTAAACACACAACGCGGCAGGGACAGAATGAGGGGACGCCAAAGGGCTTGAACATCTCTGCGGCCAGGTCCCCACCCCCTCCCATCAGAGGCCCTGAATCTGGCGCTGAGAGGGGATGACCTCTAGTGAGACCCCAGCCTTCCCGTGTGTGTTTGGTGGGGGGCGCAGGAAAGGCAATCAGGGCCGAGGAAGGAGCCCACCAGCAGTGAAGCCTGACTCCTCTCTGGCCGCTGAGCCAGGCCGTGGCTGAGGGCAGACCCCCGCTGGCAGCCCGGGAAGTTGCTTCCTGAGCAAGGCGTGGCCAGCTCCCGGGCTCCTGGGACCATCAGAGGGGGCAAGAGGTAGCTCTCTGCCACCTATCATGGAGCTGGTCACCTTTGCCCCCACTCAGGTGGGGCTGGCCCTTGCTCCCTGCCATGCAGCAGGAGCTCTGTCTCTGATTCCACACGGACCCCCATGCCACGGTGAGGAGCACAGGCTGCCTGGGCCCGCAGATGCTTGGGAGAGGCTGGGGCTGGTGGTCTTCGAGCCAGCATGCTCGAGACCAGGTTTGCTCCATCTCCAAACTGGGAGAATCCAGCCAAGTGTCCTTGTGCCTGTTAGTCCTGAAAAAAAGGATACAGTCCACGCAAACCACCCTTCCGTGTGGCCGTGGCAGCGGGTGGTGGCACCTGCCTCTGCTCCTCCAGCTGCCCACCCTCTGCCCCGGCCTCTGAGAGCTCCAGTCTGCCTCCCGAAGAGAAGCCCAACTAACTGCTAACCTGGTGTCTCACTGCCTCACCACCGTGTTGTGCCTTTTAAACAGTGTCTATTAACTGCCTTGCCTGATTTTCCAAAGCATAGAAACCCCTCTCCTACCCGACCTCCAAGTACAGATTCTTTACTTGGAAACTTTTTGAACTCTGGAGGGCCTTTGGACTATTCTCAGGATGGGGGCAGACTTGCAGTAGGTCTGCTGCTCCTCTGGAGATAGCGCACTGAGTGACAGAGCACTGGCTGGCACTGGGGATAGAGTGGGGAGCTGCCCCGGGGAACGGGGCTGTGGCAGATGGGCCTCAGCTCTCTGCAGACTCTCAGTACTGGCATGCCCAACAGCAGAGCTAACAGGACCAGGTTTATTACCAGCTGAAGAGAAGGATGTCTGGAGGCTGCGCTGACCTCCCCCCGCCATCCCCCCTCCCCCCACCCCAAAGCCTATTGCCTTTCCTGGCTGCTGGTCAGAGAGGTGTGTCTTCCATATGCCAGCAAGCCAGGGAAGTACCAGTGGGAGCGCAGAAGTCACCGCAAGACACCTGTAGAAATAGTACAACAGGGAAGGCCTCACCTTGCACACAGCTGGGTTGGGTTCGATCCCTGACACCACATATGGTTACTGGGCTGAGCCCAGCCAGAAGTGATTCCTGAGCACAGAGCCAGGAGTAAGCCCTGAGCACTGCCAAGTATGCCCACACCCAAAAAAGAAGTTACAGAAAGACAGAAGTATGCAGGTCAAGAGTCAGCTGCTTCCCAGCATCAGGCTCTCTGACACGGGAAGAGGCAAACCTCCAGCAACCCTGAGGACAGTGCTGCCTTGGACTGCATCTGGGGTATGCCTCTCCCTGCTCCCCAAGGCCCCTGCCTCTGTCTGCAGCCGCAGCAGCTAAATCCCCCTCTGCTCATAGCAAACTTGGCCCCAAAGATGCCCCTTTCTGTTTGGATCTGAAGGTGGAGCGGGCTGGTCTGGCCTCAGGTACACTGTCCAGCTTTTCGGCTAAGTGGAGTAGTTTTAGGTTCTGCTCTTAATTGGAGGTACTCAGGACCTTTGTTTTCTATTCTGTACATCTCCTTCTCCCTTTCTCTCTCCCTCCTCCAATTCACACTCCTCTTCAGGCCCCTGGGACCAGCCTTGAGCTTGGTTCATTGTCCCAGAAGATGCTGGACTCTGCATCTCGGCCTCACGGGGGTCAGCTGAGCCAGCCCTGCTTTGACAGATGAGACCCGTTCAGCCTCCCAGGGGCCTGTGGTGTGCCCCGGGCCTTGTGGGTCCAACTTTGCCTTCTTCAGGCAAACCCTTTTATCAGCCGATAGCAGTGTTGCCTTTCAAGTTTCGTTTGTTCCTTCTTACAGAGCAGTGCACGTGCTTAGTCTGATAGCCCCTCATAACTCCAGGGAACTTTACCCCATATAATATTCCAGACACTGACTTACCGGGGAAGGAGGCTGCTGTAGATAAGGTATGTGTCCAGACCCAACACCTGTCTGATGTCACAGAAACTCCATTAATAACCCACACCCCAGGGGCTCACGGAGCCACACACTGCTCCTGCCATACCGTCAGGAGCCTGTCCCAGGCATCTCTGTCCTCCCTGCACTTCTGGATTAGAAAGTAGAAACACCAGCCTTGGAGTTCAAGGATGGGGACTCCTGCCAGGTAGAAGCTAAAGCAACCTGCTCATCCCCTTATTTCACAGGGGAAACAACGAGTGAGGAAACGGGAAACCGAGGCCAACAATTGCTTGGCCCAGGTGCCCGCCTCGCTCTTCCCAAAGCTATGAGGCCTCCCGGGGCAGTAGAGGATTGGCAGTGTCTGGGTGAAACAGCAGATCCAGAAAAATGGACTTGTCTCAGGTCCTGCCCCTGTGGGGGGCTGCGCCTTCCAGTCAGTCCTGGCCTGGCCCCCTCCCTCCTCGGCAGCTCTCTGAGTCCATCTATCTGCACACTGCTTACTGGAAAATATCTCCAAGAAGGGGGAAAACTGTTCCTGTGATCCAGCTCCTGGGTGGTTTGGTTTGGTCTGTTGGAAGAGGAAGGAATTTCTCAATTGTTGGTGTTGATTTTCTGAACATGCTGGCTTTCAGGGCAATCCTCCAAGAAGTGAGGGGCAGACTTCTTTATTATTATTTTTTTAATAGTAACAAAAATTTAGAAGCCGTACCTGAAAGTTTAAGGCTCCTTACCCCTTAATTGCTTTTCTCAAACTTTTGCCACATGCTGAGGGTGTCGTCCAAGTGATCACGGACCAAGGCTGGGTATGTCTGAGTGACTGACTCAGCATGGCCCTCAGCAGCTCCTGCTGTCTGTCGCGGGGAACATTTTCTCTATGGAGCTGTGGCTGGCTTTCTAAGCCTTTGCTCTGGGAACTGAGCATGACACACGTCCTCTCAGGCCAGGCATTCCGGCTTCAGAGTATCCAGGTAATGAAAATTGACATCTCCTGTCTTGGGGAGTGTCGAGGCAGCCATCCCGCCCAGGGAGTGTGAAATGAGTAGCTTGCCCGCACGTGCTGCTACTGTCTTTGTGCTTTCCTCATCACATTGCCACAGAACCCGACCATCCTGCTTCTGGGTCCTGTCTGAAGACAAGGAAATCATTTTCAATATTTCCCCATCACAATGAAGTAGAGGCTGGCCTGAAGCTAACCCTCCGTCATCTGTGCTTCTGTGTGACTTCAGGGAGAGTTGAACTCCTTGTAGATCTTCATTTTAACTTTTGTTTTGGTTTTGTTTTATGGTTTGGGGACCACGCCTGGCTGTTCTCGGAGCTTATCTTGACTCTGCACTCAGGATTCACTGAGCACAATGCCTAACTAGAGCCAGGGTCTAACCCACTGTCCTATCTCTTGGACCCATTTTAACACTCTTCCATCCCCAGAAAGACAAAGAATTTAAATAGCACCCATGAGGCCAGAGAGACAGTACAAAGGTTAAGGCACTTGACCTTGCATGCAGCCAATCCTGGTTTGATCCCAGTATGGCATATGATACCCTGAGTATCACCAAGGGTGACTCCTGAGTACAGAACAAGGAGTCAGCCCCGAGCACAGCCACATGTGGCCCCAAATCAAGAAATAAAATGTCATGTGTGCACATACACAGACATGCACGCGCGCACACACATGACAGAAACATTCCATGTAGATTTCTTGGAGTCTGGATGAGGACAACTGGCAAGTCCAGGGCCTGGAGAAAAGCTCAATTCTGCATTTCCTCTGAGCCCAGACACTGCCTCCAACTGACAGGGAGTGTGCCAGGCTTTGGGAGAATCTAGACACCAGTTCAACACATAGGCAGGTTGGGTCCTTCCTCCTGCACCCCAAACCCCAAAGCAGCACATTCCCACCTGCAGGAGTGGGCTGTCGCATTAGATCCAGGCTGGTGATAGGCAATCTCTGCTCTTTCCTGTCTTCCTTTTCCTTCTCGAGGTAATTCTCGTTTTCAGATTTGGCAGACATTAAGGTTCACTACTTATTTTAACTTTATTCTCATCCTAGATGGTGACACTGGAGTGAACCCAACCACATACAAATTCAGGGCTGGCAATTTTTCTAGAAACAGTGAACTTGTGAGTGAGTTCCTCAGAGGGGCTTCCCAAAGCCAGTCAGGGGAGGAGGCATATAAGCTGGGTTCTCAGGAACCAGCATTTCCTTAATGTGTGGAGTTAAAGGTTAAAGGTGGCCTTTACTCCTCACATGTGTCTGATGCTCAGACCTAAAGCTGAATGCCTTATTCAGAATTTCTGCCCCACAAGTCTGGGCTCCAAGTCTGTATCTTCTTTTGCTTGAGGGCCCAGCCCATTCCCAGCTGTTCCTCAACTCTCAGCAGAATTTCTTTTCTTTGTTGAAGCCCAGCCCAGGCCCTGAAAGCTGGGAAGACAGGAAGTGATGGCCTTCAAGAGTTGCTTTGGGATTTTAAAGGGACACAGAGATGACTAAAGCCCAGCAGTCCCTTTTTGTCATCAAAGCCCTGTTTTCTTACCCTATTCCTGTGGTGATGAAAAGTCCCTGGATCCTGTCAGCCCAGCCACACCCAGGCCCGGGGGCTGCTGCCCTCCTCTCCCTTAGGAATGTCCATTTTGACATGTGTTCCCTGAGCAAACTAAGCCCAGCTCTCCCAGGCTGGCTCTGCTGACTGCCTGAGCACCCGAGGGGAAACGGGGCCCACCACCAGCTCCCCGAGTCACCCCAGGGAGGGGACTGGTCTCCACCATCAGCAGGTCACAATATTTTCAAGTTTGGGAAAAATAAATAAATAAAAGTCTTCCTGCTTATTTTAACTGTCTTCTTACCCCGAATTGTGAAGTCGCGGGTGAAGCCTGCTCTCGAGGCGTGCAGGCGACTTTTCTAGAAATAGCCCTGCTCTTCCGACTGGCAGGAGCGAGGCGTTGAGAGGCGCCTGTAGGAGCAGTGCGTCCCTCAGCTTAGAAGGGCCTGCTCGGCAGTGCTGAGCCACGAGAGACCCCACGCCCGAGGACTGACAGATGTAGTCAAAAAGTTCTCCATGGCAAGAATGCGTGCTGCGCCCGTCTCCCTGCACCCCTGCCCGCCGGCTCCCCCCCCACCCCCCACCCCCCGCTCCATCTCCTGCTGCCATCGCTCCGTTGGCTGCCTTGTGTGCCCGCACCTGCTGTGCCAATCGTGGTTTTTGTTTGTTTTTGCTTTGTACGTTTCTTGTTTCATTTGGGGGTTGCTTTTGACAATTTCTTTTGTTCCGGTGTTCTGTCTCCCCTTGCCTGGCTGTGTGGGGTGCCTGGCCTGCCGCTTGCCGCCTCCATAGATCCCCGTTGCTCAGCCCTCTGTCATGGACGACATTGAGGTGTGGCTCAGGACGGACCTGGTGAGACTCGACTTTTATCTTGTGTGTGTGTGTGTGTGTGTGTGTGTGTGTGGCCGGGCGGAGGGGGCGGAGGGGGGTGTGGGGAAAGCCAGTGGCCCTTCAGAGGACATGCCTCTGGGCGCACCTGCAGGCCCAGGCCGGAGTGGGCACTGGAGGAGAGACAGGAGGGTGTGGCCCAGTTCCTGAAAGCCAGTTTCACACCCCGCATTCCCTCCGACACAGCTGAGCGTGGAGCTCACTGCAGAGGTGAGAGTGGCCTGTGCCCAGCGGGCCCGGCCCTCAGCAGCTCCCAAGGCCTCAGTGGCCTGAGTCTGAGTCCGTCCAAGCAGGCTCCAAAAGCATGCGCTTGTTTCTGTTTAGGGCCCTGTGTGCTGGGTTTTTGGTTTGGGCTTGTTTTGGGGGTGGGAGTTGCAAGGTTTGGGATGTTTTTGTTTGTTTTGGGTGATTTTTTTTTTGGTTACCATTTCTTTTTCTTTTTAAATTTAATTATGAAGTGTATACAGTGGGTCTAGTTTTTTTTTTTTCTTTTTAAAATCATCATTTCCCCTTCCCTAGTATCTTGTGGTATCTTTGATTTAAAGGAATCTGGGGGTGGAGCAGGAGCATGGAAGAATAGTCCAGGAAAGGCGCTGACCTTGCATGCAGCCCACCTGGGTTCTATCCGTGGCACCCCTTATAGTCCCATAAGCCCAACAGGTGTGGTCTCTGAGCTTAGAGCCAGGAATAAGCTCTAAGCAATGCCAGGTGTGGTCCCAAAACTAAAATAAATCAATAAAAGAAACTTAGGATCTGCCTCGCATGTGTGAGGCCCTGGATTCAATCCATAGCACCACAAAAATAAAAGCAAAAGAACCTCGGGGCTGGGGCAGAGAGACAACTCAAGGGACTGGTGCTCATGCTGTGCATATGGTGGGCCCCAGTTGTGTCCCCAGTACCACTCAGTCCCCTGAGCACTGCCAGGAGCAAGCCCCCAGCACCAAGCTGGGAGTGACCTCGGGAACCACCAACCTAGAAGGGCCCACCCCTTCCCGACATCCACACCCATACACACACACAAAAAAAAAAAAAAGAACCACAGGCAGGGGAGATGACTCAAAGGGTCCCGGTGTCACCCAGTGTGACCTGCCAGCCCTGCCCATCATGCAGGAGCAGCCCTGTCACAGGCCCGCACAGCAGACCCAGAATTGCTGAGGGTGACTCTAAGTGCCCACACACAGCCAGAGACCCCCTCTAACGTTTTCCTTTAACTTGGGGGCAGAGTACAACAGCAAGTAGGGCTCTGCCTTGCATGCAGTCAACCTGGGTTTGATCCCTGGAACCCATGTGACCCCCGAGCCTTGCCAGGCATGACCCTTGAGCACAGAGCCAGGCACCTCACGGGCGTGCTGCCCCCCAGTTTTTTTCCTTTAATTGATGACAACAAATAAAAGAACCCAGAGACTATTGTTTCTCTTCTCGGGGCGAGGGCAGAACAGTGAGGGTGCCACGCGGCTGGCCCTGAGAAAGTGGAGCTGCAGGCTCCCACTTCCCCAAGAACTTGCTCTCTGCAGCCTCCAGCCTGTCCGGATGGACCAGGTACAGGCAAGAAGGAAACCCGCCATGAGCTCTTTCTCAAAGGGATGCCTAGAAAATAAGTTGCTTCTTTCTTAGCTGCAAAGCAGGAGGGACCAAGGCTCACACGTCACACGGGGATCCTATGATCCAAAAAGAGGGAGAGTGGGGGCCAGAGTGATAGCACAGTGGGGACGGTGTTTGCTTTGCATGTGGCCAACCTGGGTTTGATCCCCGGCATCCCCTATGGTTCACTCGTGCACTACCAGGAGTTAATTTCTGAGTGCAGAGCCAGGAGTAACCCCCTGAGCATCACTGGGTGTGACCCAAAAATAAATAAAACTTGGATTATTAAAAAAATAATAAAATTTTAAAATGGGATTAATTCTTATTTTAAAAAAAAGGAAGGGGGAGACTGGGGTTGGAGCAATAGTACAGAAGGGAGGGCATTTGCTTGGCACGCATCCAACCCGAGTTCGAACCCTGTCACCCTATATGGTCACCCCAGCCCACCAGCAGCAGTTTCTAAGTACAGAGCCAAGAGTAAGGCCTGAGCGTAGCTGCTTGTGGCTTGTGGCTCCAAAACAGACAGTGGGGAGACTTCCAGAGCAGGACACAAGTTGGTGGCAGAACCAGGAAGGAAGTCAGTCTCCTGACCCAGCCCAGGGTCTCTCTCTGCCTCCCCACACAGCATCAGCAGTGCATCCCTACACCCCAAGCAGTCCCAGGACGAGGAGTGAGCACTGGGTTCTCCTAACAAGGTGCAGTCTGGGACTGGAGACAGCACAGCAGCGAGGGTGCTTGCCTTAGAGCCACCCGACATTTGATCCCCATCAGGAGTGACCCCTGAGGCAGGAGTAAGCCCTGAGTATCCCCAGGTGTGACCCCAAAACAAAAGCAAGCCAACCCAAACAAAGCGCAATCTGACCACCCAGCCTCCCGGCCTCAGCACAGGAGGAGGCTCCTGCCCTGCTGTGCCAACACAGCTGTGTGTGGAGCACAACTTGTGGGGCATAAGGAGAGTGTCACAGGGACACCTCCACTGCCAAGCATGGACTGGCATCAGGCCCTTGCCCTGGACTTCCCACCCTGCCCTTCCCGGCCTCCTGCCCATATCACGGGTATTGATCACCTGAGAGCCCGGGCCGGCCAGGCCAGCCGTCAGAGCAGGCCCTCCTGCACACGGAGCCCACTGCACCTTTTCTTGACTTTCCTGTCTGGCCCTTCCAGAAGATGGAAGCCATTTTTGTTTCTTTTTGTTTTCTTTTGAAAAAGTGTGTCGGAAAATATCATAGAACTGGGGAAGGAGAAGTGGGGAGCTTTGCGGTCCTACAGGCTCCCCGGGGGGGGGGGGCGGCGGTGCTCCATGGGTGGGCTCTAATGCACTCTCTCTCTCCCCCCCACAGAAGGGCGATGACCCAGAAGAGGGAGTCACCAGTGAAGGTATGACCTAGGCCCCTCTCCACCGTTTTCTGCTTGTACCCCAAGCATGGGGGGAGGCCCATTAGCTGGCGCCCGGCCATCAGAGCATCTCCTGGTGCCAGCCTGTGCCAGGACTTTGGCTCTGCCGCACCGAGGCCTCCAGCTAACAAGGAAAGTGATAGACCTGATGACAGTGGGTGCAGATCGCTGTCTTGGGCTAGCATGCCCTCCGACCAGCAGCGCCCTGTTCCAAATGCTCAATCCAGGGGAGGGAGGAGGCAGGCCTGCAGCCAGCGGTCAGCCCACTTCCTGCCACCTCCCTTTTGGGGCACCACTGAATGGTGGGGAAGTTTCTGTCACAGACTTCCCACTTGCCGCCCTTCCACTACACCTCCCACCTCTCCCCACCGCCTCTGCTCAGACCCCTTGCTGGTGGGGAAGCCGCACAGGAGGTTCCAGCTCTCTGCCCTGCCCAGTGCTGAGCTAAAACTGGAGCAGCTCCAGGGTCAGAGAAAAAATACAGTCGGTGAGGTACTCGCCTTGCAAACAGCCAAGCTGGGCTTGATCCTGGACCCTCTGCCGTCCCTCAAGCGCTGTCAGGAGTGACCCCTGAGCACAGAACTGGGAGTGACCCCTGAGCATTGATGGGTGTGGCCCAGAACCCAAAATAAACAAAGACTGGAACAGCTCCAGGTCAGCCGTCAGGCAGCAATCAATGCCCGGCACAGTGGTGTTTCCAGAACCTTCTCTGTAGGAGGGAAGGCTGCCCCGCCGTGGCCCAGGGCCTCCCAGAGCTGGGAGAAGGAGGAAGCAGAGGTCTCTCCAGGAGCAGAGCACCCCATGCACCCGACTCTGCTCGCTGCTCCCCGCCCTTCCTACCTCCCTCCTGGCAGGTGACCCAGAGGAGAGTGGCAGGGTGAGACGGGCATCTGGGCGGCCTGCAAGGGGGCAGAGGGCCTGACTGCCTACCAACCCCGCCCTTGTTTTGGTTTTGTGTTGCAGAGTTTGATAAATTCCTGGAAGAAAGAGCCAAAGCTGCTGAAATGGTTCCCAACCTCCCCTCCCCACCTGCGGAGGCCCCAGTCCCGGCGTCCACCCCTTCCGGCCGGAAGAAGCCCGAGCGCTCAGATGATGCCCTCTTCGCCCTGTGAGCTGTGCTGTGGCTCGGCTCCCCACACAGCAGGTCGCCCCCACCTCACGCCAGGCACTGGCCGCTCCTCCCTCCCAGCCCCCCACAGTCCTGTGCTGCTGTGTCTCCTTGGAAATGCCACTGTGTTTGCCCCCAGGCCTCCCCCTGCTCAGAAGGCTTCAGCCACTTCCCTCCCCAGGGTGCAGGGGTGAGGTGCTGCAGCCAGAGGCCCAGCCCGCTCTACCCTCCTGCCCCACAGCCACCTCTGCCCACCTGCTTTCGGGGAAGAGTGAGTGGGGGCTCGGCCTCAGGCAGGGCAGACCCGGGGACCGTTTTCTTAGCAGACCTTTGGACTGACTTCTGGGCCTTGCGCACAGAGGAGCATCAGGTCTGGCCCTTCCCGTGTCCCTGCCTCTGCCCGACCCCCGGACCCTCTGCTCCAGGAAGGACTTGTCTGCAGCCGCAGCCCCGGGCTCCCTGATGCATTTTACCTACAGCACTTTAGAAGGCTGGGTGGGGGTGTGGGGGGTGGCCACGGTTAGGGTCTCTCATCTACTTTCTTTATCTCTCCATCACTCAACTGCTAGCCCAATCCCAGGCCCCCGCAGGCTCGGGCCCTCGTGGGTAGGGACAGCACCGAGGGCAGCTGGTTGGCATGCTCACATGGTTGGCCTGCGGAGGGTGGGTGGGAGGACACTCTCAGGGGGAAGCTCTGCAGGGTCCATGCATGCTCTGCTTGGCACTGAGGCCTGGCCTGGGGCAGCCTGGGAACCTCTCCAGGCCTGGCAGGACCCGGGTAGGTGACTAATGGAGAGAGGCCAGAGCCACATGGAGCCTAGTTCCTGGTTGCGAGGGCCTGGAGCTGTGCTCACGGCCTGGACTTCTCCAGGCCACCATTTGCACCCTCTCTCCAGCTAAGTCTAGGCCAAGCAGTTGGGGTCTGGGGACTCCTGTCCCTGGGTGTCAGGTGTGTCCCCCGGCCAAGGACACCACGTGCGTGGCTGCAGCTCCCGAACCCCTCTTGCCTGGCCTCGCCCTCAGAAGCAGCGGCAGTCTCAGTGGGCCGCCTCGGACAAACACGCATCCTCAGGGTCCAGGTCTACATTCCCACGGGCACTCCACGAGGCCCCTTGGCCCAGCCAGCCATGCCCCGGTCTCGCACCGATGACCCAGTGCAGCAGCCCATGCCACAGAGGTGGGCCTCACTTGGGCCTGACGTGTGCAGGGCCAAGCTCCGAGCCAGGGAGAGTCATGCTGGCCAGCAGTTTGCCCACCCCGAGCCTCGTGCCCATCTGGCACAGCAGGAACGGCTGCACGCCGTCTGTCGACCAGCTGGGGTTGTCACACTTCAGATCTCAGACGACACCCCCGAACTCCCCTTCGGAGGGTGCCCACCCAATGGTGCCCTGCCCTGGGCAGCCTCTGCCCCACGCTCCCCGTCAGCCAGCCCAGCCTCTCGTTCCCCAGGACGGGCCTCGACGTCAGCCTGAATGCTGATGCTCGAGGTGAGCTGGCTTGACGTGGCCGGGGGAGAGGCCAGGCTGACTCATCACCCCCGAGCCCCCAGATGGTACGCCAGCCCGTTCTCTGACAGGGTTCTTGAAGGGCGTGGGCCTTTCCCAGCTGACCGGAGCAGACTAACTGGCGGACAGCTGGGCTGTGGCGGGGCAGCCCGAGCAGAAGGCCCGCATCCTCCCCACATGGCGAAGGGGGAGTCCCTGCTAGAGCGGCAGCCGGAAGGGTCTGAGGGGAGAGATACTTCAGGGGGCAGCGGGTGACGCAGAGGCCCAGTCAGAGCTGCCCCGCACCCCAGTGTGCCAGCCCGTGCTGGCGGACTCCGGGGGCTGGCAGGAAGCCACTGGCCCACACAGAGGAGTGTCACCTGCCTTCCCAGTTGGGGCCGCCCGCGGAGGCTCTCAAGTGCTTCCTGCTCAGACACGTGTACAGAGGCAGCCCGCCCCAACCCGGCTGGGGGACCCTTGAGTCTTGTGCAGGAAGAAGCAGGTGCAGGCCAGGTACTCTTGAGGAGGCTCTGTGCAGCCCTTCTGGATGGCCTTTCTGGGCCTCTGGCTCCCGGTGCCCTCTGGGGCGTGCAGCCCATACTGCCTGGTTAGGAAATGGCCTGACCCCCGCTTGGACCCCCAGGAGAGTGAGACCCTCTGAGCCACCCAACTCTCCCCGAGTGTTAGACATCACAGATACAGTATGTACTTAATTACACTAAATTATTGCTGGGACTCCTTATAAGCACTAATTATACCTGATTAGAGGTTAAAATATTTATTTTGTCAAAATATTTTCTTGGGGATGTGTTTAACCTTTCCTGTGTTCATTGTATGTGGGATTACAAACGAGCCTCTCTCCTGCTACCCCTGTGGGCAGGGGCAGCAGGGACTGGCGTTGTGCATGTTTGACCCAGGGGGTTGGGGCAGACAGCGGCCTGGGGCCAGCCTGCCCCCACCCAGAGCGTGTACGTGGCCCCCCTCGGCACTGAGCAGGGAGCACCACTACCCTCCTCAGTGTGCCTGGGACAGGGGTCTAATGGAAAAGTTTCGTGCTGCCCCGGGGCTCGAGGAGGAAGTGATTTGTCTGTCTTCTGTCCTGTCTTCAGTGTGAATGACCATGCTGTCTGCTGGACCCTGTCTCAGCATCTGTCCTTCCCTCCTCTCCCGGGACCCAGAGCTGAGAGTTGGGAGGCTGGCTAGGACAATGCACCCCAGAACCAACCCCTGTGAGGACAGCCTCCACAGCCTCCCCTCCGTCTGCTCTTAGTAGGACATATGGGCCCTTCCCCCCATTCTTCTACCATCAGCGCCATAGCCAAGCTGCGTACCCAGGAAATGACCCCTGTGGTACCAGCCTCTCCTAGTGCCCTTTCCTGTCTATGGGGGGGGGTCCAAGCTGGGCATCCCCTACAGCTGCCAGCCAGCCCTGCCTCTGTGTCTGCGGCCACTGCTTCTCTCTGTTTAGAGCCTCCAGGCTCCTCTGGAGAAAGGGGCATGCGATATTTATTTCTGAAAGTTTGCACTTCATTCATAAGTGTTCTCAGGATTGTCGGGGGCTGCTGAGAAGAGAGTGTGTTGTGTTTGTTGTCTGGTTGTCCCGGTCTGGTGTCTGTCATTGTCATGCAGTTCTGTGGGCAGAGCCGGCGGGTTCTGGGCAGGGTCAGTGCCCTTGGTCTCCTTCACACACTGGCTCTCCGTCCAGACGCCGGCTTCCTAGCGTGGGTTCTTGCATGTAAAATACTCCATGATAAATAAACACGCGAACCAACCACTCCTGTGTGCTGTGTCATGGCTGTACCTGCCCAAAGAGCCTGCAGAGGGCAAGGTCCATGTGCTTGAAGACGCTTGCTTCTGGGGAGTCCTGTCTCGCGGCCCCCAGGCCAGGCAGCCTGAGCAGACCCTTGCCTGACCCGGAAAGTCTGGGCTGGGAGACACTTCCGTTGCTGTCCCTACTGGCGCCATCCTCAGTCACAGTCCTGTGGGCACTGCTGGCTTCAGCCGCTAAGCCTGCCCACACCACCTGCCTCATTGCCTGAGCAGGGGTGTTTATGCTTTCTTAGATCGTCACCCTGTTTTTAACCTGAGAAATTTTGCAGGGGGGTGAATCACACCCAGCAGTGCTCAGGACTTACTCCTGACTTTGCACTCAGTCTCAGAAATTACTCCTGGCAGTGCTCAGGGGACCATTGGTATGCTGGGGATTGTACCGGAGTCAGCCATGCACAAGGCAAACGCCCTACCCTCTATACTATTGCCTGAGAAACATTTATGTGATTTCAGAATATACATTAGATATACAAATCAGATATTTACTAGAATAAATTTATCTTAAACACATTTGGGGTTTTTTTTTCTGGTTTTGTTTGTTTTATTTTGGGGCTGTTCCAAGCTGTACTCAGGTCTTACTTCTGGCTCTGTATTCAGGGATCACTACTGGTGAGGCTTGGGGGACCATATGAGATGATGGGATCTAACCCAGGTCAGCTACATGAAAGGAAAATCCCCTACCTCTGTACTATCAACCCCTAAAACACATTTTTGTGACCCCCTTGTTTTGTTACACAACCCCAGATGGGGGTGTCAACCCACCAGGGGTTCTGGGGTCCCCCGAACTTCCCTGAAAAACCTGTGCCTGGCACTGAACTTGAGAGCTGTTTCTCCAACCCACCTTCACCCCTACTCACCCCTGCTCACAATAGTGAGATAGAATTCACACAGTGCACATTTCATCTATTAAAATTTAGGGTTTTTTTATTTTTATGTAATTAACCATGATCTGCAAGTTATTGATAGTTTGGTTTTAGGCATAAAATATTCGGACACCAAGCCCACCACCAGTGTCACCTTCCCTCCACCAGAGCTGCTCCCTCCTGCCCCTCCCTCCCACACCTGCCATCCCGACAGGCACGGTTCAGAATCCTGTGGTTGTCATTTAGCTCTCCTGCTTCAGTGCCATAGCATGCTCTGAATGGAAGACTGTAGAACTCTCTCACATCACCATGACAGCCAGCGCCCCTCACCCCTCACCCCCATTCCTTTCCCTTCTCTTCTTCCTTCCCCCCTTTATATCTTTCCTTCTCAATACTTCTCCTCCCTAAACTCTGGGGCCAAGGCTGATGTAGACATCCCTTTCACTACATTATGCTTTCATGTACAGTTATTCTATAAACCACAGGTTAAAATGGCAGGGCCAGGACCATGCAGCCCGCGGGCCTTCTAAAGCCCAGGAAATCCTGTGTCTGGCCCTTGTCCATGATGAGACAGAAAAGCCTCTCCTCACTGCCCACGGCCTGTCTGCCTGTGTTGTACAGTCCACGGATGAGGCTATAAATATCCAAATGGCCCTTGGCAGGTAAAAAAAAAATTACCCATTATTGATTTGAAGTATACAATTAAGTAGCTTTGGTGTATTCCCAGAATTTCATACTCATCACCACAATCAATTTTAGACCTTTTTTTGGGGGGGTGGAGGAGCACATCTGGAGCTGGTAGTGTTCGGGACTTACTTCTGGCTCTGCGTTCAGAGATCAGTCCTGGTGGGGCTCAGGGGACCATATGGGGTTCCTGGAATTGAACCTGGATTGACCGCATCCAAGGAAAATGTCCAACCTGCTGTACTGTTGGCCCTGGAATTTTTTTTTTCTTTCTTTCTTTCTTTCTTTCTTTCTTTCTTTCTTTCTTTCTTCTTTCTCCTTTGATTTTGGGACCACACCTGGCGGTGCTCAGGTCTCCCCTAACTCCATGCTTAGGAGTGACCCCGCACAGGAGCCCTTGCAGTGCTAGGGATTGAACCTTTGAGCTGTTACCACTCCTCACTGCAGCCTCAATTTTGGAACATTTTCATTACTCCCAAAAGAAAACCCAGCTCTTCCAGAACACGTACACCCTCCCAGCCTTCGTTCCCTTGGAAAGAAGCATCTCTCCTTTCTACTTCCTGCCCTGGGAGGTGGCATTTGAGAACTCCCAGAAGCAAATCCAAAGCCACAGGGCCTCTTGAGGACTGAATTTGATGCTGGCAACTCTGAGAAGCTGGGAGAAACTGGGCGTCCCTTAACTCCTTCACCACCCCCTTCACCTCAGAGTTTGAAGGTGGATCTCAAACGGGAGTGGACTCATCAAGCCTCCAGGCATAGATGGATTAAATGCAGGGACATCTGCTCAGCTGCTCCCATGCAGATGCAGAGGCAGACCTGGGAAGAGCGGCACACTTGCCTCAGGCGGCTGCCCCAGGGAGCAGCACTGAGCGAGCAGTCACCAGCCTGAAGCAGATAAGTGGGCAGGAAGGATGCAGGGAAGGCTGCATCTAGCATAGCAGCCTCATGGGGCTGCTCTGCCTGTTGACACAGGTGGGGACCATGACCACAGGGCACACAGGATGTGGACAGCTCATGTCAACGGGGCAAGCACCCCACTCACCTTCATTGACTCATTGCCTGCATGTACACTAGGACCCAAGTTGCAGTGAGGTGTAAGGAAAGGTCCCTACACCAAGGGGGAATGGGAGCGGCCCTCCAGGATGGGGACCCGCACTCTCTGGTCCCTGAGGATAGACAGGTATTCCCTCCCTGGACCGGACACTGTGAATCCCAAAGAAAACCCGGCCCTGTGGGGGTGAGCTGGTGAAACCCCTTGGCCTTGCCAGGACTCCTACTGTGCTGGTGCTTTCAGTCAGTATTCCTGAGAGCCTGAAGGGTGCCTGCCGGAAGGGGCAGCTTGAGTCCCACCATTGGGGAGCTCACAATCTGATTCCCAGAATCAAGGACACGTGCAGGCAGGAAGCTCTGGAGCCCTCTTCAGAAGCTGCAGGGCGGGAAGGCCCTGGCGGGGGTGGGTGGGGGGAAGCAATGTGTCCGGAACTCACCAGCCACAGGACAGGAGGAAAGCCATGAAATGCTGACTCAGCCCAGCAATCTCTTGGCCACTGGCGAGCACTGGCCAAGCTCCGTTTCCACAGGACATTAATAAGTGTCCAAAGAAGGAACTTCAGGTAGAAATTTGAGAAATACTGGAGTTAAGCAGCTTCAAGTCCTGAGCACTACCAGGCATGACCCTTACCACCTCACCCCCACACCCCCCAGAGAGGGTGGTTGGTGGCCTTAGAGTCCTTTGGAGATGAGAAGTTGGCACTTTTTGTTTGGGCCCACACCAGGTGATTGCTATGGGTTACTCCTGACTCAGGGGTCTCCTGGCAGTGTTCAGGGGACTCTGTGGTGCTGAGGATCAAACCCAAACCACCCATGTGCCAAGCAGGTGCTTGGATTTCCTTCCTGGAGTTCAGGCCTGGCTGGACGCAGGTGCTGAGGGCTTGGGTGGGGAAGTGGCTCTGTTCCCTCCGGGTTCTGCCTCACCTGTGGGACTGAGGGTAGCCTCATGGAGGCTCCAGGCTGCCATGCTGCCAGCAGAGCCAAGGTCCTCCCTGCCCCAGCACAAGCCCAGAAGCACTCCCCAAGGAGCCAGGCTGCTCGCAGAGAGAGGATGAAGCCGGGTAGACACCGGCAGCGGTCACTGCGATGTGGATGGAGAGAGTTGGACATGGGAGAGGCCCAGCTGGGAGCACAGGTGGGGATGGAAACCTTCTGCTCTCCGTGCTCCCTCCACTCACTCCTCAGAGCCCCAAGAGGAGTGACCTTCCAGCTGCAGCTTCTGTCCCCAGAGACTGGGAGTGCTGAGGTCCCTGTCATGGCTCCCTCACCCCACTGAGACACCTGAAGAGAATCGGCTTCAACCCACCCCTTCCCAAGAAAAGGGTCTCCTCTGGCTCCAGGTGAGGCCGCTGGCGTGGGGGTTGACGGGTGGCGGCAGCGTTCTTGAATGGCCACGAGTCAGCCAGAAACTGCAGTTTATTTCAGAGATGTCCTTGCTGGTTCCTGCTGGGCAGCCGCCCCCCTCCCCCCCCCCACCCCCCACAGTGGGCAGCAGCACTGCTCTCAGCACAGGGAACCGGGACTCTCCTGAATCTAAGTGGACAAAGCCCTTGATGTCATATCCTTCCCACCCATGCCCACTCCCAGAGCACCCTGCCAGGAGCTGCAAGCTGCACTGTAGGCCCCTGATTAAGTCATGTCCCCTCTGGTCTTTATGATCCTCTGTGTCAAATGAGATTGTGGGTGGCAAACTGTGGGAGTGCTTGCTGGGCATTGGATTATTTCTAAATAAGTGGGCGAGGTATGATACCCAAGGACCGATGGCACTAAGGGAGCTCACAGCCCTAAAGGGACACCCAATCTTTCAGCTCAGCCTTGCTCAAAAGTCCTGTTTTGGGTGTAGGGGTATTGGGCCACATCCTCTGGTACTCAGGGGATACTCCTGGTTCAGTGCTCAGGAATCACTCCTGGCAGTGCTCAGGGACCATATACAGGGCTGGGGATCAAACGTGTTGGACAAGGCAGATGCCTTAATCACCATATTATCTCTCTAGTCCCTTAATAGTCTCTTTGTGGGGAGTGGGAGGAATGGGGAAAGGGGTTAGGCCACACCCAGCAGTGTTCAGGCTTACTCCTGGCTTTGTGCTTAGGGATCACTCCTGGAGCGCTCAGGGAACCATATCAGGTGTCAGGGATTGATCCTGGGTCCATGCATGTAAGCCAAAATGCCTTGCCAGCTGTACTGTCTCAGCCTGATATCTTTTAGCTATACCTGGCTTTCCCCTGAATAGCTTGTTAGCACTAGTAGGAGAGATTTTTCACCACCACTGCACTCTTCCTGTGAGCCCACTCACTGCACAGCCATCTTTGGAGTTCAGGTGGCCCTTGTGGAGGGTTTACTGAGTGAGTCTTTTTTTTTTTCTTTTTGGGTCACACTCGGTGATGCTCAGGTGTTATTCCTGGCTTCCTGGCTCTATACTCAGGAATCACTCCTGGCGGTGCTCAGGCGACCACATGGGATGCTGGGAATTGAACTTGAGTCTGCCGCGTGTAAGGCAAATACCCTACCCGCCGAGCTACGGGTCCAGCCCCTACTGAGTGAGTGTTGATGTCCCTGAAGGTGCCCTCCTGGGCAAAACTGACCCGGAGAGGCTAAAGAGAGAGCGAAAAACAACTTGCCTGGCATACAGCAGAGGCCAGCCTGAAAATGAGAACACAGACTTATCTAGGGCTTGAATCATCGGTGTCAATCAACATCTGGTTCCAGTAGCTCCAGATGAAGAAAGGGGGACAAAGTGGGGGAGGGATTCAGAGCCCTCACCTGCTGACTGCTTGGCAGGTGGGCAGGTGCCATTTTAGCTACTGAAGAAATGGAAGATCCACGGGGCAAGCAGGGGCGCTCCAGAAATACGAAAGAGGTCTCAACGTCCAGGGTGGTCTAGCCCGCAACAATGGCAACTCCCAGCCCCTCCACCCACTAGCTGGAGTCCACCGCACAGCAGGGCAGCGGCCTCGGGAGGGCTGGGAACCCACCAAAGGTGGGGCGCGGGGCGCGAGCATCTAGCGCCCGGCTGGCACCGGGATCGCGCAGGAGCCGAACTGGGAGGTCGTTGCAGCGGGACTCCCAGGCGGGGCCGTCCCGCGCGCCCCGCCCCGTGCCCGGAACGCACACCTGGCCGCCGTCCCAGCCAGGTGTCTGGCCCCGAGGCCCCGTGCCAGAGCCTGCCCGGCTGGCCCTGGGGGCCCAGACCCTGCTCGGCCAGCCCGCCCCGCGGCCCCTCGCCCTCCTCCCGCACCCCGCCCGGTCGAACCGGCGCGGCGCGCATGTGACCCGGGCCCGCTCCCGGAGCTGCGGCTGACGCCGAGTCACCCCATCGCGCCCGGGCGCCCATTCGCTGCCGCGGCCGGGGGCGGGGCGAGCCTGGCCCGCGCCCCAACTCCCCCGGGTACCGCGGCCGCCCGCCCGCCCCGCACACCGCCGGGGCCCGACGCAGCCGGGCCGGGCAGCGGCGCCGGGCTCCTGGGCGAGTGACGTCACCTCCGGGTCTCAGTGCCTCACCTGTGCAATGGGAAGACTCGCGCGGTGCTCCCGGACTGTCGGGCTCAGCACCAACAGCGCCCGCTGCGCCGGGCTGGGACCCCGGCCCCGCAGAGCCCAGGCCACATGGCTGTGGGCACTCTCATCTCCTCAGCCCCGAGGGGTCTGAGAGGCTAGTTGCGGGAGTTGGGAGGGGCGCCCTCCAGGTCTGAGGGAGAGGGGCCAGACGAAGAAAAAGATTCCTTTGAAATGGATTTTACCATATCCCTAGCCTCATGGGAGTGCTTCTCTTTCAACTGGCATCACCCTCTTTCATGGGGTGCATATCCAACACGTTTGAGATTTTTTCCTTATTCTTATTCTTGTTTTGGTTTGTTTCCCAAGCCCTGGTCAGGAGACTCAGAGTCACCCCCCAGGATACTCAGCCAACTAGGCAGGACCGCTCAGTGCTAGGGTCCGGCCATGCAGTGCTACTCAGGCTCAGCAGGGGCCAGGGGGCCACAGCCAGCTGTCCTGGGGGGAGGAGGACAGAGGGCGCAGCGTTCGAACTCGGATCCTGCAGCATGGTAGGTATGCATCCTCAACTGCTGAGCTACTTCCCTGGCTCCTCCTTGGGTGGCAGGGATCATATTCCAGGCCTCATGTTTGTGAAGTACGAGCTCCCTTACCCCCATACCTCTGTGGCCCCCAGCTGTGCTCTAACTTACCTTGAAGTGAACTCAGGTCAAGACCCAGGGGGCAGATCTGAGGTGCTGCCTCTGCAGTGTGCTGGGCAGGGACACTCCTCAGAAAGGGGGTGTGAGAGGCTGCAGCCTCCTGACTGGGGAGAGTGGTCTTTAGGCTTCACTTTAGCTTCATTTAGCTCCCGAGAAGGGCTGTTAGAATTTCCATGGGAGTCGCCAGATTCCCAAGGCCTCCTGGGAGCTTGGCTCCTATTCCCAGGGGGGAATAGTTGGGGGTCAGTTGGGATGGGACAGGATGGAGGAAGGCGGAAGAGAAACCAGATCCCTCTATGTTGCCAGCAAAAGTTCATGAGAAGGGTTAGGATCTGGCTGTACCCTAGCGTGATGCCCCTTGGGGGGATAGTGGTTTAGAGACCCTCATGGCTCCTGGCCAACCTGTTCTGGATGATTTCTCAAAGCAGTTGCTTCTGGGAGTATAACAAAGAGCTATGTGTCCAGCCTGAGCCCCAAGGATTGACATCTTTTTAGCCTCGGCCCCTTGACCCCCCACTTCTAAAGTATACGACTAATTTTACTCTCTCAGAGTGCAGTCAGACAGGCTATATCTGGAGTCTGAGCAAGGCGATCTTTGGGCTGGCTTCAGATAGCCTCTGGCCTGATGAAGTCTCTTTGGCTGTCCTCTACCCAGGGTACCTTTATCTGCTTACATACCTCCAGTGACAGGGAGTTCATTGCCCTTGGCTTTCAGATAATGTTTAGACATTATACTTGGTTTCTTTCTTTCTCTTTTCTTCTCTCTCTCTCTCTCTCTCTCTCTCTCTCTCTCTCTCTCTCTCTCTCTCTTCTCTCTCTCTGTCTGTGTGTGTGTGTGTGTGTTTGGGCCACACCCAGTGATGCTCAGGGCTTACTCCCATCTCAGAGATCACTACTAGTACTAGAGGTTCTCGAGGGACTGTATGGGATGCTAGGGATCGAACACCATCAGCTGTGTTCAAGGCAAGTGCTCTACCCACTGCACTATCTTTCTGGCCCATATCTGGTTTATTTCAACCACCTCATTGGAACCCTTCCCTTGCCATCTACTTCTGTCACTAAGTTGCAGTCCAGTCCTCTCCCTAGCTGTCTCCTTGACCCAGCCTGTCATGGGTTACCTAGCCCAGATCTAAAGCACCATCGGCCTCTTCCTCACCCAAGTCGCTACTGGAAACAAGACCAGAAATGGAGCCGGAGAGCCTTGGGTCAGTGCTGCTGCGGTCCCCGGGAAGCCGCCAGGCCTTGGGCAGGTGACACTTCAGAATTTTCTGGGTCTTCCTTCCTCCATGGTACTGAGACCAGCCCTCCTTCAGAGGCTGGATTGGGCCTGCTGTCCCCACACACACATCTGGAAGGAAACCAGCTTAAGACAGGACAGAAATTGGGCCTGCCTTGGACTGCCTCTCCTCAGTACTAGGTGAAGCCTTGCTGGCCCAGCAGCCCCCACTCGTGCTTTTGCTGGGTCCCCGCAGCCTAGGGAGAGCCAAAACGCCTGCATGGCATGTTCGGAAACTGACTCGCGGCCACACAGCAGGTCCAAGGGCTGTTACCAAGATCAGGTCTGTCTTGTTCTAAAGAGCTAACTCCGGAAAGTGAGGTTTGTCTGCACACTTTCCCGAGGCGCGGGGACCCTGGTTTGGTGCTGGAGCAAGTGACCTAGAATGGCCAGCGAGTCTCATTGGTGGCTGCGCAGGAGGCTGGCCAGGGGGAGCGGCCGGAGGGGCGCTCTGGTGGAGGGGCGTCGGGGCCGGTCCCCCGGGCAGGCGGGTGCCCTGCAGCCGGGGCGGGCCTCGGGGCGGGGCATCCCGCCGCGGCCCCGCCCCGCCCGCCCGCTGTCCCCGCGGAGCCGCTGCCGGAGAACCCAGTTCCCCAGCAACTTTTCGCGGGCGCTTGGGCCGCCACCCAGGCGAGGACGGGACGTGGAGATACGCGGCGGCGGCGGCGGCAGCGAGCCAGGGGCCGGCGGACGCTGCGCTCCCCCGCGAAGTCGGTGCCTGGCAGCGGGCCTGGCGGGCCACCCGGCGGAGGCGACTGCGCCATGGACGAACCGCCCTTCAGCGAGGCGGCCCTGGAGCAGGCGCTGGCCGAGCCGTGCGACCTGGACGCCGCGCTGCTGACCGACATCGAAGGTGCGTCAGGACCGGCCGGGTGTGCGCGGCAGGGGAACGCGGGCGGCGGCGAGCGCGGGCTGCGGGCCATGTGCACGCAGCGGCCCCGCGCCCGGCTGGGAGAGCCCCTCGCGCCGGCCCGGCGTCCCGGGCGCACGCGGCAGTGTCGGAGCCGGCCCGGGCACGTGCGGCAATAAGCGTCCCGGCCCCGCGCCCGCGAGCCTCAGACCCCCTCCTGCAGCTGACGCGCGGGCTGGGGAGCCCGGCGCTCCCGCCCCGCCCCGGCCCCGGCCGTGACGTCAGCGAGGGTTACTCCCGGTCATTCCCTCCGGCCCGAGAGTTCATTCGGCGGGAGCCCGTGCGCAGGCGCGGCGCGGGCGGGCCTCCCTCCCGGGCCCCTCCTTGGTCCCGCTCTCCGGTCGGGTCAGCTCGTTGGAGTCACTTATGGGACACCAACTGAATACCTAGCGTCGCCTTAGGACCCGATCGTCACAGACCTCGAGGGCTTGCTCCTCTTTGGGGGAGCACAGTAACCCCAGGAAGTAATCCCAGGAATAGTCCCTTAGTTGCATTCAGTGCGTGCAGAAATCTGCTGGGTTTTCTCGTGGTGGAGCCAGAGTGGGGCCGTATTATTGAGCAGCGCGGTGGGGGAAGCCCTCTCGGAGCGAAATTTGGAGCTTAGAGCTGAAAGTCAGTCTTGGAACCTGGGAAAGCTGCTCCAGGTTTCCCAGGGTTCGAGGTGAGGAGTTAGAAGGCCAGGTTGCAGGTGATGCAGGAAGGTTGGGATGCCCGGCAAGGAGGGCTCACCTTGCATCTCTGCCCGGGCAAAGACTGGAGCAGAGTAATAGTGGCAACTTGCTTTCATCTCTTTTTTCTGGAGTAGGCACACCCAGCAGTGCTCAGGGTTTACTCCTGGTGGCTGGGGGAAGGTAGGGGGAGACCAGATGTGGTCTTGGGGATCAAACCCACATGGGTTGCATGCAAATCAAGCACACGACCTGCTGTGCTATCTCTCCAGCTGCTTTCGTCTTTTGGAACATCACTTTGTTGCACAGAGTTTGTGGACAGGGATGCAGCAGGTACCAGCTAGGATGCTATTCCCAGCATTATAAGCAGGGCAAACTGAAGCCTGCACTAAATTGTCCTCTTGGATTGCTGTGCAGCTTTTTTGTTTGATTTTGGCTTTGCTCAGGGTTTTCTCCTGACTCTTCTCAGGAATCACTTCTGGCAGAGACTCAGAGGTCCATCCAGGTGCAGGAGATTGAGCCTAGGTGAGCCATGTGCAAGGCAAGAACCCTATCCACTGTACTATCCCCCTGGCCCATTGCAGTGCAGCTTTAAGAAAAATAAGGGGAAACTGAGGCCAAGGGAATGTGAGCAAGTTGCCAGAACTCAAACCTCCAAAACTTGGCTTTTATTTTTGGGCCACACCCAATGATGCTCAGGGGAAATTCCTGGCTCTGCACTCAGGAATTACTCCTGGCGGTGCTCAGGGGTCCATATGGGATGCCAGGAATCGAACCTGGGTTGACTGTGTGCAAGACAAATGCCCTACCCACTATACTATCTCTCTGGCCCCAAGCCTCCAAAACTTGGATGGACATGTCCATGGATCCTGTAGTGCAGGTTGGCAAAACAGGCATGTTTAAACCGCTCATCCCTGCCCTTCCTGCCTGAGGCTTGCAGATGAGTCCAGGTAGCTGCCAGTGGTGCCTTATGAAGCCCCCAGACTGGAGCTTTATTCCCAGTGCTCTGGAGGGATGAATCCTAACACTCCAGGCCCAGGAGCTCTGGACCTGACTCAACCAACAGTTCCACACAGTGTTGAGTGATGGGCCCAGTGAATGCCCTGAGAGGTGCCCTGACCAAGTAGCAATAACCTGCCTAGGAGTCAGGATGGAAGCTGGAAGCTGCCTCTCGCTTGACTGTGCCTTCCAGGGCTTTTTGCACTGTGTTTCCCACTGTGGTCCTCCTCCCCAGATAGCTGGAACAGTAGAATCGGCAGGTGTATCTGGCACAGACCTTCCCATTGGCTTGGTTAGACAAATGTTATCCACTGGAAGGGGAGCTCAGTGGTAGAGCATGTGTGAGGCTCTGAGTTAATCTGATCTCCTGTACTGTATTCCCCCAAACATACCCTCTACAGCCCCGCCTGTGGAGCTCTTGTGGCCTCCAGGTACCTCCAGAGGTGGCCTAGTGGCCCAAAGTACTGCATGGTCTGAGCATCAATCCAGGGCTAGGGATCTCAGGCAGTGGCTAGGGTCCCATTCATTGCTGGGGGTTGGGGGTTGGGGCCCCCAGGCCAGGTGGGACATCACAGGGTTAGGGCAATTGGGAGCAGGCTTGTCTGTGAGAAGGGCTTTTGGCTGGGTCAGCATCATTTCCCATTTTCTGACAATTTCTCAGTTATTTTTTTTCTTCTTTTGGCCTTTCCTTCTGTGTCCAGAGCTTGCTTCTGGCTCTGCACTGAGGGATCACTCCTGGCTGCTCAGGGACCCATATGTGGTGCCGGGATCGAAACCAGGTCAGCCATGTGCAAAGCAATCAGCTTACCCACTGTCCTATTGCTCCAGCCTCTTGATCTACTTTTGAAAATCTACTTTATTAAGGTACACAGCCCATAAAATCGACCCATTTTAAGTGTACAATAAGATGAATTTTAGTGAAATTACCAAGTGATAGGACTATCGCCAGTTGAAGAATATCATTATTGCCCCAGTGTGATCCCTAATGCCAGATCCTCAGGGTGAGCCCGAGAATCTCCTAGTAGACGTTCCCCTCACTGTCCCTTTTATTTATTTATTTATTTATTTATTTATTTATTTGAGAGGGGTGGTGTCGACCATGTTTGGTGGTGGCCAACCCAAGGCCACCAAAGTCTATTTGTATGCATAGGCTAGGACAGTGTTTCTCCATCATGGGGGTGTAGCTATGGCATGGGACTAGGGGTCAACTCGGACCAGGGGGTGGGGCATGGAGGGGGACACAGGGGAAAGACAAGATGGGGAGGAAACCACCATCCAAGAAAGGTGGCATTACACTGGGCCAGCACACCGTTTCCCCAGTGAGTGCTGGGATGATCCAGGGAGCCACGTCGTCGGTCTCCCGGCTAGAGAGAGCCTGCTGGCTCCTGCAATGAGGAGACTGCACTCGGGAGCCCTAGTGATCAGCTCGCTCTGTGGATGTGGAGGTGGTTTTGTTCTCACTCTCTGCTGTGCCCGAGCCGCTGTGGGCTGTGAGTCCCGGCCTGCTGCCACCTTGGCCAGACCCACCAAACCGTCTGCGGTCTGAAGCGGTCTGCGTGCCTGTTCTGTGAGTGCAGTGGCCGATGGCCTCTGGTGCTTTCTTGCTCCCCACCAGCCTCCCTTCTGGCCCTGAGCGTCGGGGTCCGTGCGCTGTGGGCACAGGGAAGGGGAGGGCCGCTCTGTACACATGTTTGGGATTATCGTTAAGCCCGGGAAAGTCTTTACCTTCCCACTGAGGATTAATTTATCAAATCTTGCACAAGCTTCCAAGTGCAGATGAGGCCAGAGGAGACAGAGGTGTAGTCGTGGGGACGTCTGTAGCTCCCCCAGCCGGGGCCTGCCTGGGGGCATTGGTGAGCCTCCGGCCTCTGGTGGCACAACCTGTTCCCTCCCCTGCCTCCATGCCTCATTATCCACTCTGCCTGCCCTTGGCCTCCTGGCTGCCAAGCCGGGAACAGGCCCTTCCTCGTCTTGCTCAACTGCCTTCTTGGTGTTCTCTGTGTCCCGGCACAGAGTGCAGGGGAAGGACACTGCCACCCCACACCTCCCCCCACCGGCCCTCAAGCCCACCGCACCCCTGATGCCACTAGCTGCACATGTGGCTTAGATAGCCCAGCCCGACTCCGCTCATGACCAGCTCTCCAGTCTCAAACCTCCCCGGGCATCCAAGGTAAAAGTCCCTTGGCCAACATTTGAGACCTGAAGGTTTGCCAAGTCTGTGTGTCCCATAACCTGTCCCCTGCATCCCCTAGCAGAGCCTCCTCAGGGTAGGGCCCGAGACTCTCCTAGTAGACATTCCCCTCTCATCACTATTTTTTTTTGAGAGGGGTGACTTGCTGGGGGTCGGGGGGAGAGGAATGGCTGGAGAATGGAGGCTGGACGTCAAACTCGGAGCTCCTGAATGCAAAGCATGTGCTCCAGCCTGTTTTGCTATGCCTCTTGGCATCCAGCCAGTCCTACCCCCAGGCCGCAGGTGGCAGGAGGACTTCGGGGGGCCACAACTGCCCACTCTCCTGGGAAAGTCCCTTCCTTGCCCTCTCTGTGCTGTGTAAACCTCTGTGCACCTCCCTGAGAAAACGGGAGTGGGGCTGGAAGATTGGCTGACCCTGAGAGCCAGTGGGCTCAGCTCTCTGACCCCTCAGGGGCAGGGTTCAGGGTTCAGGGGAGGAAGGTGTTTTGGGAGTGGGTCCAGGGAGATGAGAGGGCAGTGGCTGAGAGTTATCTCCTGATTGCTGGTGGTCACTTCACTGGATGTGACCTTGGAGTGACTAGCACCAGGTCAGGCCACTGCCAGGGCACAGCTCAGATGGCTGGAGAGTGTGTCTCTGACCTTCTCTCCTGCCCACCTCCGGCCCTGGCAGATGCCCTTTGACCCAGGGTCCTAACTGGGCCTGCCCAGGTAAGAGACCCACATTCCATGTAGCACCACAGAAGTGGCTGTCAAGGGGGGCATTTGGGGCTTGAGAGGAGACGCGGCAGGCTGGGGGTCCATTTTACCTGGAAGAATTTATTGTCTGGAGAGACTGCCCTGCTCAAGCCAGCCATCTTTCCTTGACTGAACCCCACAATCCCCCACTGAGCCTCGTTCCTCTCAGGGCCCCATTCCCCAACAGCTGGAAGGCAGGAGGCCTCTCTGGGGATGAGAGGAGCATATTTAAGACAGGTCTTGAACAGAAGGTGGCACTTAGTAGGAAGACTAAGCCCTTGGCCTGTGCCAGCTAACGTTGCTGTTATCATTTAGGGCAGCGTTTCTCAGCCAGAACCCATATGGCCCAGGAGAGTCCAAAGGGACCAAGGTGAAAATTGCATAAATGGGGGCCTCCATGGCATCAGACTAGGGGTCAACTGGTAGGACAGGGCAGGGGGCGGGTACAGGAAGGGCACCCTGGTAGGCAAGGGTTGAGGGACACGGGCTTGCAGCCCTTCAGTAGGGCCTGGCACCTTAGGTTCTGTGTGAGCAGAGATTATCCAAGGCATCTACCTGCTGGAAGTTTCTAGGGTGTTCTGCTATGTTCTTGGAACTGTGTCCTAACTCTGAGCATTCACTGTCTGGTAATTCTGGATCTCTCCTCGGGAGATAAGGTGGGTTTGGAAAGTTAGTAGGGAGCCCCTGGTCCTGCTCATCCCAGGGGAGTATGGCCCTGTCAGAGGAAGATCCGAATTGAGAGGAGTCTTAGCAATGCCACTGTCACCTCTCTGCCCAGGCACTGATGAGCCCTGACTCCACAGCCCAAGGAGCACATCCCAGTGGCAGCTGCAGAGGGGTGAAGGAATTGGAGTCCATGGAGGGCAGGCCTGGCAGGATTTGCTTCCTCTGCTGCACCTGCCAGGGAAGTCCAGGATACAATAAGTGTTGCAAATGAACATTCAGTGCACAAACATTGCAGAGCAGCCACGGGATGCGAGTGACAGCAGCCCAGAGGGTTCCATCCCACCACTGCTGGCACAAAGTAGAGAAACCAAAAGTAAATAAAAACAATAAAACCCAGAGCTGCTGCTGCTGGGAAGAAACTGGACACATTGAAGGGAGGTTGTATAGGGGGTATGGTTGCAGGTAGCAGCCCATGCCTCTAAGACAACATGCTGCCTTTGCACTGACCCACTCTCCATGAGGAAATAGAAATGGTTTCTATAAAGAAACACAGCACTATTATGTAGACAGAGAATAGTCGCCCAGCAGGAGGGGGCCTGCCCCAAATTGCAGCTGCAACAGGACAGTGGGTGTTTCTGTCACCGGAATCCCAAGTATGTGCCCTGAGCCCACTCTGAGGACAGGCTGTTGGAACTGGTGCAGTCTGGCAGTCCCTTTATTTGTGGGGGAGCGGCCTGTGGGGGAGAGCACCTGGCTTGTCTGGGCCTGCTCAGGGACCGTATGCAGTGTCAGTGATCAGATCAGGGTTGGCTGCATGTGAGGCAAGGCCCTTTCCCTGTGCTTTCGCTAGCCCCTGGCATCCTATTAAAGGCCATCTTGCAGGTTCTGCTCAGGGCCTCTGGGCCATGTAAGCGGGGACTTGTACATGGGACAATGCAATGAAGGGAGGAATCTGAGAAGATGATGCCCAAACCAGTCTTGAAGGGGACTTGCAGCAGGTAGTCAGATGGACGGGGGCTCGGGGAAGGACATTCCCAGCAGAGGCACAAGTGCATACTGTGTCCATTGTTGGGAAGCTGCGAAGGAAGCAAGGCCTGGTGGGAGTCGGAGGCTGGAGGCCAGTAGCGGGGATGACTGGCAGCCCATCGCCGACTCCCGGTCTCTCCCAGCCCTTGGCCCAGGCTCTGCTACTGCCCGCAGGGGCCCCACCTGTAGTGCCACCAGGGCCGGCCTCAAGGAGGGCAGGAGTGAGCCTCTTGCCTTCATGCTGCCTGCGCTCTGGGCACAAGTCTGACCTGAGCTGGGAGCCGCCAGCTAGGTGGGCATGGACACTCCCCCTGGCAGGATGTGTATCTCAGATCCTTTGTTGTTTCCCCCAGTTTGGGGGCCACACCCGGTGGTGCTCAGGGTTACTCCTGGCTCTCCATTCAGGAATTAGTGCTGGCGGACTCGGGGGACCCTATGGAGTGCTAGGAGTCAAACCCTGGATTGCCGTGTGCGAGGCAGATGCCCTCCCTGCTGTCCTGTCACTCTGGCCTTGGGTCTCAGAGTCTCCAGGTGGTAGCTGTGGGGCACAGGGAAGTGCCCTCGCTCTGAGCCTGTTTCCTCATCCTGAACCCAGCTCATTCCAGGAAGCATCCTAAGCCCTGGCACCCCGAGGGCAGCCTTGAGGGTAGCCCTGAGCACACAAAGGGCAGTCTGTGCCCCTCCACATGTGAGCAGCCGAGGACGCGCCAACCTGCTGGCCTGCACTCATAGGAGAATGTGCAGGTGCTGAGTGTAGCCAGCAGGGAGGGTGTAAGACACGGGCTGTTAGGTGAATGCCCGCCCTGTGCCACTCACTAAGCAGGTATGGAATGCCCCAGGGTCCCACGAGCGGGTCCGCCTCTTGCCCTCTCCTCCTTGGCCCCTGTTTTTTTCTTGTTTGTTTTGGTGTGATGCTCGGGGGTTGCTCCTGACTCTGTACTCAGGAATTACTCCTGGAGGTGCTGGGGGACCTTATGGGGTGCTGGGGATTGAACATGGGTCGGTTGCACAGCTGCATGCAAGGCAAGCACCCTCCCGCCCTCCAGACCCACCTCCTTGCCCCCGATGGTGCCACCTGCACCAATTACTGCTCCCCGCTTGGCGCAGCCTTTGTGATCTGCACTGCAGTGGACTCTGGTGGTCCTGTCCCTGTTCCTTCCCTGGCTCACGGATGTGGGACAAAGCTGTGGGAACCCCAAACCCCAGCCTCCCAGCTGCCTCCCTGCCCTTCGCCCCTGTCCCGGAAAGGTCACCACGGGCATCCTTGCTGACTGAGCACCCGAGCCCGCTCCCCCTGCGGGGCCCCTGCACTCATTGCTCCTCCACCAAGGTGGCTTTCCTTCTATGCTTCTTGCCCACCCTTCCTTCCTTCCTTCCTTTCTTTCTTTCTTTTTCAATTTTTTAAAATTATTTACTTATTTGGCTTTTGGGGTCACACCAGGCAATACTCAGGGGTTACTGCTGGTTCTGCACTCAGGAATTACTCCTGGCAGTGCTTGAAGGACCATATGGGATGCCGGGGATTGAACTCAGGTTGGCCACATGCAAGGCAAACGCCCTACCTGCTGTGCTATCATTCCAGCCCCTTCTTCATTTCATTTCTGCCTCTGCTCAGGTCCTCCCTTCTTGTTGAGGCTGTTCTCGCCCTTCCTCTGCACTGGTCCCTCACAGCCTCCCCTCACAGCCTTAGTCTCTGCATGATGCTCCTGGCCCCAGTGCCCATGTTCCTCCAGTACCATCGATTTTCTTCACTGGGGTGTCAGCTCCCCCAGGGGTGGTCTTTATGTGCTGTTCCCGTGGACCCAGTGCCCCACACAGGCTGGCGTGCAGGAGCACCTGGGGATGGGCCAGAGATGCTGTCAGCGAGCTGGGCCGAAGCTGTGTGGACCCTACCGCAGGGCAGACCCAGGCTGAGGGGGCTCCCTATCCCAGGAGATCCACATGCAGGTTTGGCTGAGGGTGGGGGTCTGGTACAGAGGAGCTGGCTTCTGTGTGGGTCCGAGCTCACCTCAGTGTATGGGGCCCTCCCTGGATTGCCCTCCTGGCCTCAGAAGCCCTACAGACAAGAGAGCGGAGGGTGCCCTGACTTTGCCGTGAAAGGCAGAGAGGGGGTATTCAGGTCCTGTTTTGTTCCTGATAGAATCACAGAATCGGGAAGGAGAGGAGTAACAAGGTGACTCGGGCACAGCCAGAACAGGCCCGGTGCTCAAGCCCACCTGGAACTCCTTTGGCCGCCGGGTCCCCGGTTTGGGAGCTGCAGCCAGCCTCTGGTCCCAGCCCAAGACTGGGGTGGGGCAGGAGTGAGCGGAGAGCCTGCTCCTGGGCGCCTCTGTCGCCTCCTCCCCTAGTCCCGGCCCCGTTAGCGCTCCTCAGAGAAGCACGTGTTGAGCTCGGCTTGAGCATTGCCTCGTCAGGCAGCTCGTGACTGGCCATCCCAGTGGCCTCCGAGGGGAGCCCTTGCTGAGCTTTACACACTTGTTTCCCCAGAAAGCCCCACTCTGGACACCAGGCATGGAGGCTTGAAGGTGTGACCTGCCGGGGCAGCAGAGGGCCAGTCTGCCCCTTTAGCTGTGGGACGAGGGTAGAGAACAGGGTAGTAGGGCTGGCCCCCCTGATTTTTTTTTAGGGGGCACACCCAGAGGTACTCTGGGCCTCTTCGTGGCTCTGCTCAGGGGTCATTGCTGGTGATATTCATGGGACACATATGGTGCTGGGCCCACTTGCAGGGCAAGTGCCTTACCCCTTACCCCCCACACTTCTGAACTAGGTCAGAGTGAGATGGGAAGCGCTCTCTGAATGGTAGGGGTGCCCCCTGGCAGTGCCCCGCCGGCCCCTCCACTGGACTGCTGCCCGGGTCCCCTTCTTGTGTACAGTGGGGGCTCTACCCTGCTCAGAAGTGTCTGCTTTTTTAACCTTCCCTGGGAGTTTCTCAGAAGAGCAAGTGGGTAGCTACCCGCTGCCTGCCACCATCTCTGCTGGCATGGATGGGCAGAGTGCAGAGCTTCAAGAAACAAAGCAAAAAGAGGCCAGAAAGGGGCCAAAGCCATAGTAAGGCCTTGGATGCAGCTGATCTGGGCTCTGTCCCCGGCACCACCTCCCATTCCCTGAACCCCGCCAGGAATATGCCATGAGGACAGCCCAGGCCTGACACCTCCCCAAGAAACAAAAAGGAGACAAGTGAAAGAAGAGGGACAGTGAGGGGACTGCCCAGCTTGACGCCCTCAGGGTGTCTCTGCTTTGTCTCAGGTGACTCACCATTTTCTGGGCTCAGACACTGGGGAATAGTCAGGAGCAGCCCAAAGAGACTTCTGGGCTCCAGGCCTCCTGGTGTTCCCAGACCTCTGGGGGGGTGGGGCACAGGTGAACACCCACAGACTGAGGAGAGAGGGAGGAGAAAGTTCTAGAAAACAAGCTCTGTGGAGGGTTGTGGCCATTTTCGATTCTAGGCTCCTGGAGAGGGGGAGCAGTTGGGGAGGATTGCAGCACCCCAACACTGGCTGCTTTTGCCCTTGCTGCTGGGAACAGAGACCCTCAGGCTGGGCTGTGATAAGGGTTGAGCCTGTTTGGGAGGGTCTGGGGAGGGGGGGGTGGTACAGGACAGCACCTGTCAGGCCCTCTTCATCTCCATGTGCCCAGTTTTGACCTTATACGCGTAGAGCGATGAGCCTGAGTCCCCAGCCACCACCCAGGCTGCCACCTAGGGTGCCCCGCTCTAGGAACTGTGGCGCTGACAGAGATGGGGAGCTGACAGAGACAGGGAGCGGGGCTTCCCCGGGTGACAGCCTGGAGGTCTGACTCCACCCCGGGCCTCGGCCCGTCCTCTGCAGAGGGACGTGTGTCTGTTTCCCTGGCTGTGTGACGTGGGAAGGGGTTTCCCTTCACTCTCCTGGGCCTCAGTTTCCCAGCAGCGACCAGTGATTAGCGGTCCATGGAGCAGCGGGAGGCCCGCGGCCCTCACGCACCACCTCCCGTCACTCCCGGCCTGACGTCGCCGGGGGGTGTGGAATCCAGAGCCCCCTGGCAGTGCTCCGCCGTGGGGAGGGGCGGGAGGGGCGCGATGACCGCGAGTAACCCCGGCGCGAGCGCTCGGCGCTTCGCCCGCGAGTAACCCCGCAGAGCCGCTCCGCGGGGGCGGGGTGGGGGCCGAGCGTGAAACCCGAGCCGACCGCAGTCGGGGCGGGGCCAGCGGCGGGCGCAGCCCTCATTGGCCGCGCGCGCTCACCCCACGCCAGGCTTGCTGCCGGGGGCGGGGCCGGGGCGGCGGGGCGGGGCGGGGCCGGGGCGGGGCGCGGCCGGGCGGAGTATAAGAGCGCGGGCGGCCGCCGGGGAGCCCGCGGCGCGGCGCTGAGAGTAGCAGGCCGGTACCTGGGCGCCCCGAGGGGGCGGCGGGGCGCAGGCCGGGAAGCCATGGATTGCACATTCGAAGGTATTTTTGAGACGGTCCCCACCCTTTACTACTGAGCCACCGTCTCCCGCGGCGGAGTCGCCACCCTGGTGCCCACTAGTGTGGCCAGGCAGTGGCACTTCCACACGGAAAGCGCCAGTTCCGGAGGTGGCGTGCCGGGCCCCTGCCCGCAGGGAGGTGGGTGGCCCAGCCGCCACCTTACTAGCTACCCCCCAGCCTGACATCTGGAGGGAGAGGTGGCTTCTCCGCCCCACCCATGCTCCGTGCCCTCTGACCCCAGGGCCTTGGGGGACCCACTCACTCGCCCAGGCTGACAGCAGGAGCCCCTGGATAGGCCAAATGTGGGATGCAGCCGCCCTGGATCCAGCCTTCTGTTTCTTCCTGTGGCTCCTCGGTTTCTCCATCTCTCCGCGGGGAGGGGATTCTGGGAGTGCAAGTCTCTTGCAGCAGCCTTGTGCCCTGCATATATCAGAAGGGTCCCGGAGCTTTGCTCTTTGGGGGGGTGGAGGAACCTGGCACCCTACTTGCCAGCCTGCATCAGAGGCAGAGGGAGGTGACTCCTGCAGTACCTGTCTGCAGCTCCCTGTTGCGGGGTCGTGAGTCCTTACCAGTCCAGAGAGCCGAATATGGCTGTTACACAGAGGAAGAAACTGAGGCCAGTTTCTGTGAGAGAGGGCTACTGACTTAAGGGGTAGGCAAGGCCGGAGAGCTTAGGGGACCGGTGCCCTAGATGCTGCCCGTGGGCCCCGCAGAGTACTTTGACCCACTGGGTGGCCCAGTCCTGGAGGACTGACGCAGCCGGCTGCTGTTGTCCAGCTGGGGGAGAGGGCCTGGTGGCCAGTCTGCATGAGGAGGGAGGTGTTAGGACAGACTGCATTCTTTATGCAGGAGAAACCAGGCTCTGAATGGCTGGATCCTGAGGCCACTTGGCAGCCCACAGGGTCTGGGCTTGTGCCCGGAACATGTAGAGAAACTGATTGGCACATGCAGCTGGCAGCTGGCTCCACCTCCAGGCTTCTTATTGGGTCCATGGGGGGAACAAGTTGGTGATGGCAGCTCTGCCTGTAGCTGAGGGGGCAAATCAATAGGCTCATGGGGCCCTGCCCGCCCTGGAGCCCAGCCAGCTGGTTGCTGCAGTCTGATGCCCATGCCCTCCCCTCCCCCGGACATTGCAGATGTCCCAGGTGCCAGGTATGTGGCTCTGTATCGAGAGTCCCAGACTTAGGTGGCTGGTTTTCCACATCTGTGACACTGCCCATGTCCTACAGTGTAGTTTGGGGGGCGGGGGCATGGGAAGGTTCGGGTCCGTCCATGCCCCCAGCCCCACCCACACTCACACAGCCTCTTTTTTTTTTTTTGTTTCTGGCTTCTGGTCACACCCGGTGATGCTCAGGGCTGTGTTGGGACCCTGGCAGTGCTCGGGACCATATGGGATGCTGGGGATTGAACCCAGGTCGGCCACGTGCAGGACGAACACCCTACCTGTGGTACTATTGCTTCGCCCATCGCAGCCTCTTCTTTCCCCAGACATGCTCCAGCTCATCAACAACCAAGATAGCGACTTCCCAGGCCTGTTTGATCCTCCCTATGCCGGGGGCCGGGCAGGCGACGCAGACCCTGGCAGCCCTGACGCCAGCTCCCCGGGCAACTTGTCTCCACCTTCTGCCTCCATCAACTCCCCCTTTGAAGGCTTGTTGGGGACAGCCAAGGCCACACCCCCACCCTTATCCCCTCCCCCGCCAGCCCCCACCCCATTGAAGATGTACCCATCGTCATCATCATCATCATCATCATCATCATCTTCATCCTCATCGTCATCGCCATCGTCAGTGTCATCGTCGTCGTCTTTGTCGGTGTCTGCCTTTTCCCCTGGGCCAGGTATCAAGGAGGAGCCCGTGCCGCTGACCATCCTGCAGCCCCCCACTCCACAGCCCGTGCCCGGGGCCTTCCTGCCCCAGAGCTTTCCTATCCCAGCCCCACCGCAGTTCAGCTCTGCACCTGTCCTGGGCTATCCCAGCCCTCCTGGAGGCTTCTCGACAGGTAAGGGGTGATGTGGGCCCAGGAAGACAGGCTGCAGTGCCCTGACCACAGGACTGGCGCCTTTCGGAAAGTGGGTCTCCCACAGTGACCTGCAGTGCTGCTTCCTTGTTCTGGGGCCTGGGCTCGCCTCCTGTTCTGCCCTGGGTGTCCACATCACGTTGCCCTTTCAAAGACAAACACTTGGCTGGAGAGCAAGCCTGTTTGCACCACAGCCCCAGGCAGGGCCTGTGCAGATTGGGAAGCATGGTCCCGATAGTGTGACTCACTCAAGGTTTCACAGAGCAGGGACCTGAGGGGCAGGTTTAAAGTGGGGCAGGGCAGGGTGAGCCCACAGCCCCAACCTTCATTTCTGCAGGGACCCCTCCAGGGAGCACTCCACAGCCACTTCCTGGCCCACCGCTGGCTCCCCTGCCCGGAGTCCCTCCTGTCTCCCTTCACGCCCCGGTCCAGAGTGCGGCCCCCCAGCAGCTGTTGACAGCCACTGCAGCCCCCACAGCAGCGCCTGGCACCACCACTGTGACCTCCCAGATCCAGCAGGTCCCGGTGAGGGATGGGGTTGGGGCTGGGGAGGGGCAGCCCTGGCCCAGACTTCTGGCTCACCCTGAGCTCTCTGTCACCCGCAGGTCCTGCTGCAGCCCCACTTCATCAAGACAGACTCTCTGCTCCTGACCACCATGAAGACAGACCTGGGGGCCACCGTGAAGACGACGGGACTCAGCCCCCTGGCCCCTGGCACGGCCATGCAGACCGGGTCCTTGCAGGTGGGTGCAGGGGCAGGGTTGGGGTTGTGGGGTCAGCAGGTGTGCAGGCCTGCAAGAACCTATGCCTTTGCCCTGCAGACGCTGGTGAGCGGAGGCACCATTCTGGCAACTGTGCCACTGGTCGTGGACGCTGACAAGCTGCCCATCAACCGGCTGATAGCCGGCGGCAAGGCCCTAGGTTCGGCCCAGAGCCGTGGGGAGAAGCGCACAGCCCATAATGCCATCGAGAAACGCTACCGCTCCTCCATCAATGACAAGATCATTGAACTCAAGGACCTGGTAGTGGGCACGGAGGCAAAGGTGTGGGCAGAGGCCGGCAGAGGATGGACTGGGAAGGGGAGGGAAGAAGAGGATTGGAGCGGAGCCTAGCCATGACCTCTTATTGCTGGGCAGCCCGTTTATTCAGTTAGACTTTCTGGAGCACCAGCTCTGCTCAGCCCTGAGTGCAGTGTGAGAGTCAGTGGAAGCTGTTGCCTTCAAGGAACTGACATTCAGGTTGGGGAGGGGGCAGCGGGGAAAGGGCAGTAAAGCGGGTAAAGACGTGTTTGCGTGGAAGGAAAGCAAACGAAAGTGGGGTGGAGAGAGCAGCTCATCTCAATCAGGGGGTCAGGGGTGGCATCACTGAGGTGAGACACTATGAAAGGCTGGCAGGAGGATGAGCCAGGTGGAATGGTGGTAAGGGTCGCCCACCACAGCAGCCAGCCACATGCTGCTGTGTGCATTTCACCAGGTCCTCTGGTGAGCCCCTCCTGGCTAAGGGAGGCTGCCATGCCTTGGGGCGAGAACAGCAAGTGCAAAGGTCCTGAGGCAGTTGCTGAGCAGCCCTGCACCCATACTAGGTGCCCACCCACTAGCCAGGTTTGACCGGCCACCTCTCTTGTCTTGCCCCCCCACCCCCCATTGCAGCTGAATAAGTCTGCCGTCTTGCGTAAGGCCATTGACTACATCCGCTTCCTACAACAGAGCAACCAGAAACTCAAGCAGGAGAACCTGAGTTTGCGCACCGCTGCCCAGAGAAGCAGTGAGTCCCAGCCTTCTTTGGCCCACAAGTGGCCATCAGGATCGAGGCTTCCTCGCTGAGCTGACTCTGTGGGGTGCGGTGTCTCCACTCTCAACAGCCCTGCTCCTTCTGACCCACAGAATCCCTGAAGGACCTGGTATCATCCACCTGTGGCCATGGAGGGAATGTGGACGTGCCCATGGAGGGCATGAAGCCTGAGGTGGTGGACACGCTGAGCCCGCCCCCCTCAGATGCTGGCTCCCCGTCCCAGAGCAGCCCCCTGTCCCTGGGCGGCCGGAGCAGTGGCAGTGACTCAGAGCCCGACAGCCCAGCCTTTGAGGGCGCCCAGGTGTGCCCCCGGCCTTGCCCCCTTCTCTGCCTCGGGGTGCTGCCCTCGTCCAGTAGAGCTGGCCCTCAATTTCCCCACTCCTCACTCCAGGTGAAGGCAGAGCAGCTGCTGTCCCCTCACCACCGAGGCCTGCTGGACCGCTCGCGCCTGGCCCTGTGCACGCTCGTCTTCCTCTGTCTCTCTTACAACCCCTTGGCCTCCCTGTTGGGCAGCAGAGGTGCGCCCAGCAACATGGATGCCACCAGCATCTACCATGGGCCCGGGCGCAGTATGCTGGGCACCGAGGGCAGAGGTAGGTGAGCCCAGCCTGGGGAAGGGGGCAGGGCTCCTGGGTCTCTGGGGAGAGGTGTGTCCCAGCCCTTCTGTCCACCTGCAGATGGCCCTGGCTGGGCCTCCTGGCTGCTGCCACCGCTGCTCTGGCTGACTAACGGGCTGCTGGCGCTGCTCTTCCTGGCGCTGCTGTTTGTCTACGGGGAGCCAGTCACACGGCCACACTCGGGCCCAGCCGTGCACTTCTGGAGGCATCGCAAACAGGCTGACCTGGACCTGGCCCGGGTGAGAGGCGGATCTGGGGCAATGGGTGGGGGTGGTGTTTCCCCCATGCCTGCCCTCGGCCCACCATGAAGCTGCTCCTGTCTGCCTCTCAGCTCCCAGTGCTCCTGTGCAAACTGGGGTCTGGGGGCCCAGAGGCAGAGGCCTTTTCAGAGCCCTCTTGGGCTGTCAGAGGCCCAGGAAGGCTTGACCCCCATTTTCTCACCCCAGGGTGACTTCGCTCAGGCTGCCCAGCAGCTGTGGCTGGCCCTGCAGGCGCTGGGTCGGCCTCTGCCCACCTCCCACTTCGACCTGGCCTGTAGCCTGCTCTGGAACCTCATCCGCCACCTGCTGCAGCGTCTCTGGGTGGGCCGGTGGCTGGCTGGCCGGGCAGGGGGCCTGCAAAGGGACCGTGCTCTGCAGGCAGACGTTCGTGCCAGTGCCAGGGATGCTGCCCTTGTCTACCACAAGCTGCACCAGCTGCACACCATGGGTACGTTGGCCGGGGCTGTGCCTGAGGGGCTCCCACCCCCCCTGTACAGCCCAGCCTTACATCCTGTCCCTTTCCTAGGGAAGTACTCTGGTGGACACCTCGCTGCCGCCAACCTGGCCCTGAGCGCCCTGAACCTGGCCGAGTGTGCTGGGGACGCCGTGTCCGTGGCCACGCTGGCTGAGATCTATGTGGCAGCTGCGCTGAGAGTTAAGACCAGTTTCCCGTGGGCCTTGCGTTTTCTGACTGTGAGTGGCAGGGCTGAGGCCTTCCAGCTGTCCCTTCTGGGGGGCAGTGGGGACGGGTCGGGCGGGCTCCAGCCCAGCAGGGGTCTGGGTTTGAGGCCCTGCCTGGTCCATGTGACAGCCTGGCTCCCCTCCCCCGCAGCGCTTCTTCCTGAGTAACGCCCGCCAGGTCTTCCTGGCACAGAGTGGATCAGTGCCGCTGGCCATGCAGTGGCTCTGCCACCCTGTGGGCCACCGTTTCTTTGTGGATGGGGACTGGGCCGTGTGCAGTTCCCCGCGGGAGAGCCTGTACAGCGTAGCTGGGAACCCAGGTGCTCTCTCACCCCACCCCCTTCTGCTCAGCCCCCTCTGCCCTCTCCCTGCCGGTGCCTTTCCTTCACTTCTGGCTCTGGGACAGCCTGGTGGGACCCTGTTCAGTTAGGGTCATTCTGGACCAAAGAAGGAGAGAAGTTTGTGGGTGGGGTGTGTGTGTGGGGGGGGGGGATGTGCCCAGGCAGGGAAGGGACAGAGCCAAGAAGGGGTGGTGTCAGCAGATCACATACCCCAGAGGGCTTCTACCCTCCTGGGCACAGGGGCAGGGCATGGAACTCCCAACTTCTAGCTGCCCCAAAGCTCCGCCTACCCATGAGCCCAGGAAGGAGATTTGGGGCTCTAGGTAGGAAAAGGTAAAAGGAGCTCCCCCACCTCACTTCTCCCCACAGTGGACCCGCTGGCTCAGGTGACTCAGCTGTTCCGTGAACATCTCTTGGAGAGAGCGCTGAATTGTGTGGCCCAACCAAGCCCAAGCCCTGGGTCTGCTGACGGGGACAGGTGAGTGTTCCCCTGCACCCCACTTGGCAAGCAGCTTCCACAGTGGAGTCTGGGAACAGCTCTCTCCAGGGGTCTGTGTCAGTGACTGAGGCTGGCTGTGGGCCACTCCCCAAACCCCAGGAGCCTCTCGGCCTACCTGCCTGCTGGGAGACAGTGGCCCTTTGTGGAATCTGGAGAAAAGACCAGGCTGTGAGGAGCAGGACGGCCCCTGCCTTGTCCTGACCAGTCCTTCCCTCCCCGGCCACAGGGAGTTCTTGGACGCCCTTGGGTACCTGCAATTGCTGAGCAGCTGTTCTGATGCTGCCGGGGCTCCTGCCTGCAGCTTCTCCATCAGCTCCAGCATGGCTACCACCACCGGTGAGACCCTGCCTCTGGCCCGTGGCTTCCCTGCCCAGCGCGGTGCCGTGTGACTGAACCCCTCACTCCTTAGGCACAGATCCGGTGGCCAAATGGTGGGCTTCGCTGACAGCTGTGGTGACTCACTGGCTGCGGCGGGACGAGGAGGCGGCTGAGAGGTTGTACCCACTGGTGGAGCACCTGCCACGGGCCTTGCAGGAGTCCGAGTGAGTCAGGCCAGGACCCAGCTCGCACGATGTGCTTGGTGGTTGGGGAGGGCGTGTGGCCTAACTGGGCTCTCCCTGTTCCGCTCTGGCTCCCCGCAGGAGACCCCTCCCCAGGGCAGCACTACACTCCTTCAAGGCTGCTCGGGCCCTGCTGGGCCACGGGAAAGTCGAGTCTGCACCCGCCAGCCTGGCAGTCTGTGAGAAGGCCAGTGGGTACCTTCAGGACAGCCTGGCCACCACCACAGCCGGCAGCTCCATTGACAAGGTGAGACGGGGCTGGGGGCCAGCAGGGCTGGGCTGTCTTGGCCTTTCCACTTCCTGATGTCCCCCCATTGGGTCCCAGGAAACTGGTTTAACTTCTCGGTACCTGGCTGGGAGACTGGCTGATGGCACTTTCTGCCTCAAGCATGGTCTCAGGAGTGGCCTCCCCCAGCTGGGTCCATGGTGTGGTCACCCCTGGGGCAGCTGGTGCATGTGGGAGCCCAGAGGCGGACAGCCCTGCGGTGCATTGCTGTTGCATCGCATGTCTGTGAAGCGGGTGCAGTTCCTCGGCAACGCAGCCCGGAGTCGGCCCCTGGCACCATGGTCCTACTTTTCATCAGCCGGAGCCCCCCATGACCCCTGGCTTGCCCTGTTTACCACCTCCAGGCCATGCAGCTGCTCCTGTGTGACCTGCTTCTGGTGGCGCGGACTAGCTTGTGGCAGCGGCAGCAACCACCACCCACAGCGCAGGCCTCTCAGGGGCCCGGGGGCATCAGTGGTGGGCCCCAGGCCTCTGCCCTAGAGCTCCGGGGCTTCCAGCGGGACCTGAGCAGCCTCAGGCGCCTGGCTCAGAGCTTCCGGCCTGCCATGCGGAGGGTGAGTGCTCGGAGCCCCCACCTCCCATGCGTCCGGGACTTTGGGGACATGTTGGGGAGCACACGGCCAGGAGAGGGGTGTGGGGAACCGGACCCGGTCTGAAACAGCCTTCTCCCGGCCCCAGGTGTTCCTCCATGAGGCCACTGCCCGGCTGATGGCTGGGGCCAGCCCCACGCGAACCCACCAACTCCTGGACCGCAGTCTGAGGAGGAGGGCAGGCCCCTGCGGCAAAGGTGAGCCGGACCCCGCCCGGGAGGGTGTGACCCAGGTGGGTGGGCCAGGAGAGGGGGTGCAGTGGGTGCCTGAGCAGTCCTCTGGGGCCTGCCTGCAGTGTGAGCGGGAGGGCCGCTGGGTCCAGGGATGCGGCGGGGGCGGGAGCGCTCGCGGGGCGTGGCCAAGCCGCGGCCCCGCCTCCTCAACGCGGGCTGTGCGGCGTGCGCAGGCGCGACGACGGCGGCGGCGGCGGCGGCGGAGGAGGGAGACCTGGAGCCGCGGCCCACGAGGCGCGAGCACGCCGAGGCGCTGCTGCTGGCCTCCTGCTACCTGCCCCCCGGCTTCCTGTCAGCCCCGGGGCAGCGCGTGAGCATGCTGGCCGAGGCGGCCCGCACGCTCGAGAAGCTTGGCGACCGCCGGCTGCTGCACGACTGCCAGCAGATGCTCCTGCGCCTGGGAGGCGGGACGACCGTCACGTCCAGCTAGACCCCTCGGGAGACTCGCGGCAGCCCGCGACGACCAGTTTCCCGGGTCGGAGCCCCGAAACGCTGGTGTCCGCAGCTCCCCCACGGTCGGACCCCTCGCGGGGCACGCCTCCGGGCCTCAACCGCCGCCCCTGGACGGCGGCGTCCTGGATGGTGCTGACATCTGGTGGCCGGTCGGGTGATTGCGGAGGCCGGGGCTGCCCGCTCGTTATCACCGCCGCAGTTTCCCTTCTCCCGCTGGAGACCAGGGAAAGGGACAGTTCCGAGAGTCTGCTTGGCTGTCCCAGCCCCGCGGGCTCCCGCCCCAAGGCGCCTCCTTCCCTCCGGGAGTACTTGTACATAGTGTAGATGTGGTGCACCAGTCTCCTGGCCTCTGAGGCTCGTGTGCTACTTTGCCTTTTGCAAACTTTATTTTCATAGATTGAGTTTTGTACAGAGAGAATAAAAAATGAAGTTATTTATAATCTGGGCTTTGTTCCTTCGGTGAGGTGGACGTTTGTTTCGGCTGATGCACACACGGGCAAGGGTCGGGCCCTCTGGGACTTCCCTCCCACCCAGCACCCAGGCAAGTGCCTCTCCAGGTCCGGAATCATAAGGGACATTCACCCCTTCAGATGTTGGGGGGAGCCTGGAGGTCTGGCCTTCCCTGACCTGGATCCCGATGCTCTCTGGATCCATCCACTTCTCTACCCTCAGAGCCACTATGCTGCTTCCTTTTGCTTCCCGGCTTCTGCCCCACGTGCTCCCTGGGTGATGTGGGAGGACCATTCTGTCCTCAAGGATATGTGACGGGGAGCTATGACCTGAGGTGTCCTTGAATGTCTGCAGTGTCACCTCTCTGCCCTGTTCCCTGGTCTGAGGAAGTTACACCCCACCCTCCATCTAAAACCTGGGCCCTCTCCCTGGGTGTGTTTGGGGGGGAGGGGAGTCTGCTCAGAATCCAGGGGCTAAAGACTTCCAAAACAATCGTCGTATCTTTATTGACTTTTTTTTTTCTGAATGCAATGACTGTTTTTTACTCTTAAGGAAAATAAACATCTTTTAGAAACAGCTCGATACACACAATCTTCAGTGTGAAGCAATATACTAATAAGAACACTAGTCGTCTTAACATTTACAGTCTTCATATATATTATATATATGTATATGTATACATATATATACACTATATAACGAGGCCAGATATAATACACACGTTTACCATTTTACAGTCATATGTACAGGAAGTTGCTAGGGCGGCCCCAGACTGGGGGCTGCGTCAGGCCTATCGAAGCGTGGACAGAGCTGAGGACACGGACTGACAGGCGGACGGACTGGCAGGGACTGGCTTGGGCCGGTGGTGGCTGCGTGGGCTGGGGCATCGCCCCTTCCCCAGCAAGGCCCCGTGCTGAGGGGAGCACGACGCACAGCGGCGACACGGGAGAAGCGAGCAAGTTCCCAACATATATACATTCTATGTAACATATATATAGAGGGGGACACAGGTTTGTACACGGATCTAGCACTGTCGCTCCCGCGCCGAGTGGCGCTGAAGTCCCGGGGTCGGGCGCTGCGAGGGCCGGTCACGTTGCGGGGCGCGGTGGTCGCGGTGGTCGCGATGCCTTTCCTTCCGCGCTCCCAGGCGGGCCTCCAGGGGCGGGGTGGAGGACTGGAAAGGGGACAAACAGAAGCCGAAGAGGTGCCCGGTCCTGCCCACGCCAGGGAACCCGCCCCCAGCCCTGCTCTGCTCCTGTTGCATCAACGTCTTGGCAAAGGCTGGGTGGGAAGGGCGCTGACTCCCTGCCCGCCGCCCACCTCCTGAACCCACAACCCGGGGCAACCAAATGCAAGCTGCTAGGCTTGGTGGGGGCAGCACCCACGTGGAATGTGTGCTGCTTTAGAACTTTCAGGAGAGAAGCAGGTCCCCAGGACTGAGGCAACCCCCACCCCTGCCGGAGCCTGGCTGCTTCTCAGGCTGCCCCTCTCCAAGTTTGCCCCGGGAGCTCGTCCTGCTCAGCTCCGGGAGCAGGTAGCTCCGGAACATGTTTTCTCCCCAGCCCGGGACCGCAAGTTTCCAGCCCTAGGCAGCCAGATCCAAGACCCGAAGTTCGGATCAAGGATCGGCTCTGCATCCGCACTGGGAGCAGCTCAAAGGCCCGGGGGCCCGCGCAGACGGCTCCTTTCCTTCGGCGGCCGCGGGTGGGCAGGCAGGCTCTGGCGGCTTCCCAGCTGTCGGGGATGGATTACAACGGCTGCCCCTGCAAGAGAAGGAGTTCCGGGACTTGACCTTTCCCACTCCCAGACCGACCCAGCCTGATCCAGGCCCCGTCCCTCCCAAGCCGCCCTACTAGCTGGGAGTCGGGTCAGTAGGTGGGCAGATGGGGGCTTGTGCCACGTGGGAGCGAGCGATTTGCTAGGGAGAGGGCTTCCAGGGAGGGGAGGGGCTCTGTCCAGCCTGGTGCCCCTCTCCAGAGAGCGCCTGTGGTGACTTACCTTATGTTTGGGACACTTCAAAGAAAAGTTCTCTTCCATGAATACGCAACCTGTGACCAGGAAAGTTTGGGTGGTTAGGGCACTGCTGGAATCCCCTCAGGGCACCCTCCTCCCACCAAGCCCTAGGCCACAGGGTGCCCTGGTGAATCAGACTCTGCTTGAAACCCTCTGCCATTCGGCTTCCATCTGTCCTCCAGCCCCACTAGCCCAGCCGTCCACTGTTGCCCTAACCCCGCCCCAGGTGTGTGTGGGGGGTGTCCACGGTGCCAGCATCCCTGCTGTTGCCAGACTGCCCTCTTCCCCAGCCTGCTCCCTGTCTGCTGGGGGTGCCGCCTTCCTCCTTCCATGTGGAGTGCCTGGAAGGCAGTGGCTGCTCCCGTGGACAGATGGGTGGTTCAGATCTGGTCGGAATTCAAGGTCAGCCTTCGTCTCCACAGCTGTCAAATGGGCACTAGGCCATTTACCACTCTAGGAGGCTGCACCCGGATGGCCTGCTGTCCCTCCCAGGCACTCAGGATGAGGGCAGGCTCCTGTGGGGACTAAGCGGGAGAGTCTTGCAGGGCTGGAAGGGCTCAAGTCTCAGCTGTGTGGAACTGCAGCGGGTGTCCGAGTGCGCACGGCTGAGCAGAACTGGCCCAGGGCTCGCTGAGTCCCCACTCTCCGGCCTGCTGTTCCCCTAGTGGCCCCCGTGTGTCCCTTTTGGGTTCCCCCACCCCCAGACACCATAGCCACAAACCCACCCCATGTGGGAGCCCACTGTGGGAGCCTCCCCTGGCTCCACCCTCTGCACTGGTGCGGCCACAGTGGGCACAGGCACCCCAGCAGCACCAATGGTGGCCCGTGGCAGGGGCAGCAGACCTGGGAAACTCCAGGCCTCTCTGCAGCTGCTCCTGCCCCACCCTGAAGTGATACACCCCCAGGATGAACGTGCCCTTCAAGGCCAGCCACCGGAAGGGGAGCATTGCTGTCACCCGCCCTGGCACAGGCAACTTCAGGACCGAATCACACCTTCAGAGATACTGGCCGAAACCCCCAGCTCCTCGGCCACACAGGAGACTCCCCAGCCCTCTGCCCGTGAAACGGGAACTAGAAATGCCCCAGCTGTGGCCTGGGCTAGTTGGACGGCTCCCGAAAGCGGAGGCTTGTCCTGAATAGTCCCACACACACACCAGATGCCATCTGGAAGAGCAGGTCACCAACTGGCTCTGCTCTGGGACCTGGTAAGCAAGGTGGCCTTGGGTCTGAGAGGAAAGGACACCACCAGTCCAGGTCAGCTGCATGTGGTCAGCCTTGCTTGGGCTGAGTGGGGGGCAGGGCAGTGGAACAGGGAGAGCCAGCCTGGTGTCCTGTGGTTGAGATGTGCCTGGCAGCTCTGGCATTCGGTGGATGGAGGGCGATAATAAGAGCTGGGTACCTGTCCTGGGCCAGGTGAGGCCCACGCCCTCCTCTCCCAATTGCGGGGTTCACTTTTGCTCCCACCGTCTCCATCCACTTCCCAGGTACCCACGTGTTTGACACTGAGCTGGAGGGTCTGTTCTGAGCCCCGTCTGAAGAGGGGCATGTGGTAGTGGACAGCCCACATCCTCCCTGCACCCCGTCTGGAGTCCCATCAGCTGAAGGAGACAAGGGCTCACTTCCCACCCGGTGCCCTGGACTACAGGGACCCCAGCCAACACCCACCAGGACAAACCGCAGAGATCAGTCGAGCACACCCAGGACTGTGCACCTGCAGGTTCCTCCCTAACCCCTGGGCTCTGCAGAGGACACTGTCCCCAACACCTGTCAGATTTCAGGCCTAAATTAAAAAAAACACAAAGTGCCAATAACCTCCGGCCCAACCTTTGGTGACTTGGCTCAAATATCACCCCCTCTGGGGAGTCCTCCTGGATTCCCCAGATGCTCAGGTAAAATGGCTCCACACCGCACACCTCTCTCTGGGCAAGGATTGTGGGTCTCCTGTCCTACTTAAATGGCAGCTCAGGCTGGGGTAGGAGCCCCAGTGGACCTTTCCCCTTTTCCTCTGTAAAGAGGCTATGGAGAGAGCAAGGTGAGTCAGGACCTAGTGGGGCCTAAATCAGTCCCCGCGGAAGAAAGAATGAGGAAGAAGGGAGCCACTGCCGGGAGCAAGGCCACATGGCTGTGGAAGGTCTGAGCCACATTGAAATCTGGCTCACGCAGCTCTGATGGAGTGTATGTGTGTGTCTGGGGGTGGGGGGGTCAGTGAGAACCCCACAGCTCGCCCCACTGGCCCCTCCTGCTGGGTGCCAGAGCTGCTCAGTCCTTGCCAAGAGCTGTCACCACTCAGAGTCCTGATGGGTTGAGGCTGGCAGGACCAGGCGGGCGGGCAGGCAGGCTCCCCTGTGCCCAGGGTACAGCCAGTGGGCAACAGGGAAGAGGGGTAGCTGGCCCCTGCAGGGAGAAGGTCCTGGTGGGAAATGCCTCTGCTCTGTCGTCCATAAGGGAGGCTCATGGGAACTTCACCCCTCTTCCGGGTCAGAGGAGGGAGATGGGCCGAGGGAGGTGGCCCCAAGAGGGCTGAGGCTGTATTTCCTGGGCAGTTTCATCATTTCTTTCCCTGCTCCAAACCGCTCTGGAAAGAAAAGATGATTACCATCTTCATTTTACAGATGGAGAAACCAAACGCAGTGACACCGTGGGCCTGCCCACACGGTCATGTCACCAGGTTTGACGCCAGTCCAACTGCTTCTAACCCCCTCGAAAGTAGGGGGGCCACCAAAGGTTCCAGCAGAAGCAGACACTTTCTTAGGCTGAAATCCGGACTGTCTCCAACTCCCTGCTTGGCAGAGGAAGTCTGGGCCCCCGTGTGACCTGCCATTGTGTGCCCAAGCGCTCACAGAACAAAGAAATGAGAATTTGGGGGGAGGGGGAGGCGCAAGGGTGGGGGCTGCCCCAGACCCCGGTCCTATGCCCAAACCTTCACCAGTGGTTCCCCACAATCCCCGGAAGCTGGTTTGTGCTCATGGCCACCCCAGAGTTCTGTGGTCACACAACCTCCTTTCCCATTTTCTGTCCATTCTCCTGACAAAGGACCCCTTCATATGTGAGACTGGAGACCCTCCCAACGTTCTGACAATAGCAGATCCTCAAAATTCTGTTTCTGCACATTGCTTCAATGCCCGACTGGGGAACTGACTCGGGTCCCTGTCCTTCGCCTTGCCCAGGTCCTCGGAGAGAGGAAGTGGTAAAGCAGCGGAGGGCAAGGAGGGGAGCTGGGGCACAAGGTGGGCTTCCAGGCGCTGTGCCAGGGGCCCTGGCATTGCACACAAGGCCCATTAGGGTCTCCTGTGCCCCCGGGCCAGCTCTTACCCGCTTCGCTGGCACACGAGTAGTGGTAGGCATGGATGCATCCCTTGTGGCAGCACCCGATGGTGGCCCCAGCCTCCCCACAGCTGGCACACATCTGGTGAGGAGAGAGGAAGACAGTTGAGTCAGCAGCTGCGGAGTTGGACCCCTCCCCAGATGGCCGCTGAAAACCAGGTGGCAGGAAGCTCAGTATTGGGTACAACTGCCCCAGGGTTGATCCCCGGCAGCGGCCAGGGCCCCTCCAGGTCAGGAACTGACCCTTTCAGGAATGTGGGTCTTGGCATCCCAGCCCCGGGTTCAAATCCCAGCTCTGCACTGCATGACTTGGGCCCAGTGTCCACCTCTCATGAATTTCATTGGTGCAACATGGATGATGCCTCCCCTAGGGGCAGTCCCAAAGCTGAAGTGACTCTGCCGAGGATGCCAGCCCTGCTACTGCTGGGGAGAAGCCGGTGTGCCCGAGGCTTTCCTGTGCAGCCTCCGAAGCCCTGGGTGGCGCCGAAGTGGCCTCATCTGTGATGTGTTGGGGGCAGGCGGCTCCTGTCCAGAGGGAAAGTGGCAGGACAAGCTGTGAATCCTGAAGGGTTTGGCTGACTGCACGGGCCAGTTGCCCTGTTCCCGTGGGAAGATAACAGAGCCAGGCCCGGGATGCCAATCTTAAACCATCCAGTCCACCTGGGACTTAAGAGGCATGAGAAGCGTGGTGACTGCCCTCTGCTCAGGTTTTGGGAGCGAGACATAGCCAGGCCAGGACGGCCACAAGAAGTCCCCATGCAAGACAGAAGCAGAGCCTGAATACTGGAGGTCCAGGCCAGGCCCAAACCTCTCAGCCCTCTGTGTGCAGGGGAGGAGGAGGAGGAGAAGGTCCACGCCCATGTGTGATGTCACTGAAACAGCCACAGCGTAGCCTGGCAGGGCATGTTGGGGGTGGCTGCATCCTGCAGACCCTGTGGTGCTGGGCTCAGGATTATGTGCACCCAGGATCCCAGCGGGAGCTGAGAGAGACCAAGTCACCTTCCTGCAGGTATACAGCTCTGCAGCTGTTAGGCAGGGACAGGCTCCATCCTGGACAACAGGCCTAAGGGACCCCTCTGCCCAGCAGTTGGGGGAAACTTTGTGGGTTTGGTTTGACAAAACTCAGGGAGTCCTCTCATGCCATGCCCCATTTGGGACCACAGTGGTGCCAGGCTTGCACAGCCCCCAGCCAGCAGCTGGCTTGGGGTAGGACCAAGGTAGCCCTGGGGGGCAGGGGAGGGTTCACTGACTAAAGGCTAACAGTGGAGAGTCCTAGCCATGAGGCCCCTAAAGCCCAAGGCATGTGTGTGTGGGGTGCTGGGATCATGCCCAGGGGCTCAGGCATTAAGGCAATGCTCTGACACGCTTGCAGCCCTGAGGCAGGCTGTTTAGACAGAAAGTGGTATCAAGCCCGCGGACTCAAGCACCCCCATTCCCTGGCCCCCCTGCTGACAGGGTGTAGCTCTGAACCTGGCCAAGGATCCCAGGCAGAAGAGAGGCCGGCAACTGGTGCCCGAGCCAAACAGAACAGCCCCGCCAGAGGGGGTACCACATCAGCAACTTGAGGTACCGGCTCCGGGAATCAGAGAAACTGGGGTGGTGGGAGGTGGTGAGGTGGAGCTCCAGGGCCCAGAGGAGGCTGACCACACAGCCACACAGTTCAGTTTCCCAGAAGGAAATGGAGCAAGTGCTGGGGCCAGAAATAGGGCAGCTGGTAAGGAACTGGCCTTGCACGCAGCTGACCTGGGTTCAATCCCCGGCATCCCTTACTGTCCCCTGAGCACTGCCAAGAGTGACTCCTGGCGGGAGTAACCCTTGAACACTGGTGGCCCCCAAAACAAACACAAAAATAAAGTGAGTGTTGACAGGCACGCACCGCCCCTGCCCCAAAGCTCTGGGGCTCATAGAATAGGAGGCGGCAGGGAAGGACTGGGTTTGGAACAGGGTGGTCTGTGGGATCTCAGGGGAATGTCCCCAGCTGTTGGGGTGGGAGGAGGCTCAGCCTGCCTGCCAGCAACAGGAAAGGCACATGGGGCCCTGGAGAGCCCTAGAACATGCTCATCTTTCTAGACTGTTCTGTGCTTGCCTTGCTCTTCTGACTGGGTGCTACCTGACATGACCCAAAGTTCTGGCACGCTGCCAGCTCCTGCTCTGGCCTCCAGATCCTGCGGGGCCGCCCTGGGTGAGGCAGAGGCCCACGGGGGCAGCAAAACCTGTGACGCTGTCCCATCCTGAGGCAGATAGCCCTGGCCAGGCCTAAGCCTGCAGCAGTGGGCAGAGGTCAGCTGAATGGGCGGGTTCCAGCTCCAAATGCCCAAGAGCTGTGCCGGACCAGAGCACCAGTGTGATTCCCTGAGCCCCACTTTCTTCTCTCCAGAAAATGTTAATGCAGGCTGCAGAGGCAAGACCCAGGAAACGGGCTGGGGGTGGGTGGTGCGGAGGGGGGTCGGCATGGGACAGAGCACTGGGGGAGGGGGGCTGACCCCATGCTTGAAGCCTTCTCACCCGGGCCAATTCAGGGTGTGTCGAGACTAGTTCTTGCTCCCGAGACTCAGAGAAGGGTGCAGAGAAGCAGCTAGGCCTGGCCCAGAGGAGGGACTGGCTGCAGACCCCACGGGGTGCAGGTGCCAAGCAAGTGCAGGCAGCAGAGGACAGCAGAAGGGCTGCCACCAGCTGGGACTGAGGAACCGCATGAAGGTGACTGGAACCTACTCAGGGGTGGCGGGGATGGGAGAGAGAGCAGTGAGGGGAGGGACTATTCCAGCTGTGGGGTATCCTGTGAGCTACCTGCCCAGAGGGGTGCAGGGAAGTGGTCAGAGGCCTTCTTGGACTGGGGCCATGGGTGGGACGTGTGGACATCAGGAGGAGTCTGAACACACCCTCAGCCAGTGTGTGGGTCTCAGGGAAGCACAACCACCACTTTATGGGGGCCCAGGGCCCATCACTTCAGAGGAGGGGACAGGGAGCAGGAGGGAGGCTGGGGGAGGGGAGGCCTGGGGCGGCAGGATGGGCACAGGGAGACTGCGGCAGAGTCCAGGCTGGCCCTTGTAAGTGTGTGCTCTCGTGTGTTTGTGTGGCTGTGTGCAGTGTGTGTGAAAATGTGAGTGTATATGTGAGCGTATGTGTAAAGGTGTGTGAAAGTGTGTGAGTGTATGTGTGAGAATGTGAGTGCATCAGAGTATGTGTGTATCAGTGTATGAGTGTGAGTGTGTGTGTGTGTGTGTGTGTGTGTGTGTGTAGGAGTGTGAGGGGCCCTGGGAGAGGAGACTCACCCCACTGTCCCCACGCAGGCCCTGCCTCTGACCACCAGCCCTAGGCCTAAGGGGCCTGAAGCATGGCACTTGCTCAGGAGTGAGCCTGGTAGTGGAACTGCACAGGATGGCAGCTTGGCCACTGCCCCTCGCTCAGCGCTGGCCATGGGGGGGGGGGGGGTGTGGCTTCCCCTAGCAGAAATGGCCTGGGTTCCAGTGTCTCCAGGGCGTAACCGGGGAGTAGGTTTTACAAGGGTTGGGTTTCCTTTCCTTTCCTTGGCGCTGGGATGGAGTCCAGGGCCCCATACACCTCCACCACCCCAGGCCCTGCCCGATGCCCCACCCTAGACCAAAGGAAGCCAAGTGCCCTGGCAACAAGGGCAGAGCAGGGGTCTGTCCCACAGATAGCCGCGCCTCGTGCCAGGAGCGTAGACACAGCCGTTTCCCAGGCCCCTGCTCAGAGGGCTCCCCAGACGCCAGAACCTGTTTGGTCCCCAGGGGCTGTGCTCCTGCCACGAGCCCCAGCTCTACCTCTGAGGTGACTGGGCAGCTCTGGCAGCAGCGGGGACGGGGAGCACCCTAACTTTCGCAGGCCACCTTAGCTTTCCACTCTGTGGGCGTGCTTGTTCTCTGGGGATCCCCCAGCTAAGCTGATGACACAAGAAGCGGAGCCCGGGGGCTCTGGAGGCACCAGGGGAGGGTGAGGTGGAGGTGAGCACTGGGCTGGGAGCATCTGGGGCAGAGCTGGCTGAGCGTGTCCGGCACTGGTTGTATCCGAAGCCTCCCTCAGCTTCTCGACAAAAGGGCCGCCTGTCTGCCTGCTGGCCCTGCAGAACCCAGGTGCCCTCCCACCTCAGGCCGGGCTGGCCGCTTACCATGTCCACGGCCACCTTCATGGCCTCCTGCAGCCCAAAGAGCTTCCCGGCCACCAGGTAGACCCCGCCCGTCCACACGGCGCAGGCCTCATGCACCCAGTGCTCCTGGGTGTCCCCACCAGGCTCCGCCGCCGCTGCCGCCGCCGCCTCCTTGCTGCACTCATGCTTGCGGCTCCTGTCGGCTGCGGTCGCCTCCTCACCACCGTCCCCCTGCCCATCACAGCAGTAGCAACTCTGTAGCCGCCGCGACAGGCCCCGGGCGCTCGTGCGCAGAGCGCCCTGCTTGGCGGGGTCGGCCGGGCCGTCCGGCCTGGGGGGCTTCCCGGCTGTGGCAGCAGGGCACTCCGAGCCTTTGAGTGTCCTCTCGTGGGGCAGGGGCTCCTCGCAGGGGGCCTCCGGCCGCAGCTTCTCCTTGAGTCTCGGCTTCTTTTTGGGGAGGCAGTGCTCAGGGTAGTAGGGCCCACAGAGGTCCCCCAGGTCCTTAAAGTTGGCTGGGCTTTGGCAGAGGCAGCAAACAAGGCAAGAGGTACTCAGGGTCTTGGAAACGAGAGGCCCCAGATGCATGGTGGAAGAGAGGGGCAGGGAGGGCCGCGGCTGCAGGACGGAGCCCCCAGGGAGCGTGGCCAGGGAGGCCCCGGCTGCATCCACAGAGGAGGATGAGGACGAGGACGAGGAGGTGAAAGAGGAAGGCTTCCTATGAGGCTTGGGCTCATCCCCGGGGGAGTTGACAACAGTGCATACGGTGGTGAATGCATCGCGCTTCTCCACCCGCACGAAGGGCGAGAAGGCAGGGGTGCGGCTGTCTGCCCGCAGCCTCTTGCACGAGGAAATGTACTTGAGGCGGATTTCAGGCTCGGCGGGATCCAGGGGCAGCACCTGGTGCTGCCGCCGCCGCTTAGCCCGCCCCTTGCAGGGGGAGGAGGCGGCATTTTTGGCCCTGCCCCGCGTGAGGCGCTTCCGCTTGGAATAGCTGCTGTAGTTGGCATGACCCGGCTGCTTCTGTGCCCGGGTCTGGGGCTGGCAGGGCCGGCCGTCAGAGGGCTGGGAGGCCAGGCCCAGCTCCTCTGTCTTTGGCTTCTTGCCGCCTCCACCAGAACCATCCTCACTGCCCCCGTGCGTGCCCACGCCCACCCTGTCTCGGGAAGTCAGGAGCAGAGATGGGCCGAGATGGGGCCGCTTCTCCAGGGGCCCTTTGGGGAGTCCCAAGGCTCCAGCCCTGCCTTTCCGGCTTCTCTTCTTGGGTGCCAGGGTAGTGGCCCCAGGCGCCAGTGTCTCTGCGGACGTGAAGGCCTCAGATTTGAAACAGTCAGTGGAGGACAGTTTCTTACTGCTCAGGAGTTTCCCTTTTAAGGACCTGTTGGCTGCATTTCTGCACAATGGGTTGACCCCTGGGGTGGCTGGGAGCTTCGGCCCAGTGCCCACATTCAAGAGGCCTTCTTCCGCGCCCCCTGGGCTGCCCCCAGTGCCCTTGAGCCCTCGGTCCTTGTCGAGGAGGGTCGGGTTCAGAGGGTTCCCAGAAGAGGCCCCTGGGGCTTTGCAGGCGAACTTCTTCAGGCTGGGAGAGGTGATCTTCTGCACGATGGCCTCCAGCTTCAGGCCCCGGCCCTTCCGCGGGGGCAGCACCTTGGTCTTCATGGCTCCTGGGAAGGCCGCCCGGGAGACCAGCTTGAGGCAGGCGTCGGGGGCCTCAGGAGGCGGGGGCTTGGCGGCAGGCTCCCCACTTCCCTTGGCCGGCTTGGCCTTCTTGGGGGAAGCCAGCCTCTTGAAGAGGGTGGGGGTGCCCTCAGCCACCTCCTCCTTCACGTCCTCATCTCCGCCGGCGCCACTGCTCCGCAGGGCCAGGCTGCGCTTCTTGGCGGGGACAGGAGCCAGGAAGGCCGACTTCCGCTTGAGAGCATGAAGGGGCCGATCGGACAGCTTGCCGGCGGCCCCCGGCTTGGGGACCCGCGCGCGCTGGCCCACCCTGCCCTCCTTGGGGGGGCTGCCGGAGACCTTGAAGGAGGCTGCCAGGTGGTTATTGGCCAGGAGCTTCTTGGCCGTGCGGCAGGCGGGGAGGCGGCCCTCTGAGGGCCTCCGCCGCTTGGCGTGGAAGACCTCCTGGGTCTTGGTGCGGGAGCGGAGGATCATGGAGCGCTGGTCCTGCCCGGGGGTGCCGGGCGAGTCTGTCTCCTTGGTCTTGGAGCCCATGGGGCTGCTGTCAGAAGCCACGGGCAGGGCGGCCGGGTTACTGGGGCTGGACGCTGCCTTCGGGGAGGGCTTCCCGACCCGCTTGCCTGACTTGAAGGCGGCTCTCTGCTTGCCCCCCAGTTTGTCCGGGGGGGCCGGGGTGGTGGTCAGGCCTGGGGGACCGGGCGTGCGGGGCTCGCTCAGGGCAGTGAAGGAGCGAGTGCACATCCTGGGAAAGCCTTCGGAGACCCCCCGGCCCAGGGCCCCCACCCCCTCCATCTGTCCCTGGGGGGTCCCTGTGCAGGACTCAGGGAGCAGGAGGTCTTTGGGCAACGCTGGGGCCCGGCACGGGGAGTCCTCAGTCTCGGGCAGCCCTCGCTGCACCCGGCGGCTCCGTAAGCTTTTGCCGCGGGGCACAGGCTCCTTCTTGGCAATGGGCACCTCAGGCACGGCGGCCTTGTTGGGCTTTGGGCCCAGAGAGACGTCGGGGGCCAGGGGGGCAGGATCCCCAGGAGCCAGCGCCCCCTCAGACCCTTCTTCCCCAGGCTTCATGTGGGACAGGGAGGCCTCGAACCAGCTCTGCACTTTCGACTCGGCACCCACGGTGGGGCCCAGCAGGATGACGGACTCCCCAGAGAGGTGGCAGGGGGAGCCCCAGCCAGCCTTGGGGTCCAGCACCTCCCCCACCTCCTCCTTGGTGCACAGCAGCGGGGCCTTGGGCGACAGTGGGTCCTGCATGGCCGGCCTCTGCTCGGGGCTGCCCAGGAGCTCGCACAGGGAGGAGTACTCCTCCTCCGCCTCCAGGTCCTCCTTCTGGCCTGTGGGCGGCAGCAGCGGCAGGTCCCCGAAGTCAGAGGCACAGCAGTGACGGCTGTCCTCCAGCCACCGGTCCGCCTTGCCCACCTCGGGGCACTGCAGCAGCCCGCCCGCCTCCTCCTTCACCCCGCCCGCCTCCTCCTGCTTGAAGTCCCGGGGCCCCGGGGCCTTCTCTCCCGGGGGCTCCTCCTCCTGGAAGCCCAGGCAGGCCGAGGCCTCACAGGCGTTCTCCTTGCCCACCACGACGTCCGAGGTCTGCCCCCCCGGCTCCAGGCCCTTGGCAAGCTCGCCGGGGTGCAGGCCCCAGCGGGGACAGGCGTCGCCCAGGTCTTCCTCAGGCCAGGCAAAGGGGCTGGCACTGCCTGCCGCGGCGGCGGCAGTGGTGGTGTCCGGGAAGCAGTCGAAAGCCGCCGTGGCGGGGTCTGAGGTGGCAGCCCCAAGGGGAGGCTTGGTGCCAAAGGAGAGGGGGCCGGCCGGCTTCTTGGGGTCAGGGGTGGCAAAGCTGACCGAGGGGTCTTCGAAGAGTTCTGGGCTGAAGTCTTTGGCGCTGCCACCTTTGTCCAGCTGCAGGGACTCGGGCAGGGCCTCCGGCTCGCCTGGGCGCGGCCACACCGTCTTGGCCACGGGGTCCAGGCAGGCGCTGTGGTTCTCCAGGGAGAAAGGCGGTTTGCTGGCGTCCTTGGCCAGGCCGGGCGCCTCGGCCCACGCCTTGTCACCCTTCTCCCCGATGGCCTCCTGCAGCCCCAGGATCTCCGAGGCCAGGTCCTCCTGGGCCAGGGCGCTCAGCAGCAGGCGTGGGCAGTCCCGCTCCCCGGCCACGAACTTGGAGAAGCTGTCGAGAGGCAGGCTGCCGTGCAGGCTCTGGAAGGAGTCGTCGGACTTGGTGGACATGTCGTCGGGGGAGGTCACGGAGCAGGTGGACACGGACTCCGGCTTGGCCTTCGAGTTGCTGTTGACCCGGGCCGGGCTCCCGCGGGCCTGGCTGCAGTAGAGGAAGCTGCGCTCCAGCGGGTCCTCAGAGCCGCTCAGGTAGTCGGCCTCCGGCGGCTCGGCGTGCGAGGACTGCGGCGTGCTGCTCAGCGGCTCCGACAGCGGCGTGCCCGCCGGCTCGGCCGAGTAGCCGCTGCCCTCGGGGCTGCAGTGCTGGCTCTTGTGCTGCTCCGGGGTCCTGGACACCAGGCTCTTGACGCCCTTCTTCTGTGGCCCGGCGGCCTTGGAGAGCAGCAGCTGCTGCACGGTGTTGGAGATGTTCTCCACCTGCGACGTCAGCGCCGTGAGGCTCTGCAGGCTGAGGTCCGATAGCAGGTTCTCGGGGAGCTTGTCCTTCTGGAGCGGTTTGCAGTTTCCCACCTGGGGGTCCACGGAGCTGGTGGCGTCTGTGGGGGAGGGGTTGAGCAGGGGCATGAAGTGGCTGTGGTCGGTGAGGCCGGCGGCGGGGAAAGTGCCGGTGCTGAGCGGCTGCTGGTTGTAGGGGAAGTTCTCCAGGTTGGGCATCAGCGGCGACGGGGTGGAGCTGTAGGAGGGCGAGCGGCCCACGGAGCGCGCGGGCGAGTGGCTGGAGCTGGGGCTGAAGGTCTGGTAGTACTGGTCTGGGGTCCGGACGGCGGCGTCTGGCTGGCAGAAGCCTGGCCCTTGCTGCCCGTAGTGTTGGTACTTGGCAAGGTTTTGGTAATGGAGGGTCTCCTGGGCGTGGTGCCGGCTCTGGAGGGCTTGTTGCTGCTGCTGCTGCTGCTGCTGCTGCTGCTGCTGCTGTTGCTGCTGCTGCTGCTGCTTCTGCTGGTCGAAGCCGAGGCGGCTGGACTGATAGGCGTGAAGGTTCTGGACCCGCTGGCCTGGCGCCAGGCTAGCATTGGCAGTCAGCGGCCTGTCATGAGGCTGGGTGGAGGGCGCTGTGCAACTCTTATAGGAGTGGGCCCCCTGCCCGCCGCCCTGGCCCGTGGAGGAGTAGGTGGAGGAGGTGGGGAAGGACTGCGAGTGCTGGGGGAAGTGGCCGCCCGGGGGGAAGGGCAGCGGCGAGGCCATGTCGTTCTGCAGCTTCTGCCTTTGGAGCTTGGGGTAGGACAGGGGCTGCTGGGGCTGTGGCAGCTGCGGCTGGACGTGCAGCGAGTGACTCCGGAAGGGCAGCTGGGCGCCCTGCTCTGGGTACTGCCTGCCAGGGGGGACTGCTGTCTTCTTCATCAAGTTCTCATCGTATTTGCCCACCCCCCCTGGCAGGGGCTGTGGCTGGGGGGGTGGGGGCTGGGGGGCCCCCCAGGCCTGCATGCTCTCCTCACCCGAGTAGCGGCCTGGGTAGGGGCTGCTGTCCTGGGCGCTGTAGCTGGGGAAGGCCGGCCTCCCCTGCAGGCCTTGCTGCGAGGCCAGGCCTTTGCTGCGGGCAGAGCTGGCGGGCGCGCCAGCCCCACCCTCGTAGCCCGGGTACGCCTGCGGGTTATAATAGTCCTTGGCCAGCAGCCGCTGCCGGTCACAGCTCAGCCCGGCCTGGCTCGGCTGCCTGTAATTCTCCAGGCGCGATGTCTCCTGTGAGGTCTGCTGGTAGTTCTGTTGTTTGCCATGGAAACCACACCTTTCTCGAAAAGACTGCATGACTCGGGCTGGTTATCTGCGAAAAGAGAAAGGGAGCGAGGACGGGGAGGGGGTGGGCGGGGAGGGGCAGAGGGAGAGCGATTCAGAAGGGCCGTTTCCTGGGCTTGGCAAGCTGGCTGTGCACCCCTCTCCCGAAGCTCTTAGCAGCCCCCGCCCCCAGCTGTGCACAGTGACAAGCCCCCCTCCATCAGGGAGGAGGGTGCCGTGACTCCACATCCCACACCCGGGCCTTGCCAAGGAGGGCTACAGCGGAGGGGCACAACGCAGGCAGCCCCCGGGCCCTGGGAGCTGCCACCTGCCAGCCTCCTCGCTGGCTCCTTACTCACCGTACCAGGTCCTGGGGGCCCTGTCATGTCCAAGGCCCAGCAAGGCCCCAGTGTGGCTGGGCTCTAATGTGACCAGGCCACACCGGTCACCAGGAAGTGCAGCCCCTGCCCCCACAGGGCCACACACCATCTGGAGTCTGTGTCTCACAGCAGGCTGCAGGCTGCCGGGGGCTCCTGAGCCACAGGGGCCCAAAGAGTGAGGCTGTGAAGGTACATGGGGGACAGTGGCAGGAATGTCCTCCTTCCCAGCAGCAGGGGGCAGGGGCAGGGCAGGGCAGGGCAAGCCGAGACCTGCCTGTCTGACTTTAAGGACGGAGCCCTGGGAGGCACTAAATCTAACCTCCCCTTCAAAGCAGGATCCTGGGTCACGAAATGATGAAATGAGGCTGGGCTAGGCGGGGGAGACTTAGCAAACCAGGGGCCTGCCTCGCACACTGCTAACCCGGATTCTCTCCCTGGCGCTCCACCTGTTTCCCCTAGCCCCCACCAGGAGTGATTTCTGAGTGCAGAACCAGGAGTAATCGCTGAGCACAGCTGGGTGTGGCCCCAAAACAAAAACAAAGAAATGAAACTGGGTGGAAGAAGAAGAAACAGGCTCTTCAGGACAGAGCAACTGGCTCCACAGACAGGCCAAATGCCACCCCCCCACCCCCCACTGCCAGGGACAGGTAGGCCCTAGGCCCAAGATCCTCAAAGGAGAGAAAAGGGACCAAGGAATGTTCCAGTTTCATAGGAATCTTGCTGAAGGGCTGGAAGTCAGCATGGGGGCGGGGGGGGGGGGGGAGGGAGGAGGGGGCTTGAGATTCACCTAGAGACAAGGGGTGGGGCAGTTCTTACTTTGGGTTGGTCACTCCAGTGGGAGAGGAGTGGGAGGAGGAAGGTGGGGGAGGGGGCAGATATGACCCAGAAGGCCAAGAGCCCCAGACCACACTTGGGAGTGGGAGTGGAGGAAATACCTTCTTCCTCGCCAGTGTCAGCGGCTGCTAAGGGAGGGGAACAGACGGCCTTCAGGCCCCAGGAGCCTGCTGGCACAGCCTGGGCCATATCCCAGAACGGTGGAAGCCCTCATCCAGCTCTGAGGTGATGAAGTGAGAGGCCCTGTCTGGGGGACCAGAGGCAGCAATGCCTGGGGCCATGGCGCACAGGCCTCCTGTGGGCCCACCTCACCCATCCCTGATGGGGTGGATCAGACATCACCAGAAGGGCCTGCTGTGACCCTGCAAGCACTGGGCTCTGTCCCGCAGGTCTCCGCCAGCTGGATGGCCCACAACTGCTGACCCAATCTCTCGAGTGAAGGCATCAGCCCTTCCTGCTCCCGGACAGCACAGGCAAGCGAGATCAGCTGGACCCTGGGCGGAGGTGGAGGCCCTCAGCTGTCCCCTGGCCACAGAATCCACAGTGACCTGCCGAGGGGACAGTCCCAGGGCCAAAGGCTCTCACCCCCACCCCAGACGCCTTTATGGGCCTGGAATGCACAAACCAGGCCGGGCTGGAAGGCCGCACCTCGTATATCTGCACAAATTACATTTCGGCTTTTATTAGTCCCAGATCGCTCTCATTTCCTGCCGAGTGTCCTGTGGATATCATTAACATTTCTACAGCTTTTTTTTTTCACATTCTCCAAAATGCATTACCAGAAACATTATTTAAAAAGAGAGAGTGCTCTGACCAGCGTCCCCCTCCCTGTTTAATCAGTCCAGCTGCTGCGTCTTTTAATTTAGCCGAGCTGTATTACAGGCGGGTTTCCCAATACACACGAGCAGCTGGATGTGGAGAAAGCATCTATCTCTAAGAAAAGACAGTTCAATTAAAATACGAGAAGCCCAGCGCCTGATGGAGAACAGAGGCACAAAAAAAAAAAACGCTCACCCCAACACCCCCCTCCAAGCCCCGCGCAGGGAGGGGGGGGGAGGCCGTGAACAAAGGCACAGCATCGGCGCTCCCCGCCTGCCAGGGACACCAGCTCTGCCAGGAGAAAAATGGGGGGCTGCCTCTTTAAGAGCCGCCTCGGGCCGGCCGCCGGCTCCGTTGTTATTAATTATTATGATTATGATTACTTTTCAAGAACACTTGGAAAGGACAAAGGAGGGGAGAGAAGCAGGCAGTACCAGAAAAGGAGGGGCAGAAAGCACGCCGTTGGCAGAGAGGTGGTGACCTTTGAACTTGCAGGAAAGGGACAAGGGGCCGGCTTGGGATTTTGGCCTCTGTGGGTTCAGCAAGAAGGGGCGTAGGTGGGAGATCGGAGGAAGGCTTCCCCCTCGCTGGTCTCCCTGTCCCTGCTCCCCACACCTGCCTGTCTCCCCCAGCTCGGTCAGTTGAAGCTTTAACTCTGAGCTTACCCAACTGAGGAGAGAAGAAGGGAATGAAGAGAAGAAGGAAAGGAAGGACGGGGAGTTCATTCTGGGCGCCCCTAAGCCTCCCTCTAAACACCTCCACGTGAGCACTGTTCCACGTGACAATCACTGGGGGATCTGGGGGGCACAGTGAGATGCAAGCCCAGGCCCTCAGAGGCCTCAGCAGCAGGGGTCCCACGCCCAGCCCCCTTCAGGCAGACTCAGCTCCCACCTTGCCAGGAGCCTCAGTAGGGATGCTCCGCTGAAAGAGGGGTTCAGAGGGAACCACGGTGAAATCCTTTTGTCTCACAGCAGGGAGTAACCAAGCCAGGGGTGGTCCACACACCCACCTCACCGGGAGACTCCACATTTCCGGGAGACTCCACATTTCCGGGCAGGCATCTCAGAGCGGACAGTAAGGTGCTCCGAGAGGTGAGGTTGGTGCCAGCAGCTCAGGTTTACCTGTGAGATCTCGAGAGCCACACGAGGCCTCATTTACTCAAGGGGCCAATTCCCCCTTGGGGGCCCGCTGACTGCCGTCACTGCCTGCACTCCAGCACAGGCATCCTGACGGGGCGGCTGTCCCCGGGAGCTCTCTGCTCCTAGCAGCACCTCAGAGACCGCAGCTCCCACCCCACGGACTTAAGCGGGTTGTTTCCTGATTTGCAGCTACAGGGGGAAAACTTAAAACCCAACCCCCTAAAGACTGGGAAGCGGAAGAGGGGAAGTGAGTTGGGTCAGGAGGCTAGCTCGGGGGCGTGGGGTGGCTATCCAGGAGCAGAGAAGTTCCAGGTTCCAGGTGATGAGTAATGAACATGAGGCCTTGATGAAAGAAATCACCATCCGGACCCACACTGTCCCTCAGGGCTGTTTTAAACCCTCAGGGCCTTGCTCAACCGGACTTTCGGGGGACCCAAAGGCAAGGCAGCCTGGTGCCCACAGGCCTCTGGGAGAGTGGGAGTCTAGACTAGCGAGTAAGGGTGTGTGTGAGGGGGGCTGTTCATGGAAAGAGGGAGCCCAGCTATGAGGGCCTGCTTGGGGCCAGAGGAGCAACCTGGGGAGGGGCACTAGCAAGGCAGGGTGGGCACTTGCTTCACACACAGGTGACCCAGGTTCAAACAAGGCAATTTCCCACACGCCAGGCCTCAGGCTACATCCCCCACATGAATGCCCCCTCACCACACAAATACAGACACACTGCTGGGGTGCAGCTCTGAGGTGGCAGTCTGGGGCTAAGCAGCAGAATGGCCTTCATGTCCTCTGAGCACTGCTGAGGAGTCCTGTCCCCCAGGAAAGAGTCCCCATGCGTGGAGCACCCCTGCACATCCTTCCTCACTCCTGCCTTCCCTTCCAAGGGGCCTGGGGGCTGCCGCTCCAGCTTATTAAGAGCAAGCAGGACTCGGGGCTATAGGTCAGTGGCAGAGTACTTGTCTCACAAGTGTGGGGCCTTGGGGTCCAACCCTGAGAAGAGAGGGAGGGAGGGAGGGAGAGAGGGAGGGAGGGAGGGAGAGGGAAGGAGGGAGGGAGGGAGGAAGGAGAAAAGGAGAAAAGAAGAAGGGCGGACAAGCAACAGGATGAAAGCTCAGAGGCAGGAAGCTCACCCCCACCTTCTCAGAGCAGGGGCCCCATCAGCCTTCTCACATGGGGCGAGAGGCTTCCAGTGAGGTGGGGTCTTGGGTTTACAAAATGCAGAACAGACTTTAGGACTCTGCAGATGTATCGGAATCCTTCTTTTGTAGCACCCCCTCCCCCAAGTGAAGGCATCTTCTGAAATAGCTCCTGGGGTTCTGCCCCGGTTCCTTGGAGCCCGCTGCCTGCGTGGAGAGCCACAAACCATGTGGGGGTGCGGTGGGGGCGACTTGTGGGCTCACAGGTGCAGGGAGCGAGCAGCGGCATCTGTTCCGTTTGATTCGGGGGCCTCCGTAGCAATGATGGGTGTCACAGGACTACATCCCGCAGTGCTGGGTGGGAGCAGACAGTGCCAGGGTGAAAGCAGGCGCAGAGTACTTTGCACTACCCTCCACCCACCTGCTGAGGGCAACAGGCAGGGGTCGCTGGGTGGGTCAGGCCAACCCGCAGAAGTGTCCAGCAGAAAGGTATTCAGCAGGAGATACCCTGAACATTCTAGAACCTAGGATCAAACCTAGAATCAAACCCAAGCCAGCTGTGGCAAGGCAAGTGTTCTACCCACTGTACCCACACCAGCTCAAATTATCAACCTCTTAAGGACAGTAATTGTTTTTTAGATCTCTTTGTTGGCTTCTCAATGGAAAACCATCTCTCCCACCTCTTTTAGGACAAAGTAAAGAAAGTGAGGCGGTGAAGCAGGAAGTCAGGGCCCAGGGTTTGGGCCACAC